GCCTGCCCCGCGCCCAGCTCGCCCCGCGCCCAGCTCGTCTCGCGCCCAGCTCGTCTCGCGCCCAGCTCGCCTACTCACACATGACGCCCGCAGCCCCAGCAATGTGCGTCCAGACCTTCTCGTTGAGCTGCTCGAAATAGTCCTCGTCAAAAGCAGCCGAGTGGAGCCAGAAGACGGGACGCTTCTTGTTGCGCGGGCGCCGGATGGGCCCAGCAGCGGGGCGGGCGCGAGGGCCCGCAAGGTCGCGCGGCGTCCAGATGCCGACGTAGTTCCGGGCGTACTCGTCCCACTGGGTGTTGGTGAGGAGGGACATGGGGGAAGAAGCGACGGACGAGCGCGTGTGACGTGGCGGCGATGGCGATGAAGAAGGAGGAGGGAGCGGGCGCCGGGCACGCTGGCAAAGCAAGCCGCGCGCGCGCTTGCGAGGCGGTTGTGCGCGCCGCTGCAGGCCGCCTGCCCCGCGCCTGCCCCGCGCCTGCCCCGCGCGCGCGCCGTGCCTTGCCGTGCCTGGCGTCGGAAGTCGGGTAACGCGCCGCATCGCTGCCGCGCCGCGCCGCCGCGCGCGTGGCCGGGCGAGGCGGCGTCAGGCACGCCGCAGACGCGCGTCTCAAGCACGCCTGCGGCGCCGCGGCGCAGCCAGGCGGCAGGCGGCTGCGCACTGGGACGCAGCTGCGTTGGCGCGCCTCGGCCGTGAGGAGCAGCGCAGCGGCGAGGGGCGCGCCTCTGCACCGACGGTGGTGCGCGGCTGAGCGCGCCCCCGACCGTCTGCCGCGCTGCTGCGTGCTTGCGCCGGCATGAAGGGCCCCAGGCGCGCTCGAGAGACTGACGCAAATTGAGCACAACGCTCGGGTGGGCATCAAAAACGGAGCTTTGTAAAAGAGCAAACCAGAGTCAGCGTGTGGCATGTGGAAAGCGCGGCGATGCGGGCACACAAGACGGTTGCGTCTGAGACAGGTGTGCACGATGCGCCCGCGCTCGTGTACTCAACATCGGCTCCAACAGAACAGCCATCTTCAAAGATGATGCTGCAAGTATCACTCACCTGACGCACAGCAGCAGCCTTGAGCAGCAGCCTTGTACATCTATGCACCGCTGGCCGGTGGTAAAGGACAGCAGAGGTGACGCGCGGAGTCAGGCTGGCCACCGGCACCGGTGGCGCCGATGGCCACAGCGCAGAGTGCTAGCTCATGCCTAAAGATGATGGGCTGATGTGGAACGGGTCTGGCTCGGCAGACGGTTCCGAGGTGGGCAGAAGTGGAGATGGGTGCAGGGGGCAAGCTCCAAGACGCAGCACAAGCGCTGCTAGCATCAGGCAGTGCGACGTGCTGTGCTTGAAGTCACGTGAGCAATTTTTCAGCTCAGAGGGCCATAGATCGAGAACATTTCGCGTGAAGCTCAGTCCAAGCTCGAGGCGGGCCGCATCACCCCCTGGATGACCACATCAATCTGCCCTGGACGACCACATCAATCTGCCCTGTTCAATAAAGTGTGCAGCGTAGTGGACGGGCCGTTGCTGAGATGCTGATTGTTCGGCTGTGGGAGCATGCGTGAAAGGCGCAGCCATAGATGAGCAGAGGAGTTGCACCAACGTCCCTCGCGATCTCGGCAGATGAAGCGGCGCTTTTCCAGCGCTCAAATGTTTATTGCCAATATGCAGTTGAACCTGAATGGCGAGCTTGAGTGCTCCCGCGCCAAAGACACGGCACAGCGACCTCTGTGGCTGTTGACATGCCGCCGCCCTCATCAGCTTGCGGCGACCACAGCAGCCGGCAGGTTTGCCTCCTGAGCCAGATTGCTGCGCATCGCACGCCACTGAATCGAAGCTGAAGCACTTAACAGCCGGGTGTGCGCTTCCGTCGCGATCGTCGATGCTCGATCCCTCACGATCAACGGTGCTTGCACCGGTCGGTAAATGAGCAGGCGCAGCTGAAGAAGACGCAACAGCGGGGTCAACGCTTGTCTATAAAAGCCAGACTCTTGCGCAGCAGCTCTGTTCCCATCACGACCTCCAAGATGTCTTCCCCTTCGACGCCCGTCATCCGCACCGTGAGTAGTAACCAGACGACCCTTTGCGTGCCACCGCTCACCAGCCTCAGTTTGACGCGGAGCCTCTGGGAGTTCTTTTCGCGCCGGGCATCCTCGGTCAAGTCCAGATCGCTGCCGAGGCTCACGTCCCGGCCACGCTTGCCCACATCGACGTGCTGCGCGTCGTACGCAACGCGCTTTCGGGCGCTATGGTGCAAATTGGCGACCGTGTCTTCGAGCTTGCGCTTGACGCGGACAAGGAGTACTTCAATGCCAAAGATCCCAAGAGCCGCTACTGGCGCAGTTGTCAGGCCGCAGCCGATGAGCGCGCAGCAGGCAGAGTGCCCCTTGTTCCCGCAGTCGACATTCTGGAGGTGAGCGCGTTGCAAAGCCTGTAGAAGACGCTTGCTCACCCGCCCGCACTGCTCAAGCGCACGTTTAGGTTCACCGAGCGCTATGACTGCTCGGCTCCTGTTCTTGCCGTGCACCTTTCCGTCACCACGTTTGCGCCGGCCGGCAGCAACCAGGTGCTTGCGGCCGAAGCCGCGTGCAACGCCGTCATCGACTACCGACGTGCTGTGCGCAGCGAGATCGCCCGTCTTCGCGATGCCGAAAACGGCCAGACCCAGTAGGGCTCAACGCACGCCTGGCCAGCGTTGCACCATCGTCTCTCGTCGGTGTCTTGCCGTCGTCTCATGTCGTCTCTCGCCGGTGTCTTGCCGTCGTCTCATGCCGCTTTCGCGGGCCGCCGATGCCTTGCTCTTGATCTGTGACTGCTCTTAACGACCTCTCCTACCACGTTTCCACTGCCGCGAATCAACTTTTTGACTCTATTCACATCCGTTTGCCCGTGTGAAGAGGAGCCACTCGTCGACACAGACGCATGGCGAGCCTGTGGCTGTGTCGAAAATGGAGAAGTGGCGTGCGAGGATGTCGCGCACGCTCGCGTCGCGCACCGTGGTATCCGGTAGAGACCCTTGACGCACCCATGAGAGGACAGCATCAATCGGCAGCGTGTTCCAGAACTCGAGCTGCAGACCACCGGCCCACAGCACGGCAAGCAGCAGAGCTGTGCCGAGACGCCCGCTGCTGTGCACGAAGGCGGCGAGCTTCGTGGCGACGCGGAATTGGCGCACGGTAAACCCGAGCCGCGTGAGAAGGGGCTTCGAGTCCCATCGCTGGTCGATGGACGCCGCGGGCTCGCCTGACGGCGTGTCGCTCGGCCGTCCAGCGCGTGCGATCCTTGTTGCCGAGCACCACCAGACCGAGCAAGACCATGACGGCGTGGAGGCTGCTGGCAAGCGCCCCGCGAGTGCCAACAGACGCGGCGCTGTGCTGGAATGCGCGGTCTTGCGGGACATCAAGCTCGGCACGATGAGCCATGTCGGCTAGCGCCTCGTGGGTCCGAATCATGCGGTGCAGCATGACGTCGGCCTGAACTTCGGTGACGTCGTGCGGGCTTGCTGCGGCGGTCTCGGTCGGCGGCTTGCGCACGCCGCCTGCGATGCCCATCATGCGGACGATGGCATGCACAGCCCTGCGCGTGCCGCTGTCCTCGATGCACGCCAGTCGCGGGTCGTCTGAGAGGATCATTCATGCGCGCCGCGCACGAGGTCGCACGCGAGGTGGAGCAGCGCGCCAGGGCGCGTCGCGTGTGCTTCCAACTATGACGACCCCTTCTTGCTGCCGCTTCTCGTCGATGTCGTGCGCGCCCGTTTGATACGTGTGCCTCACAGCGGGGAAGGTGTTCCGTCACCTATCTTTGTTGCCTATGCGCATGCTCGAGTGAAGAATTTGCCGAGTCATGGGTGCGTGAAGGCTTCGGGGTCCGCCGCCGCGCGGGATCACGTGTGGGAGGGCGAAGAATCGAGCGATTCTTGATCCATGAATCGCCCGATTCTTCGGTCATGAATCGCTTGATTCTTCGGTCATGAACCGGTCAATTCTTCGATCAAAAATCGCTCGATTCATGGATGCTCGTTCTGCCAGCAGCGCGGCCTCGGGCGTGTGCGCGCTCGGGCGGCTCGAGCGCGCACACGCCGCTTCTCGGGCCCCGCTTGCTCGGCTGCTGTTCCATGCCGCTGCGACGCCAGGGGGTTGCACCGTGTTGCGTTCACAGCCCATGCCATTGCTGCTGTGCACGAGGCATGCAAAGGATGTGGCTGCAAGCCGCAAGCGTCTGGAAGCTTGGCAGGTTGTTTCCCACGCGAGCAGTAGATTGCGGCGCGCCGCGCGCACGCAGCAGACCGCGGCGCGCCGCGCCCATGCGCAGTCGTCAGGATACCCCCTTACGTACACGCGCCACGAGCCTTGACTCTTCGTTGCTGGGCGCAGAGGCTTGCAAACCTCATTGAGAACATTAAATAAACGCAACTCTTGCGGTTTGTGTGCTCTCTCTGTGCAAGAATGCGCACGCGGCCACGAATGCACGTTCGGCAGGTTTGCAGGGCCGGTGCGTACGCAGCTTCTGTGACGTGTGACCACCACAGATTACCTGCTTCCCACGCTGACATGCTGTCAATATTATAGTATTCATTGTCACAGCGGCGGATCGTTGTAAATATTGCCCGTGGACGGCGCCGAAAGTAAGGAGACGCTTCATCTTGAGGTTACCGCTGCTACTCCGTGCGGCGACGACGAGCAGGCGGCACGTTCTCGGCGCCCTCGGCCGGCGGCAAGGGCGCTATGCGCTGACGCTCTCCGAGCGCAGACACGGTGTTGACGTCGAGCTCTCCGAGCGGTGGACGATGGAAGAACTGCACGAGCCTGAGGGCTCAGCAGACGCGCATGGCACCCACGCCGGCGAACTCACGGCGCTGTAGTCCAGTAGCACAAGGAAGTCGTGGGTGAAAGCCGCGAGTGTGAGGCGGTCGACCTGCCCGTCGTCACAATCCCACAGTACCCAAATGCCGCACTCAGGGCACTCCTGGCCGGCTGTGTTGCACACGTGCTCGAGCGTGCTCGGCACGATGTGCGACGGCCAGCCGCGCCAGGCGACGGCGGCTCTGGCATGCCAGTACTGCTCGGCCGCTAATGTCCGCTGCTCAGCGCCGCCGCACGGGCTCAGACCCGGCCGCACTCACGGATGCACGCGCGCATCTGCGGATCATACGCCCAGACATGGGCAAAGATGTCCTCGATGAGTTTGCTCGCGTCGTCTAGCGGAAGCGCGACGAAGCGAGGCGGAAGCTCAGGGCAAGGAAGCATGTCGTGCCAGTCTTCGTACGACAGCAGCCACGGGCCGAGCCGAGAGGACATGTTGCCGGTGATGTGGTGTGGAAGCATGCAGCAGCGTTCCCCAGCAGGGAACAGAAGACGAGCGGCGCTTGTACGGCGCTCCCAGGCCAGCATCAATATGTCCCTGCCCCACACGAGCGGTCAAGGCAATCAACGGAGCGGCCGTGGCGATTAATGAACCGGCCTGTGCCCCATCTATCCTCAGGGGAACGCCGGCGGCAAAACATAGCGCAGTTCTGCACTTGATTGACGGCCCGTGAGACGGAAGTGCCCGCCGGCGCGAGACGGAAGTGCCCGCTGGCGCGACCGCGCCGGACCGCTCCTGCGCATCGCCTCCTGCTCTCTCCACATGCAATCGCGCCTCAGACAATCTCGCGCCTCAGGCAATCTTGTCCATTCACGCACGCACTTCATCGACCACGTTGGTCCAACTGCCCTGCAGATCGAGGAGACTGCGGCCAAGTGCCCTGCAGATCGAGGAGACTGCGGCGCCAGAGGCTGCGGCGCCACAGGCAAAACCGCTGCAACACCAGCGAACTGTGCCTCGTCTCTCTCCACCACATCAACTCTGCATCATGCCCGTCTGGCAAGACCTCGAGCAGGGGCACGTCGTGGACTGGTACCACTTTGGTACGTCCTGGACCGGCCGCGTCGACATCGACCGCCTCTACGTCGTCAACGGCGGCCGCGGCGAGGAGAGTCTTCTTCGTCGCCTGCACACGATGCTGCTGTCGCAGCACAACATGTGTGAGTTTGCGCATGCGTCGCCAGCTCTGTGTCCGCAGCTGACTCGATGCGTCAGGGCCCGTCCACGTCCTTCTCGAGAACGTCGAGCAGCTGGGCTGGCCGCCTGGCGTCTTCATCGAGACGGTCAACGGCACGGACCACGCGTGCCACAGGTGCGCCCAAGTGTCGTGCTGGACCGTCACCATCTGCGATGGCGCGCTCTTCTACCCGTCGCTCTGCGCATTTTTTGCCTCGATTCGAGACGCTTGTGGTAAGCGGGCCGCTGCCTGCAGCCGTGCGTGCGCTCACGCCGTCGCAGATGCTCGCCGTGCAGCGCCATCAAGAGGCACGTCTCGCCGCGCACTACGCACGCTTCCTGGCCGACGGCGCGCCTGTGCTGGAGTTTGAAGTCACGGCTGCGGACGTGCCTGCCCTGCAGCAGTTCCTCACCCTGTTCGGCCTTGCTCGTCGCCTGCAGGCCCCACGCACCGCCGACGAGAGTGCCGCGACGGAGCTCGACGCCTAGCTCTCACACTTCAATCATACTAGTGATCATTGATTGCTGCCGCTTCTTGCGCCTGTTGTCACCTCTCGCTGCGTGTCTCGCCTTCAAGTTCTGTCGTCACTCGCTGCCTGAGAGCTACGCTTGCTGCGACGCAGCTCAGGCGAGCTCTGGCCGATCGTGCGGCCGCGCCCGCGGCCCTGCGTGCGCACCATTTGCCGTGGCGGCTGCTCATCCTCCTGCGGCAGCGAGTCGTGCGGTCGCTTGGGCGAGCCGCCAGAGGGCAGCGAGTCCGCGCTGCGGCTAGCAAGAGAGCTGTGCGCGTCGCCGAGGCGAAGAGCTGTCATGTGCTTGACCGGCTGAGAGGCAACAGTCAGCGGCGCGCTCAATGCAGCCGATGCAACTCACACTGCCCAGTTCGCTGCCTGATGCGGCGTCTACGGCTGACGCCTCGCTTTCGTGCAAAGTGTCGCCAACCGCGCCGCCGCTGTGATCGTCGCTGTCCGAGGTGTCCGGCGCCTGGTGACGATGGATCGGCATTCTCTGAGGCAGGCACGCCGTGAGCTTGAATTCACGGGCGTCGCAAGCGTGCTCACATCCTGCGGGCTCTGGCTCAACAGGCTTGTCACGCTCATGACGCTGCTTGCGGCTGGCCGGGGATTGCCCTGGGCGCCGCTGCCTGCGAAACGCGCGTCAGGCAGCGGCGAAGGGACCTGAGGAGGCGCGTGGCGGTGGCCCTGAGGCAGGCTGCTTGAGCGGGCCGGTGGCTGCGGCACACGCGACACGAGGCCGGGCGGCGGCTTGGGTCGGGACTTGGCGGTGGCTCTCGCCGGTGTTGACGTCTTGCACCGCAACACGTCAGCTCGTTCGTGCTGGTGCCTTGGCGGCGCACTCACCTGAACGAGATCAAACTGGCTCGGGCCCGAGCCAGACATGGCGGCTCCCATGGCGGCTCCCTCCTCCTCTTCCGAGCTGTCCCCCACCTCAAAGCCAGACGTGTTCGGTGGCGCGCTCGCATCGAGGATCTGCTTGCGATTGACCTTGTCGCCCAGCTTGCGCCACGCATCCAGATTAGCGGCACTGGCAAGCTTGACCCACCAGTCCAATGCGGCCGGAAGGTCCTTGAGCGTGATCTCGTCTCGTAGAACGCCAAACTGGAAGTGATCACCCGCCGCAGTGTGGACGATGACTCGAGGCTTGATGCTGTCGCATGTTGTGTAAGGCAAGTGGAGATTGCCCGTCACTTCTGCGCTGCCGGGGTCCTCTTGCAGAACGAGAAGCGGAGTGTGGACATACTCGCTGTAAAAGGGACCGAGCGCATTGCCGTCAAAGTGTAGCTCTGTCTCGAGCCAAAAGCAGAATGGCCCGCACTTCGGGCACGTCGACTTGACCGCCTCAGTCAGCATGAATGGGGCCACGTCGCTCTTGCCCGCCGGAAAGAGCACGCCGAATCGTCCGGGCTCTTCCAGGAGCGCCTTGTGAAGTGCGACTCGGCGCTCCCGACCGGCGATGGCCACGTCGATGTCGTCGAGGGTGGCATCGGGCTCGCACGCCGAGTAGCCACACCAGCCATCACCCGGCACCGTGATGAAGTCTTTGAGAAGAGTCCGCAGGTCACTGGTCCAGCGAGCGGTGTTGTCGACGACCGTGTCGAGGACTTGGCCGGAGAGATGGACCTTGTTGGCGTCCTGCGCGAGTCGCATTGCATGCACGTCGTTCTTGAGCGCCGGTTCGAGATTGAATAAACAGTTGCACTCCGTTGCACACCGAATGGAGCGATCGAAGTAGCGCTTGTTGAGCTCGTCGCGCCGGGCCTGGGGGCCTTTTGATCGCTCGCGTGCCCGCAGCGGCTCCTGCTTGTCCTCGCTTGGCGACTCGCGGGACTGAGGCTCTTGCGGTGCTGAGGCGCGCTTCGACACCTTTGACAGGCGCTTGCGCGGGCTCGAGCGTCCGCGGCCGCTCTGCATCATCTGCACGGCCGACACGAACATGCGAGATTTGGATGCCGGCTGCTCAGCGTCGCCACGCTGCGAAGTGTCGGGGCGCTGCGCTGCGCCGCTGGACGCCGGCTCCGAGTCGCCGCTGAACATGTCCACACCGTCCGCACTGGCCTCGCGGCTCTGCTCGCTGGCACTGCGCATGTGCGTGTCGGCCGAGGACGCGGCGCGGCGACTGCCGCTGTCGCTGGGCGAGCGCGACGGCAAACGAGCCTGGCCGTCGGCGCCTGTCTTGCGCCCGGCCCTAGTGTCCTGCGACGTGCCCGCATCTTTCTTGCCCTCCGCGGCGCCCTTGCTTTCTCCCGCCTGCGCGCCCTTGTTCCTCGCCACCTTGCCGTCTGCCTGCAACGCAAAGCCTTCGATCTCGAGCGCCCGCACCTGGTTGTCGAGCCTGCGCTTGATCTCGGCGGCGACTTCCTGGTACGCCTTGACCTCGGCCAGGTACTGCAGGGCCACGTTAGCCATGGCTCAGCCGCAAGAGAGAACTGAACGCACCGTCTGCGTCCGTGTGCGAGCCTCCTCGGCGTCGTCGTTAGCGATGCGCTGCATGACGCGCGCCCGCCCAAAGTCGACCAAATGCTGGCGCAGGGCCTTGTCGCGGTCATGCTGCTTGATGCCGTTGATGAACTTGCGCAGCTCCGTGCGGTGCGACGGCTTGGCGGGCCAGTTGCTGGGCGCCGGCCTAGCTTCGAGCGCCGCCTTGCCGCGGGCATACGTTCTCTCGCTGCTCGCAGTTTCGCGGCGCCACGCAACCTCGGCGGCACGTCCGATTGCTTCGAGATGCACCTGAGACACATCGTCTGTGCAGCCGTCGAGCATCGCCTGCATCGCCCTCGCCTCCTCGTCCTGGACCTGGTCGGTTCTGAGCTCGCGCGTGGCTGCCTCCTGACTCGGCTCTGCTAGCTCATCGCCCTCCTCATCATCACCACTGCTCTCGGAGACGTCGTCGTGCGCACATGCGCGGCGGTAGCGACGATGAATCTTGCGCGCAGTCTGCCTTGCCTCGGCTCGGTCGGAGTTCTTCACCGTCGCCAGCTTTCTGTACGCCATGATTGCGTGGTGGACGGCGTCGGCAGTCAGGTGCTTCTCCAAAGCCTCGGCGATCGATCGGAATGGCGGCAGCTGGTCGAGGCCCGGGACGAGGATCTTCTCGATCGCCTGCTGCAGAAAGTTCTGAAACGACAGATCGTCGTAGCTCTTCGAGGCGGCGCCTGCGCACAGCGTCCAGAACGAGTGGTCGTCCTGGTATGTGCCGACCGGCTTGGACAGCGTCGCCTTTGTCTTGACAAACAGCGACATGCAGTCGGCCAGCGACGAGTCCGCCTTGATGGTGATCTTCTTGCTACGCGTGGTAGCAGTTGCGAGGCCCTCGGCAATCTCCTGCTCCATCTCAGCACTGCACTCCATCTGCGCGTCGTCGAGCAGCGACCGCGGCTCCTCGCCCTCCTCTGTCTCGTCGCCCTCCTCTTCCTCAACGCCCATGTCGTCGTCGGTGACCAAATCGATGCGCGCACGCCCGTATCTGGCGGGCAGCTTGGAGGGAGCGATCGTGGGCAGCGACTGCACATTCTTCATCGGCTCGAACGCGGCCACCGCCTCGCCGTCCGTCATGCCGAGCCGCTCTGGTTGCGGTTCGGGTGCGCCCGCGACGAGCAGGGCGGGAGGACCGAAGCTGTTGATGATCATCAGCGCGTCTGCGCTGTGCCGACAGCGATCGCTGGGCGAGCGCGTCTGCCCGTCGGTGAGCTGGTCGCTGTAGGCGCGCAGTGCGAGTTGAAGTGACGCATACGTGACGGGTGCGTGCGCCGGAGGCGCTGCAGTAGAGCTTGCGGCCACAACGAGCGCCTCGATGGTCTCGGGCGGCAGCAGTTCGAGCCAATCGACCACCTGCTTTGCCAGCTTGTCCGCCTCCTCGCGCGATGCCCAGCGCGTTGGGGCTTGGGCCACGACGCCCTGACGCTGAATGAGCTCGCCGAGGACGCGCAGCAGCGCCTCGGGCGTGGGCGGCTCACGGCGTGCGGCTGAAGAGACTGCCTTGAGGCACTTCATGATGCGACAAAGCGTGCCGCTGTTGAAGAAGGCGTCGCGGTCGGGCTCGACGAGCAGGCACAGGGCGTAGGCGTCGTGCTCGCCCTCGGCCTCTTGTCCCTGCCCGGACGCAGCGCGAGCCTGCAGTGCTACAAGGCTGCTGCGCAGGCGCTTGGCCGGCGAGAACATGTCCGTCGTGATGACGTGCAGTGGGCGTGACATTGTCGTCCGAGGTGTGGTGTGCGGGCGGGACGGTTGGGGCTGCGCCGGCGCGGGAGTGCACTCTACATCGCGCCACGATGCGCGTCGCGCGGCGTTTGACCTTCCTCTCACGGCCTGCCTGCCTCTTCCAGCGAAACTGCCGCAGCAGGCACCCAAACTCAAGCCTCTTCCTCTGATGCCGGCCTGCCGTGCTTGCGTTGCGCGGCTTGCGCAGCTGCGCAGCGGCGCTGCTGAGCATGCAAGCGCGGCGCCACGCCTAGACCCCCCTCCAGCCCGCGGCGCGCATCCTCCTGCCCCACCACCATCATGGGCTACACGGCCGGCCAGTTCACGGGCCACAAGGGCCTGGCAGCCGCCTGCGTGGGCGGCGCCGAGGTGCCTCGCCACGACCCTCCTCTCCACAACGCGCACCGCGGCGAGCAGCCTGCACTCGAGCACGCGCGTGCCATTGCCGGCAACCTCTCGCTCCTCCTCGTTGATGCGACACCAATTGCCTTCTCCATGGCTGCCCGTGCGGCCGACATTGCACCTGCAGCCACCACCGAGCACAGCCTGGCGCTCCGGGTGCGCACGCTCGTGCGCCAGGAGCTCGAGCGCCTCGACGGCGTCGCACAGCACATGGGCGCCCGCGTCGTCTTCTGCTGGGACGGGCCGAGCGTCGCGGACCTCAAGCGGGACCGGACAAGCGAGCGCATGCGCCAGCGCAAGCTCAACTCGCGGCAATGGCACGCAGAGGCCAGCCGCTCGCGCCCGCGCGAGCACGTCCTGGCCCGCCACGCCGGCGAGGCTGCGATGCACGCCCTCGGCGAGCTCTACGCGCCCCAGGGCATCGACGCGCTCCTCAACAGCCTCGGCCAGCAACGCGTGAGGAGCGCCGCAGCACTCACCAGCGGCCGCTGCGTGCACGTCGTCGCCGACGACGAGGCGGACTGCCTCATTGCGCAGCTCGCTGTGCGCCACGGGCACGGCGAGTCGACGGCGGTGCTCTCCAACGACTCGGACATGCTCGTGCACGCCTGCGACGAGGACTCGTACCGCTGGGTGGTGCGCCCGGCACCCGTCACCGTCAAGCCGGCGGAGAACTACGGGCTGGCGGCGCCGCTCTTCCACCACCAGCACCTGTTCGACCGCACCCTGCTCGGCACTGTGCTCAAGCGCCGCTTCAGCGCCATGTTCCCGCCGGCATTCGACCCGGTCGCCTACCTCGTCTTTGTCGCCACGGGCAAGACCGACTACGGCAACGGCTTCCACGGCGTTGGCGCCATGGGCCTCGCCAAGGACGGCCGCATCCGCCGCGCGTGCAGCCAGGCCGTCGGCGCCACGGTGGCCTTGCGTGCGACCGATGCCGTGCGCCGCTTGGGCGCAGCCGTCGGCGCATCGGCCGAGAACGTCGTCAAGGTGCAGTGCATCGTGGCCGTGTACGCCACCGGGCGGCACACGGCCTGCACCGCGCGCAGCACCGTCATGGCCGAGGCAGAGAGTCGTGCGCGCAGCTTTGGCTACCGCAAGGGCGCCGCCTTCGTCGACTACCGCGTGGGCGTCAGCAAGGTGCACCAGCCGGTTGTGCCTGTGCTCCGCACCGTGCGCCAAGGGCACGTCGTCGGCGAGGAGCTCGACTTCAAGCGCCAGGTCTCTCGCTCCGTACTCTCGCACGCCGTCGAGGTGCTCGTGCCGCGCTCGCAGATTGATGCGCCGCACACGCATCTGACGCCCGACAAGCCTGCGCCGCTTCCGGTCTGGGACGAGGACAAGAACATTGGCAAGAGGATCAGAAAGGCGAGCAAGGCGGCCAAGCACAGCTCCTCCAAGACGCAGCGGCGCGCATCAAAGCGCAACGCCTCGCCTACGTCGGAGCTTACGTTCGACGAGCACGTCTTTGACAAGTGGGACTCGAGCGACGAGTCGTACGTGGGTGAGGGGTCAGAGGGAGGATATGGCAGCGAGGCGGAGAAGGAGGGCAGCTCGGATGCGTCCAGCGACGAGTGGGACGAGGGCTTGAGGACCGAGTCGGATGGGGAGTCGGATGAGGAGGCGGACCAGGCGCCAGGCGCCAAGGGCCGGTCGAGGGCGGCCAGCAAGCCGCAGGCGCAAGGCAGAGCAAAGACGAGCACCACGGACAAGCGCTACATGGTCAAGGTGAGCGCTTGCGCCCGCACATGACGTCCTCCAGGGCTGACGCCTTTGCAGCGTTTCGGCACCAGCGTGGCGTGCACAACGATCGGCGAGCTTGCCAGCGCAGGCAAAGGCACCGGGCGCTGCGAGCGCATCGCCAGCGTGGCGGCGCTCATTTCGGCCATCGCAATGGTGCAGCAGAGCGGCGTCATGGCTCTGCGCGCGGCCATCGTCGAGATGCTGCGCCTGGAGCCTGGCTGGCTGACCTGCGATGAGGCTCAGGCTCAGAGGCGCCTGGTGGCGCTGTTCAAGTCGTGTCGCACGGACATGCGGCAGGGAACAAGCAAGCCTCGCCGATGGAACTGCACCGACGAGGAGCACCGCGCCATCGGCAACACGGGCGACGCCACCCACAACATGCTCCTAGCACGCCGCGCCGTGGTCGCCGCCGGCAGGTGGCCGCTGCCGGCGCAGGACACCCTCATGCTCGGCAGCCACAACCTGCTCGCCGAGGCGGCGTTCAAGCACCTCGCAGGCCTTGCTGAACGCGTGCGTGGCATGGTGGCGCGCGGCGTGCGCAAGCTGTGCGCCGGCGACAAGACGTACGAGAAGCGCGTGCTGCGCGTGCTGATGCACACGAGCCTGCCGGACGAGTACGGCGTGTCGCAATACACCGTGCGCGACGGCGACGTGCGCCTGCAGCGCCTGGTGGCGCGGCGCGACCGGCTGTTCACCGAGGCACGCCAGCAGCTCGACAACCGCAGCGAGGCCGGCTGGCACAGCACTCCCGACGAGATCATCCGGAGCCAGCGCGGCATGGTGTCGGTGCACCTGTTCTCCGCGTGGGCGACGGAGATCAGCGGCGAGGCGGTGCTGCGCATGGAGGCGCCATCCTTCGTCGAGATCTTCGTGCCGCACAACATGGGCTACGTGACGGTCGGCGCGAGAGGACGGCAGACGGCGATCGCGCGCTGGGTGACGAAGAACGCCGACGCGCTTGCCACGTCGTTCAACACGGAGCGGCTCGAGCGCAGCGGGCTGCAGCAGCAAGACGGCAAGTGGGTCGCCAACGAGGAGCTGCTGCTGGCAATCGAGCGCTTCAACGCACACTTCAAGAAGCGCTACGGCGTCAAGAAAACCAAGCACTTTGTTGCTGCCGCGCAGGAGCACACGCTTGACTTCCTCGAGCGCGCACTCATGCTGCAGCCCAACGGCTGGGCCAAGATGGGCCTGGGCGCGGCGTGCATGCCGACGGCGCGCCTCTGCAGCGACGGTTTCCGCCTGCGGTGGGACTACTGCGACCTGCGCCGCCCAAAGTACTGGTGCATGTCGAAGGAGGCGGCAAAGGCGGACGGCCGGTACCGCCCCGGCGAGCCCGTGTGGGACGAGTGCAGCGAAGTCGTCGACGCGCAGAAGGGCACGCTGTGGTGGCGGCGGCTGCAGCTGCTCACCGCAAGCACCGGGCGGCAGGGGCCGGCGCTCCTCGTGTCCAGCCTGCCGCACGGGCAAGACTTTGCAGGCGACTCAAAGTCGCGCACGAGTGCCGATCAGGGCGGGCTGGGCGGTGAGTGCTCACCTGCCTGCTCTTCCGGCCAGTGCGCTGACCCTGCGCAGGCACGACCGGCCTTGAGCGCACACAGGAGGCGATTGCCAAGGCGCATGCGGCCGGGCGCACGGTGCACCACGTCGGCATCGACCCCGGCATTAACAACGTGCTTACGGCGTCGCGCATTATCGGCCTCGAGGAGGGCACGCTGTACACGCTGCCGGGCCAGCACACGCACCCCGACGGGCGTCGGCCGCTCAGCAGCAAGGAGCGCGCCGAGGAGGGCCTGCCGGCCTACAGCAGGACACAGAACGGCCGGACGATGGGCGACCGCCTCTACCGCGCGACGCCGGACGACGTCGAGCAGTACGCGCGCCGGCAGTCGGTCGCACTCACCAAGGGCACGCTCGACGACCACGCCACGGCTCTCGCTGTGGAGCTGCAGCTCCTCGAGGCCGAGCACCATCCTCCCGAGCACGCCAGCGAGGGCGAGCGTCAGCGACACCGGGCGGCCTTCAACCAGCACTCCGACACCATTGCGCTGCGCGAGGAGCTCATGCGGGTCGAGGAGCGGCAGCGTGATCTGGCGAGCGAGGCGATGCTGGAGTGGCTGCTGATGCGAGAGGGCGGGGTCATGGAGAAGAGGCACCAGGTGTGGGATCGGCAGGACGCGCTGGTGGTGGTCAGCGTCGGCAATTGGAGGTGAGTGCCGCTGTGCGGACATTCTCGGAAGCTGCAGGCTCACGCACTGCTGCAGATCGAAGCGGCGCGGCGGACTGCCCGCGCAGTGCAGCGGCGACGTTCTGCGCCACTGCATGAAGCTTACGGCCATCCGGAACCTGCCGATCGTTTGGCGGCTGCAGGACGAGTACCTCACGTCGTCGGTGTGTCCCGCCGGGTGCAAGTCTCGGACCGGCGCACGCGTCGACGGCAAGGCAAACCCCAAGGGGACGTCTCAGCGAGTGGCGAGCCTGCGCAAGTCTTTTGCGGCAAAACCGTGAGTCAGAATGCCGACGCTGCGCATGCATCGCCGCGCATGCATTGCGGCGCATGCATTGCCGTGCATGCATTGCCACGGATGCATTGCCACGCATGCATCGCCGCTGACGCATGGCCACAGTCTCCGCGACATCAAGTACTGCCCGTGCTGCGGCCGCGTGTATGGGCGCGATGTGCTCGGTGCCCTGAACATCCGGGCAGGCGGCATGCATGAGCTGGCCCACAACACGGGGGCCTGGAGATGAGCCCAGCCAGAGTTTGTGCATAAACTCACGAACCTGGCGGGTCCGACGTTGCGTCATGTACCGTTAGACGAAACCCCCCATGAACGATGCCTCGCCCCTGCCGAGCGGCCGCCGCGCCGCGCGGACCCTGGCTCTGCCGGCACAGCCCAACCTCCGCCGCCGCCGCCGAGCCGCGTGGCGCCGGCCCCTGCATGGCGCATAAGGCTGAGAAGACGTCCGCGTGCTCCATCGTGCCGCTCGTTGCTCTGTCTGCGCAGCAGAGAGACCACGACGATGGACAGCGACAGCAGCGCAACAGCGGAGCGGGTCGGGTGTGCATCTGTCCGACGAGCGCGCGAGATCGTCATCATCGGGCTCCGAGCGCGTCTGGGAGCAAGTCGTGGACAGCCAGCGCGCGCCGGCAGGTGCCTGCCGCAACATCTCCTGGACCTCCTCTCGCTGCGCAGGTGGCCGCATCTGGCAGAGCAGCAGCTATGTCCTGCGTCCTATCGTGAACAGCTAGGATCGCTCGTCGTGTCGCAAAGCGCGAAGAAGCGAAGGCGCCAGACGGCAGGGCATCGTGCCTCTGTGGGGGGCGGCCTCGGGAGAGGGGGGCGCGGCTGAAGTCACGTGCGCGTGCAAGCGTCATGGAGCAGGGTCAGCGAGGCCTCGACGCGGCGCTCGTCTTCCCGCCATCACAGCCTCTGCAAGCGCCGCCATGCAATTCGAGACTCATACTGGCCCAGCGTTCAGAGCGCTTGCGCATGTTCTGAACTCCGACGTGCACTGACACAAAGGCGCAACAGCGCGGCCTGTGCGAAGTGGGATAGGCAGCCGGTGGGGATGCACCCCGCACCCGCCATCGGTCGGCTCCCACAGATCCATCAAAGCAGAGCAGCAGCGGCAATCTGCGGCTCTGAGTTCGCTGTGAGTCATGCAAGGACCCAGTCTCGCTGTGGGAGCTGCCGCTGCACAGACCCAAGCCCTTCGGCCGAGCTTACCCATGCCACCCCTTCGACGCAGACAGATGGCCACCCGAGGAGGCGCAGTGTCAGCATCTGAGCGGCCGACGCAGACCTTGCCATCGCGCAGCTGCATCAGTAGGATGCAGCGCCGCCGCTGGTGCGTCTCACAGGGCAGCTCGCAGCTCCCAGGGCCTCGCACGCACCAGCGGCCATCGGCCGCCAGACGCCCGGCACACGCGGCTCCGGCACCGCGGCCTGCCGTGCGGTGTGCCATAGCTCAGGATCCAGTCACAGCTGCGCTAGGCCCTCGATACAACGGCTCGCTGGCGTTGAACGACCTTCATCCAACAACGGCGCCACGAGCGGCGGCCTCGCAGGCGCGCAAGCGTCCAACGGCCGGCCGCGCGCCAACGCCCCACGCGCGTCTTCGCCGAGGCTCGCTCCGATCCTCATAAGGCGTGGCACACGGGCAAGCCAGACGCCTGCTCCTTGTCTCGTCCACACTCTTCTCGCTCTCCCAGCTTGGCTACTCTTACTCTCGTCGCAGTCTTACCTTCTTATCCTTCACAGCTCGTAGCCGGTCTACTTGCTCTTTTAGCACTCAGCAACCTCACAGTCTTTCACTCTTTCATTCTTTTACTTCCCACCTTCTCTTCACCTCTCGCCTCAAAGATGAAGCTCTCCAACACCTCCACGCTCGTTGCCGCGCTGGCTCTGGCTGGCAACGCTGCTCGCGCGCAGCCGGCGCCGTCGAGCTCGTCCGTCGAGGCTCTGCCGGCAGTCAAGGCATCGTCGAGCAGTGCGGCGCCTGCGCCCACGTCCACGGTTGTCACCACACAGACCACCACGCAGACAGTCACCGCTGTTCTGCTCACCTCAGAGGCGCCCGTCGCCTCGTCCAGCTCGAGCGGCGCCAGCGTGATGATCACGTCGGCGAGCGACGCGAAGCCCTCTGCCAAGCCGACCAGCTCGGTCGCGGGCGCTCGCCGTGCCGCACCCTACCACCTCCGTCGCTCTGCCCAGGCGAAGGAGGCGGCTGCGGCCCAGCCGCGCAGCGCTTCGATGCAGCGCGTGCGTCGCTCGCCGCTCTTTGCGCCGCTGCTCGAGCCGCTGCTCGCTGGCAGCGCCTCGGCGCAGCCCACCGCCGCCGCTGCCACGGCGGCTGCCGGTGCCGCAGCAACGCCCGATGCCAGTGCCATCTCCCAGGCGATGGCTGAGGCCGCCAGTGCCATCTCGTCTGCCGTCGCTGCAGCGGGCGCCACTGCCTCCTCGGACGCTTCCGCTGCTGTTGCGACGGCAGTGCAGTCCGCCGCGGTGGCGCCCTCGCGCCGCACCTGGTACGGTCTGCGCCGTCGCGCGGACGACGAAGACACGCCAGCGCCGGCTCCCAAGGCCAAGGCCACGCCGACGAAGGCCAAGGCGAAGCCGAAGCCCAAGGCGACTGCCAAGCCTAAGCCCAAGGCTAAGGCTGCAGAGGAATCCGAGGAGCCCCAGGACGACGAGCACGACGGCGAGATTGCCATCACCGTCACGCGCACGTACTACGTCGACGACCAGGAGGAAGGGCGCCGCCACGCGCACACGCGCGAGGCTGCAGCGAAGCCCTCTGCCACTGCGGCCAAGGTCGCGGCGGCCGCCGCCGTGCCGACGGCCGCCGGACAGGCCCCGTCCGCTGCTGCGGCTGTGGCGCTGAAGCCGCGCATGCAGAAGGTGCAGCGCCGCCTGCTCAACCTCGGCGCATCGGGCCAGGATGACGGCTACTACAGCGCCGACGCCGACGTGCAAGCCGACGCGCAAGTCGAGGTGGGCAACCTCAATGCGCAGGCCTCGTACAAGGCGGATGCACCCGACAGTGACGACGAGGACTGCGAGGACGATGATGCCGCTGTCAACGTCAACTGGGAGCGCCGCGATACATTTGAGGAGTCCGACGAGCAGCCGGGCATCTCGCTGCAGGACCTGCTCGACGAGGAGACGTCGCTGCGAGAGGACCTCGAGGAGTTCAAGAACTCGAACCCCACGCTGAGCGCTCAGCTCGGCGCGCAAAAGCGCCAGGTCGCCGGCACGGACGGTGAGTTGGTTTGCGGCCTCGCGCGGTGTCACCATGTGCTGACTGCTCTGCCCAGCTGAGCTCACCGGAGCGCAGCAGGCAGCGCTGCAGAGCCTTGTGCAGGGCCTGCAGGGCTCTGTCGCTGGTGTGCCTCTCTCTGCTGACGGCGCGACTGCGGCGGTGTCCGGCGCGGCCGGCGCAGCTTCAGGCGCTGCGTCGACTCTTTCAGCTGCGCTCTCGCAGTACTTCCCAGGCGCCTCGGCTGCACAGCTGCAGGGCCTGGCTAGTCTCGTGGGATCGCTCTCCAGCACTGGCACTGCGCAGGCTGGCCAGCTCGTCGGCTCGCTCTCCGGCCAGCTTCCCGCCGGCCTGTCCAACCTTCAGGGCTTGACGGGCGCCGGCTCGGGTCTCTCTGGCGCTCTCGGAAGCGCCGGCTCCCAGCTGCCCAATCTCGGAGGCATTCAGTCGCAGCTCGGCACGGCAGCTCAGTCTGTCAGCGGCCTGCTCCCGAACGGCCTCAACATCGCCGCGCTGCAGCAGCAAATCGCCCAGGCCCAGGGCCTCACCCAGGGTCTTCAGGGTGCGCTTCCGCAGGGCCTGTCTCTCGATGCACTGCAGAGTCTGCAGGGCGCACTGCCGCAGGGCCTCTCCGCGGGCGCACTCTCGGGCTTGACCCAGAACCTGCCGACCGGCGCTCTGACCAGCGCAGCAGGCGGCATGCTGCCGCAGCAAGCCTCGCAGCTGCTCAGCTCGCTGTCTGCCAGCCAGCTCACGCAGCTCCTCAACGGCACGCCGCTTGCCTCTGTGCTCGGCGGCTCCGGCCTCGGAGGCCTGACATCTGGTCTTCCGCTGGTCGGCGATCTTGGCGTCAACCGTCTCGACGTCAAGAGCATCCCCGGCGCTCAAGATGTCGCTCCGGCTGCGACCGCCGCCACGGCAACGGGCTCGCTCGTCGCTGACATGACTCCGGAGCAGCTTACTGATCTGGCTGCAGCCATCAGCCAGCAGCAGGCCGCGCAGTCGTCCGATCCTCTCACGGCCGTCAAGCCGATCATGCCGTCGACCGCGTCCGGCTACCTCCCCGCCGCCGCGTCGTACGGCGCTCCCGTTGCTGCTGCCTACGGTCAGGCTGCCGCGGGTGCGCAGCCTTACCTTGCCCCTGCGCTGGCGGGCTACGGCATCTACGGTGGCTCGGCCGTCACTCCCGCGCCTCAGTCGCCTGCTGCCGCACTGTCGGCTGAGGACCTCGAGCGCGTCAAGAGCGTGCTCAGTGGCGCTGGCAGTGCGCTGCCCTCGCCACCTGCGGGTACGCCGGCCAGCAGCGATGCCTGGACGCCGCTCACTGCCGCTGCGGACGCTGCCGCTACCGTCGCTGAGCAGCAGTCGGAGGCCGCCGACGGCGAGCCGCCGCTCCTGGGCGACGCCGCGGGCAACGCAGTGACGCCCGCGCAATACGTCAAGAGCCTCACCTCGGCGCAGGTCAGCGAGCTCACCAGCCTCCTGCTCTGGGGCAACTCGACGCACAAAAACGAGACGGTGCTCAACCCCAGCAACAAGACGGCCGAGTCGAAGTCCTTCGTCGCCCAGGCGCCGCTTCCCGGGGTCACTGGCGCGCTGCCGCAGCTGCCTGCGGGCATTCAGCAGGCTCTCAACGGCGGCGGTCTGCGCCTCGACAGCGGCACCCTTAGCCAGCTCGCGGCACAGGGCCTCAACGTCGGCCAGCTGCAGTCGCTGTCGCAGCTGGGCCTGCCGCTCGACACTTCCACGCTCACGAGCCTGGCCAGCCAGGGCATCGACATCGGCTCGCTCGCGGCGGCCGCGCCGAGCCTGCAGGCCCTCACCTCGAGCCTGCCCGCTCTCCAGGGCCTGTCGGGCGCGCAGCTCAGCCAGCTCCAGGGCGTGCTCGCCGGTCTGCCGCTCGCCGGCCAGCTGCAGGGCACGGCCGGCGGCCTGGCCGCGCAGGGCCAGGGCCTGCTCTCCGGTGTTGCCGGCGGTGCAGGCGGCGGTCTTGTCTCCGGCCTGTTGAACAAGCTGCCGCTGAACCTCAAGCAGCAGGAGGGCGAGCAGAGCAAGGCTGCTGCGAGCGCCGCGTCGAGCCCCGCCACCTCGACCGGCAGCGCTGCCGCCTCGCCGACGACGATGTGGGCGTCCGCCACGCCTATCCCGTCGTCGCCTTCGAGCTCGTCTGACGCTGCAGCCGCAACCACTGCACCCGTGGCGGCCTCGACCGAAGACAACTTCCCTGCCGTCGAGCCTGTGCCGGCGCCTGCGAGCGACAGCAAGGCCGAGGAGACGTCCTCGGCCGCGCCAGAGCCCGCAGCGTCCGCCGCACCTGCCTCGCCCGGCAGCCGTGTCGCCGCAGCCGCCTGGAACAAGGACGATGCACCTGCAGCACCTGCGCCGATCGCGGCCGCCGCCGCGTCGTCGGCGCTTGGCGCTGCACCGCTTCCCAGCTCCGCCTGGTCCAGCGCAGCGGCCGCTGCATCCTCCGCCGCCAGCGCCACGAGCGACGCGCCGCTGCCGATGTGGACGTGGCACCCGGACGCCGAGGACCGCATGGTCGAGGCCATCGCCGCACGCGGAGCTCGCCCGCTCTTTGCTGTCGAGGCCCGCGCCATGGACGAGTACTCCGAGGTGCAGCGCCACCGCGGCGCCTTCTGGACCCCGCGCGGCATCGCTCATGCCCTTGGCCTTGTCGCCTGATCGCTTCCAGCTTCTGAGGTCACCCTCCCTTCCTCCCTCCCTCCCTCCCTCCCTCCTGATTCCCTCTACACCTTCTTTGCTGCGCAGAGCAGTGTTCGTGACCACACAATGCAAGAGTAGCCCTATCTGCCTGACAGCTTGACCGGTGACAATGATGGCAATGACTCACTCCGCCCCGCCTGCTATCCGAAGCGCCTCTGTGAAAGCGCTGTCCAGGCTCGGCCCGTCGTCCAGAGTCTTGCCTAGAAAGAGCTCCTCGAGATCTGTCCGTCGCCGCGTCTCCTCGCGTCCCCGCTGACCGTCTCCTTGCAGCAGCTGCACGTAGACGCTGCCGCCCTCTGCATGTGTTGCGGACTCGAGCACCTCTGCGCCTGCAGGTGCGGCGCTCACGCGAGCACCCAACCGGTCGCATGTCGGCACGAAGCGAAGCTCGACGCGAAGGCGCGACGTCTCGCGAGACCGCTTCTGTCCAGCTGCATCAGCAGCAGAGGCACGGCTCAGCGGGGCCTCCAGCCGCACGGCCAGATGTCCAGCTGAGGCGTAGCCCTCGACTGCAGAGTCTGATGACCCAGTCGCCAGCGCCTTGAAGGCCTCACGCCGGTGAAGGCCCGCCTGCAGGTGCTCGTACACCGCACTCAGGAACGGCTGTTGCCAGACTGTCAGCCCGCACGATGCGATTGAAGCGCGACAGATGCTCACCTCGCAGCTTCCGCCCATGCGCCCCAGCTCATGCACCAGGTCCCAACCTCCAGTCGCGTCGTCGGTGTGCTCTGCCGGCGGCAAGAGCTCTGCCACGAGCTGCGGCAGCGGCACCCACGACGGGATGGTGTGCCGCACAAGCTGCAGCGGCGCGCGCATGCCGGCTGCCACGATGGCCGCGGGCAATGTCGAGCTGCCGCCAGAGTCGAGCGTCGAGAAGGTGACCTCTGCGTCAGCGGGTGGCGCGCCGCGGGCGAAGAGCAGGTAGTGCGGCTCGTGGAAGCGGCCTGCAGCACCAGTCAGCGCAGCTCTCTTGCACGGCGGGCTGTCACGCACCTCCACAGAAGCCCTCCATGCGCACGCCGATGCCGACCTGGCCGCCCTGGCTCTTGGCGCGCCGGCCGGGCGCCAGGTCCGCCTGGAACACCGTCCAGCCGGCAGTGCGCGCCAGCACGACGCGCTCCTCGAGCTCGGCCAGCTCGGCGGCGAGGGCGTGGGCCGGCGCTGCGCTGTCCTTGCTCGGCGACGGCAGCGCCTTGAGCTGTGCCAGCTCGGTGCGCAGCGAGGCACGCGTGGCCTTGAGCGCGGCGACTGTGGGTCGTGTGAGCGTAGAGCACAGCGAGGAGCAAGCACAGGCACGCACGGCGATGCCGCAGCACCTCGAGACTCGGGCCTGCAGCGGGCGCAGAGCCCGAGCCCGAGCCTGACGGCACGGGCGACGAGGCAGGAGCAGTTGCGGCCATGGAGGAGCTGGTGCGCCGGGCGTGGGAGCGGGAGCGAGGATGGCGAGAGGTGGAGCGGACGGGTGGAACGCGTCGCGTCGCGAGCCGCGTGTGTTGATCTCTGCTTAGTCAGCATGCTCCCACCCCCCCCGGAGCGCTGGCCCGTCGGATGCGCCTCCTCACCTGGCGCGCCTCGCTGCGCGCTGACGGTGCCGGCCTGCCGCCCGCATAGCTGGGCAAAAGCCACGCCGGCCCCGCGCGGCGCACCAACGCAGCGGTGCTGCCCTTGCCGCCCGCCTCACGCTCCTCGGCCGCCCGCACCCGTCGACCCGCTCGCATCGCGCGCTGAGATGTCCCATCTCGCCGTCGTCGGCGAGCGGCAGCGCTGCGAGGCTCGGGCTCGGGCTCTGCGCTGGCGCCCGCAGCGCTGCCGCAGCATCAGCCCATGTGTCGCGCGGCGGCTCTGCGGCGAGCTGCACTGCCGCCGCAGCCGCGCATCAGCATGCGCCGCACCTTAACCTCGTCCCGGCCCCTTGCCGCGCCAGAAGGCGGCCTGCTGCGGCGCTGGACGAGGCCGATCAGCATCCAAGGCCGATGTCGAGTGCCGCAGCTGGCTGCATTCGGCGGCGGCGCTGCTTCTGGCGCCTTTTCTCCGAACAGCCAAGCGTGCTCGCCGCCGTCTCGGGCGCTGGCGCGTGTCGTGGGCATCGCCGATGACTGCCGGCGCGCACGAGCGTTGCCGCCTGATGCTGCCGAGCACTGCATCCTGGCTGCCGGGTCGAATCAGCGAATGCCATGCTGTGGCGAAGCGAGCAGCATCAGCGGCTGCCCAGGCAGAAGCTTCTGCTTCTCTGCAGCGCTGGCCGGCACCGTTCGCTCTGCGGCTGCTGCCGGTGCCGAGTGCGGCGTGCGCCGCGTGCGGCGTGCGCCGCGTGCGCGCGTGCTGCGGCTGCGATGCATGCCTCGCGGCGTGCAGCGTGCGGCATCGGGGCGCCGCTGGATGTGCTCCGCCATGCACCGCTGACGCTGAGGCACGCAGGGTGCGCCCGTCCGTCTGCCCGGCGCCGGCCCGCCAGCAGCACGCCCGCCGCCGCACCCGCACCGGGCCACGCCTTGCGCTGCGCCGGCAGCAGCGGGCGTGGCACAGGCAGCCGCTGACGCTGCCGTGTGAGAGGCAGAGCAGACGCCGAGGCGCGGTGGGTGGTGCGGCGGTGCAGCCTCGCCACGCGCGCGTGCTGCTGTTGCTCTCGGTGTTGCTCTCGCGCCGCGGCCGCTGCTGGTGCGCTCCGCCGGCCGCGACGCTCGCCTCGCCTCGCCGCTCGCTGCTCGCTGCTCGCCGGGCCCGCCTAGCCCGTCGTCACCGCCTCGCAGCCTGCTCTGCACCACCATACCCCTCCGCCGTGTGCCCGTCCCTCACCCCGCCGCCGCCGCCGCCATCTCTCCTTAGGCCCACCCCACCCCGACCGCTGCACGCGCCTCCGCCAGCGTCTCCGCCCGTCCGCCGACCCGCCAGGCGTCCGCGCTGTGCAACCGACACTCTCTTTTGATTCTCACTCTCTCGCCACTCCGCCCCTCCCCTTCCCACTCCATCTCTCTACCGCCGTCGCAGTCCGTCGTCGCTCCACCTTCTCTTCGTCTCGCGTCTCGAGCCTCGCGGCTTGCATCTTCTCCGTTTCTTCGCCTCCGTGTCCTCGAGTCTCTAATACAGCGCTGCGATCGCGACGCTCCGCAGACCTTTCTGCACGAGCACGATCCTCGCTCCCTGTCTTCTCCTTCTCTCCGTGAGTGTGCAGCATCCGCGCGACGGTGGCGGTGGTGGCGGCACTGGGTGCTGATGCGGATGGCAGGCAGCTAGCATCTCGCCATGTCTACCTCGTCGCCTCGACGGGCCCCGGCGATTCCTGCCAACGTGGCGCCGATGCCGTTGCAGCCTCGTTCCACGCCCAACCACATCGTGCCACCGCGCACCGCCGCATCCTCCGGCAAGGGCGCCATGGCGCCTCCGTCGGGCTCGCACCGCGTGCCCGCGCCGTCTGCCGGCAGCAGCAGCAGCCGTCCGGCCAAGAGCGCCGCTGAGCAGGCTACTTCCGGCCGCTCGCGGCATGCGCAGCCGCGCGAGCGCACGGGTGAGGCTCGTGCCACTGGCCGCCTGGCGACGGAGAAGAAGCGCGAGCACAAGGACCCGCCGAGCATCGGCCCCTGGAAGCTGGAGCAGCTCATCGGCCAGGGCGCAAGTGGTGAGTGGCGGCGAAGGCGCGACGTCAAGCGCATGACTGATTGCGGCACTCGCAGGTCGCGTTCGTCTCGCCACGCACACGCAGACGGGCAAGCAGGCAGCCGTCAAGATTGTGCCGAAGCAGGCCATCCTCTCGTCGCGTCTGTCGCTGCGCGACGCCGGCGCCAAGCAGGACAAGATGACGCTGGGCATTGAGCGCGAGATTGTCATCATGAAGCTCATCGAGCACCCGAACCTGCTCGGTCTGTGGGATGTGTACGAGACGAGCAAGGAGCTGTGAGTGTGGCAGGTGTGTCGTGTGATGCTGCTGGTGCTGACGGCGCACGCACAGGTACCTCATCATGGAGTACGTGGCGGGCGGCGAGCTGTTCGACCACCTCGTGTCCAAGGGCCGGCTGGAGCCGCACGAGGCGCGCTCGTACTTCCGCCAGATCATCTGGGGCATGGACTACTGCCACTCGTACAACATCTGCCACCGCGACCTCAAGCCCGAGAACCTGCTGCTCGACGCGACGAAGAAGATTGTCAAGGTGGCCGACTTCGGCATGGCGGCGCTGCAGCCGGCCGAGAAGATGCTCGAGACGAGCTGCGGCAGCCCGCACTACGCCTCGCCCGAGATCGTCAGCGGCAAGAAGTACGAGGGCAGCATGAGCGACATCTGGTCGTGCGGCATCATCCTCTTCGCGCTGCTCTGCGGTCGTCTGCCCTTCGACGACCCCAACATCCAGAACCTGCTGGCCAAGGTCAAGAAGGGCCACTTCGAGATGCCCAACTGGCTGCAGCCGCAGGCGCAGGATCTCATCTGGAGCATGCTCGAGATCGAGCCGACGAAGCGCCTGCGCATGGACCAGATCATGAAGCACCCCTGGTTCACCGACAACGGCCGTCTGAGCAGCGCCAACCCCGTCAAGCCCAACATCCACAAGCTTGGCAGCGACCAGTTCCCCGTCGAGGACCTCGACACGGACCTGCTCGGCAACCTCAAGACGCTGTGGCCCGAGCTGAGCGAGGCGCAGCTCACCGAGCAGCTCAAGAGCACGGGCGGTAACTGGCACAAGACGTTCTACTCGCTCCTCGCCAATCATCGCGACAACCATCTCGGCGACGACGAGGACGACGACGACGTCGAGGCGCTCACGCAGGCGCAGGCGTCGACTGCACCCGCAGGTGGCAACAGCCTGGGCCTCGCACTCGGCATCCCGGCACAGAGCGACCGGGAGCGCGAGAAGGAGCGCGAGCGAGAGAAGGAGCGCGAGCGCGTCCAGCGCCAGCTGCGCGAGCAGGAGAAGCGCGTGCAGGCGCGTCGCTCGTCGGACAATGCCTCGAACGCCTCGAGCTCGCGCTCGTCTTCGGTGAAGAAGGAGGCGGCGGCGGCTCCCCAGCTGGTTGCACACCGTCCGGCACCTCATTCGCCTGGCAAGAACGTGGCAGCGGCTGTCGCCGCCCGCACCCAGGCCGAGGCACTCGCGCGGCAGGAGGCTGCGGCAGCGTACCGCAACTCGCCGGCTCGCAGCCGAGGTGCCTCGATCGACGCACCTCGTTCCCCAGCTGGTGGCGCGTACCACGCAGCGCCCGTCGGTGGTCGCTCTCCCGGCCGGCAGTCGCTCGACCAGCCGCGGCCAAGCTACCTCGCCGCTGCACCGCCGTCGCCGTCTACGGTGCGCAAGCCGCTGCCGTCGCCTCAGCTCGCCGGCGACGACCTGTTCGCAACGCCCGAAACGCAGCGTACACCGGTCGGCCCATCGCTCCAGCGACGCACCACTTCGCCGACGCAGCGCCCTGCCGCATCGCCGCGCGCTGTGATCGCCGATGCCTTCGACAGCACGCCGTCTCGCAACACGCGAAGCGGACGTGCGTCCGACACCACGCCTCGCGCACAGAACGTCCGCGCCTCATCTCGCTCAGGCTCGCCAGAGCGCGGCAGCGGGCGCCCTGCCAGCGCACATGGCAGCAGTGGAGCACCGTCCATTGCTGTGCCTCAGGTCGGCGATGCGACGGTGCAGCGGTTCTTCCAGGAGATCGCCGACGAGCTCGCAAACATCCGCGCCACGGGCGAGAACCCCGAGGCGCTGCAGCTCAAGTTCGATCGCCTCAAGGAGGTCGCAGTTGCCAGCTCAGTGCCGGTCCCGAATACGCCAGTGCTGGCCAGCCGCCCGCCGTCGCGCGGCAGCTCGCGGCCAGGCTCGCGTGCAGGCTCTCGACCGGCCTCCGTGCTCAGCGGCACGTACGGCGCGCGCCCGGACAACCGCCAGGACATGCAGTTCGAGGATGCCGACGAGGACAGCGACGATGACCTGCAGAGTGTGCGCAGCGGCACCGCCTCGGAGTCGTCTCGCGGCTACCCATACACGCCGACCTCGCCCATCCCGCCTCCGCTGGCGAGCCCCAGCGGTACTACCGCCCCGCTGGCCGTGGCCGACAAGGACTACCGGTCCGGCCGCCCGACGCTGCTGCGCGGCGTCACGAGCCCTCGTCCGGCCAGTGTCTTCAGCACGGCAACGACGAGCAGCACTACTTCTGCGCCCACTTCGAGCGGCACTGGCACGCTCGGTCGCCGACGCAGTCTCCTCGGCCGCCGCAAGGCCGCCGTGTCGGAGCAGGCACCTGCCGAGTCGGGTCGCACCTCGCTGGCCTACGAGCGCCTGCAGGATGCTGGAGCTGCTCGCTCGGCAGCTGGCACCTCTGCTCCGCTCGCAGCCTTCGCAGCCTCTCGCGGGCCCAACGCGACCAACTCGCCGACACGCCTGCAGCAGAAGAACCCGGGCCTCGGCCTGGACATCTCGCACGGCGCGCCGCAGCACGGCAGCAGCATCGCCGCACCCTCGATCCGCAGCCCGGTGCCGAGCAACACGTCGGCACCGTCGACGCCGCGCGAGGGCGCCAGCCCCAAGCAGAGCTGGTTCTCCGGTCTCTTCAACTGGAAGGTCGAGAAGCACGTCCTGCTCTCCGTCGAGAACTTCTCTGCCACGCACGCCGAGGTGAAGCGCCTGCTGCTCAGCTCCGGCGCGCGCGTCTTCGTCGAGGACGCCGAGCACATGGGCGTGCTCAAGTGCTCCCTCGCCGAGGTCCGCGACGGCAGCGGCGCCAAGCCGGTGCGCTTCAGAGTCGAGTTCGCGATCCTGCCGATGAGCAGCAGCAGTGCAGCAGCGTCGCCGGCGCTCGACACGACGCGCCTCAGTGCGCCGTCGCCGGCACTGAGCAGCTACTCGGGCCGCAGCACGCCGAGCGACGGCGGCGTCTACGCCACGAGCTGCACCATCATACACGAGAAGGGTGCGCCCGCCGCCTTCCGCCGCACATACGAGGAGCTGCGCCGCAACTGGACCCTCGGCGGCGGCGCCGGCGGCATGTCGGTGCCGTCGAGCCCGGCCGCTGTCGGCCTCGGCATCGCTCGCTAGATTTTCCCTCCCCTTCCCAGCGCGCTGCCGCTCCCTTCCCACGCTCCTTTCTCTCGTCTCATTGTCACACTGCACGCATTGCCCCAGCACCACCGTCTCGCCACGCACCTCTGCCTGGCAGTCTCGCTCGCTTACTGCCTCATTGTCTAATTTATCCCTGATAGCAACTTGCCCACTCAGCCCTTGATGGCAGCCTTCAGCACGCTCTCCATCTGTTACGGAGCGGATCAGCTGGAGCGAGGGGAGCCGCCGCGGCGCGCTGCTCACCTCGTCGATGTCGTCCGTCTGGACGCGCGTGATCGAGCACTTGAGCGCCTGTTCGATGCCCGTCATGTGCCGCCACGACTGCTGGTCGTGCACGAAGTTGATCGAGATGCCCTTGCGCCCGAAGCGGCCCGTGCGGCCGATGCGGTGCAGGTACGTCTCGGCATCCGGCTCGCCGGACTGCGTGAGCGGCATGTCGTAGTTGATCACCATCGTGACCTGCATGATGTCGATGCCGCGGGCGATGACATTGGTGCTGATCAGGACTGCGGCGGCATGGCGTCAGCAAGAAGTCACCGGCAAGTGGTCGCACACGCCTCACCCTTGCTCTTGCCGTCGCGGAACGCATCGATGGTCCGGTCGCGGTCCGCCGTCTCAAGCTTGCCGTGCAGCGAGTCGACCTTGTGGCCCTCGGACGTCATGCGCTGTGCTATCCGGTCGGCCGTCTCGCGTTTCTGTGCGCAAGCGCTGCGTCAGTAGCTGGTCTGCAGGGCTGTGCACCCTTACGCACTGCGCAGAAGATGATGCTCTGCCCGATCGTCAGCAGGTTGTAGAGCTCGACGAGGATGTCGTACTTGTGGTCCTCGTTCTTGCAGTCCATGTAGAACTGCTTGATGAGGTCGACGCTGAGCTCCTCCTGCTTGAGCCGGATCTCGTTGGCCGAGGGCGCCAGACGGCCGGCAAACTCGCGCACAACGTCGGGGAACGTCGCGCTGAAGAGGACGAGCTGGCAGGACTTGGGCATCGTGCTGGTGGGCTGGCGTCAGAGGCGCGGTCGTGCGAGCACAGCAGGCTGCTTACTTCTTCACGCGGATGCTCTGCTCGCCGAGGCTCTGCTGGTCGAGCATGTTGTCGGCCTCGTCCAGCACAAAGACCTTGACCGCGCTCGTGTCGATGCTGCGGTTCTTGATCAGGTCGAACGTCTTGCCCGGCGTGCCGACGACGACGTGCGCCGTCACTTTCTCGCCGCGCTTGATGCCATCGGGGATGGCGTACGCCGTCTTGACGGGCGTGTACTTGCCCATTTCGTGGACGACATCCATGATCTGCCGTGCCAGCTCGCGCGATGCTAGAGGGCAGGACAGGGCGCTCAGCTTCGTGGTCGCAAGGCGAGCGCAGCGTGCTGCTCACGTGCGAGCGCAACAGCCTGCGTCTTCGGCACGCTGAAGTCCACGCGCGACAGCATCGTCAGCACGAAGGCTGCCGTCTTGCCGGTGCCAGACTGCGACTGTCCGATCATGTTGCGTGGCCTGTACAGTAGCTTGTCAGAGCTAGAAGGTGGAGCGCACGTGCGGCGCAGCCCCTTGGCCAGCGCCCACCACTCACGGGTTCTGCAGCAGCAACGGCAAGGCACGCTCTTGGATCTTCGAAGGCTTCTGGTACTTCATGGCGTAGATGCCCTTGAGCAGCTCGGGCGCCAGGCCGAGGTCCTCAAAGGACTTGATGCTGTACAGCGGCGACGTCGGATCCGCCTGCTGGTCTGCCAGCGTGACCTGAAAGAGGCAGGGCATTAGTTGTATTCACGCGCAAGCACGCGGCCGGCACGCACCGTCACATCGTACGACGACTCCCGCAGCGAAGACGCTGCCGAGCGAGCAAGTCAGCTTGCCATGAATGTATGAGCAAGGCTTTTCCAGAGCTCACAGTTCTCCTCCTCTGCTGGTGCTGCTGGCGCAGCTGCCGCCGGCGCTGCCTCCTTCTTCGCCTCAGGCGCGTCTGTTCCGGCAGGCTTGGCCTCGTCTGGCTTCTTGGCATCGGCCGCGGCGGCAGGCGCAGCGCTCGAGGCAGCTGGCGCGTCTGCCGCCGGCTTGTCTGCCGCTGTGTCTGCCGGCTTGGCGCCCTCTGCGGCCTTGCCCATCAGGGTGTTGATGCGCGACGTGATGGCATCGAGGCCGGCATCCGGCTTGTCGCTCATGCTGGGCGGCGGAGCGGCGCTGCTGGCCTTGCGGTGAGAGGCTGTCGGGGGTGAATTCGGGAGATCACTGCTGTGCTAGTGATGAGAGAAGGCGGAGCAGTGGGAGCACAAGCGTCTGAGAAGGTGGTGGAGGAGAGGCAAGAAGCGCAGCCGCCGGCACGGTGCAGCAGCGGGGCGCGCTGCATCACGTGCTGCCGCTGCTCCCACGCCCACCTTCCCAGGTACGCCCGTGGACCGTGCGCCGCTAAGCGTGACTACAAGAGGGTGAAAGGGCCCGGCATCGGGCAAGCACCTCGCCTGTCAAAGCAAGGCGCAGGCGGCAGCTGGACACGTTGGGCTGCCCTTCCTCCTCCACTCCCATCCGCATCCCCGTCCACCAGCTCCTCGCTGTCGAGCGCTCCCCGCTCCGTCGCATCCTCACGTCCGCCGTGCCGATCGCTGAGCCGCAGAGCCACCCGGCTGGCCGTGCCTGCCCTGCCCGCCATGCCGGCGCCCGCGTCCGAGACGGCCGGCACCCGCCTCGCCGCCTCGTCCGACGCGGCGCCGCCCACCACGCCCGGCGGCAGCATCGGCACGCCGGCGTCGGCCTTCCTGCCGCGGCCCACCGACATCCGGTGCGTGGCACGCGGTGGCTGCCAGTGCGGCTGAGCTGACTTTGAGCGGGACCGCAGCTTCGCGCCCATCAATGTGCCGCGCCATCGCCGCCTGCAGACGATGGCCGTGCTCTTCTGGGGCCTGCTGCTGCCGCTCATGCTGGCGCTCTTCTTCCTGCTCCTGTGAGGCCATCGCGCGAGGCGATTGCTGCGAGGGTGCTCGTGCTCACGTCCCTCTCTTGCCCAGCTCCATTCCGCCGCTCTGGCCGTTCATCATCGCGTACCTGATCTGGATTGCGCGGGATCGCGCACCGGAGAACGGCGGCCGCAGGATCGAGGCTGTGCGCCGCCTGGCCGTCTGGCGCCGCTTCGCAGAGTACTATCCGGTTAGCCTGATCAAGGTGAGTTGCGCGAGATACACGAGATGATGAGAGGACGACACGCGCCATGGTGCTCGCTGGGACCTCATGCTGGCCGACCGCCTCTGTCGCTTCGTGCGTGGAGCTCACGCCGCACAACGCTTGCAGTCCGCCGATCTGCCGCCAGACAAGAGCTATGTCTTTGGGTGAGCATTGCTTGCCAGCTGCGAAGAAGCCATGCTGATGTTGCTTCCCTCACAGCTGTGGGTCGTCCTTGTGTTGAGCGTGTGCAGAGCGGAGCTGATTGTCCTGCCTGTTCGCTGCGCTGCTCCCCCAGACGTGAGTCTTATTGTGCCTTGACTTATGATCAAGTGCTGATGCCTTTCGCAGCACCCGCACGGCGTGATCGGCATGGGCGCCGTGGCCAACTTCGCGACATGCGCGACCGAGTTCCCGAGCTCCTTCCCCGGTCTCACGCCGCACCTGCTCACTCTGTCAAGCAACTTCAACATTCCGCTCTACCGCGACGTGATCCTCGCGCTCGGCATCTGCAGCGTCAGCAGGCGCAGCTGCGAGGCCATCTTGAAGAAGGGTCCGGGCAGCGCGCTGACGATCGTCGTTGGCGGCGCGGCCGAGTCTCTCAATGCGCACCCGGGCACGGCTGATTGTGAGTTCACTCGCCCTTTGCGCCGCGAACGAGGCTGACGCCGGGCACAGTGACGCTGCGAAGAAGGCTGGGCTTCATCAAGATCGCCATCCGCAACGGGTCAGTACAGTGCGCCTGATGCACGTCGACCCCACTCACGCTCGGCCTCGACGTACGCAGCGCCGACCTTGTGCCCGTCTTCTCCTTCGGTGAGAACGACATCTACATGCAGCTCGCGAATGCACCGGGCACACGGCTGCACTCGTTCCAGAAGCACTTCCAGAAGCTGTTTGGCTTCACGCTGCCCGTCTTCCACGGCCGAGGTGCGTCGGACCAAGGATCATGCCTCTGGCAAATGCTCACGTCTGCCACGCACAGGCGTCTTCAACTACTCGTTCGGCCTCTTGCCGTATCGTCACCCCATTGTGTCCGTCGGTGCGTCTGCTCCTCCAGCCTTCTGCAGCCGCCGCCGCTGACCGCTCCTGATCCATCTGCAGTGGGCCGCCCGATCAGCGTCACACGCAACGCGAACCCGAGCAAGCAGGAGCTCGAGCACTACCAGCGTCTCTACATCGAGGAGCTGCACCGGATCTGGGACACCTGGAAGGTGCGTGGAGCCCGCGACCGGGGACGTTGCGGTACTGACGCGACGTTCCGCACAGGACGCATATGCGGCGAATCGCAGCAAGGAGCTGACGATTGTCGACTGAGCCGCGAGCGCTGGGATCTGGCTTGCCAGCACTGAGCTTTGTGCGACGGCCTGCCCCGCTCGAGATGTGTCACGCAAGGTGTGCCTGAATGTGGATGAGAATGGCCTTCGCAGCGGTGAGGCGTGGCTTCGGCCCAGCGCAGCAGGTCGACACGAAGCTGCAAGCGGCCTCGTTGCCTGCTCAGCAGCACCACCTCCCTCTGCGTCGCACAGCGCAGAGCTGGCGCAGCATCTATTGGCCGTCGCCGCGGTGCCGCCTGGTGGGCCGCCGGCGTCTCGGGATGCGCCGCTCGCGGCCTTCGGTCCGCCGCGCGGCCGCGGTCCGCCTCGCAGGGGAGCGGAGGAGTCGCGCGCTGCTGCTGCCCCGCACCGAGTTGCCCTATGCAGCAAGCCACGGCAAAGTCTGAGTGCCCTTGGCGTGCGTGCGCGTGCCGGACAGCTGCCCTGCTTGATTGCCGCTCTCCGCTTCCCTCAGCTCCTCCATCTCCCAGCTGCACGCCCGCACATCCACCTAGCAGTCCGGTGCCGGCGAGCGGCTGTTCAGCCTACGCACCTCGACGCGCCGCCTCGTCCGCGCCCACGCTCTGACTCCACGCCTCTGCGCTCTGCCTTTGCCGCGCATTGAACGCCGCGCTGCCCGCCATGTCTGGCGCGTCTGCCTCGACGTCGGCGTCGGGCGCGACCTCCTCGCCCGCCACGTCTGCCTCCACGCACACGCCCAGCGCTGCCGCATCATCCTCGGCAGCGCAGGCGCGTCCAGTCAAGCGGCCAGCCTCGCCCTCCGCCTCGCCGGCGTCGAGCAGCGCCGCGGCGTCGTCGTCGCGCGGCGCAGACGAGAAGAGCAAGGCGCGCCGCCGCCGCAAGGTCACCACTGCATGCATCTACTGCCGCCGCAGCCACATGACATGCGAGGAGGCAAGACCCTGCTCCCGCTGGTGAGTTGGCCTGCGCGCGTCCTGGGCGACGTGTCCTGACGCGTCTCTTGCTTGCCGCGGTGCAGCATCAAGCGTGACATTGGCCATCTCTGCCACGACGAGTCGACGCTGCCGTCTAGCTCGCATTCAGACACGCCCAAGGGCTTGGCTGCCGCACCTGCCGCGCCTGCAGCATCACCGCCGCGCCCACAGCCTGCCTCTACGTCCGCGGCACCTGCTGCTGCGCCATTGAGCAGCAACGCAGGCGGCACATTTGGCTCGCCTCCGCGGCAATGGGCGCAGCCGAGCTCAGCACCGCCGCCGGCCTCTGCTGCGCCGGGTCAGACCTGGAACTGGGCGCCGGCGCTCGGCGGTGCCAGCTTTCTTGGCTTGGGCGGCGGCGCCAACGGCCGGTTCGATAGCTTTGGCGGCGGCGGCGGTGATGCGGCAGGCGGCTTGGAGTTCAGCATCCTCAGGTGAGCTTGCCTGCGCGTCTTGAGCTGCCGCAGGGATGCTGACGCACTGTGTCGCATGCCCCGCCAGCGAGTTCCTCGAGTCGCTCGACGGGCCTCTGCTGCCCTCTTCGGCTGAGCCGACGAGCGGAGCACCTGCACTCACGCCGCACTCGATGTGGAGCACCGATGCGCAGACGAACGGCGAGAGCGGGCGCAGCGGCGAGAGTTCGGCGCTGGCTGCGACGGGTCAACAGGCAGCGCGGCTCTTCGACGCTGCCCTGGGCAACTCGGCTGCTGGTGCAGGGAGCAGCACGCAGGCAGCGCCGGCCGACTCTGAGGCTGGTCGTACCGGCGTCGTCTCGGCCACGCCTGCCGCCGCGCCCGGCGCCTACGGCCCAGCGCTGCGCCACTTCTCGACATCGACCAAGGCCGAGAAATTCTTTCTCACTGCAGCGGACCAGAATGACGGCACGCGTGACGAGCGTCTCGCAAAGGTCATTCAGGCCAAGTATGACGCGGGCCTCTTGCGGCCCTACAACCCTGTCAATGGGTGCGTGCTGCGCTGAGGAGCGGCGATGGACGAGGCTGACTTGAGCTTGCGCCAGATATGCAAGACTCAATCGCTGGATGGAGCAAAAGTGAGTGCTCATGTAGACACCTTGTGCTGCAGCTCGAGAGCCAGAGCTGACGCGCCATTGCTAGTGTGTCTCAAGCTTCGCGTCGGCGCATTCTGAAGTCGCTGTCTGTCTTCCGGCCTGCCTTCCGAGTGCGTATGGCCCATCCACAGCGCTGTGCTCGCCTGACACACTCTCCGCTGCTCAGGCAGTGGCACAGTCCCTCACGAACATCGACTTGATCTTCATCGAGGAGGCGTTCGAGCGCTTGCTGCTCGACTACGACCGCGTCTTCAGCACGCAAGGCATCCCGGCATGTCTGTGGCGCCGCACGGGAGAGATCTACAAGGGCAATCGCGAGTTCGCCGAGCTTGTTGGCGTCGGCATCGAACAGCTGCGCGAGGGCAGACTGTGCATCTACGAGCTCATGGAGGAGGAGAGTGCCGTGAACTACTGGGAGGTGAGTTGGCCCCTATTCGACTGGCACAGGCGCGCACGCTCGCTAGACAGCCAGTCTGACCCTGCTCACTCGGCACCACGCGCCAGAAATACGGCGCCGTCTCCTTCGACGCAGGACAGAAGGCCGTCTTGACATCCTGCGTGCTCAAGGTCCGGAGCAGCAGCAGTGCTGCCACCAATGCGGCTTTGCGCGCCGCTGCGCGCGGCGCTGTCGTTGGCGATAGCGTTGCGTCCGGCGGCGGTGGTGCCACGGCGGCGGCAGTCGCTGCACAGCTGCCGTGGAGTCGCAACGGCAGCATCAGCACGTCCGGGTACAACACACCCGCTGTCGCTGCTGCTGCCACCGCTGCTGGAGCTGCTGCACCCAGCAATGGCGCCAGCAAGCGCGGCGTGCCGCTTTCCAGCGAGATGCGCGACGCCGCCGCCGCCGCCATGGCCGGCGCCGCGGGCTCGGCGAGCCCGCCGCTGGCGGCCGCTCGCACCGCGACTGCGCCTCTCAGCGGTGCCGAGACACCAGCCGCTCGTGCTGGAGCTGGCGCGGTTGACGACGACGAGGAAGGCGTGCGCCGCATCACCTGCTGCTTCTCGTTCACGATCCGCCGCGACGCATGGAACATACCCACCCTCGTCGCCGGCAACTTCATCCCGATCACGCGCGCCGGCGCCTGACGGCCGCGACGACGGCCAACGTTCGCCTTCACTGCCAGCATCACTCGCTTCTCACTGCGATCGCGACTTACTTCCTTCCACTGCGGAGCGCTTCCGTCACTACTCCAGGACCTCGACAGCCTTCAGCCTATGTGCCTGTACTCTACTCCACGTCACGCAACGCATCGCATCAACTGCAGCTGCGGCATGGCGCAGGCGCCTGCCGCATGACTGGCCCAGTTGACAGAGAGGTGAGGTAAGGGGTATCACCATGAGGAGATGAGGGTATTCAGCGGCCTGCCGGCTTGCGGCGCGGCACGAAGAGCGTGGGTGCCGCCGGCACGCTGGATGTAAATGCTCGCGGCGCAGGCACGGGCGGCCTGGCAGGAGGCGCCGACGCCGCCGACGCCGACGGTGCCGCCGCAGATGCCGAGGCCGCAGCGGAGCCTTCAGAGCCCACAGCAGGGGATGCAGCAGGGCCTGTGCCGAGGACAGGCGACTTGAGCGGCCCGGAAGCGACGGAGCTGCGGAAGGGCGACGACGCCGCGTCGTTGACGAACTTCCAGCGAACGACGCTGATGAGGAGCCGTCAGCTGCGCACGCGCGCTCAGCGCTCACGTGCACACTCACTCCAGCGCTATGCGCGCATCCTCGAGCGACGAGTGGCCGTCGGCGCCGGCTGTCTGAATGGTGAGGCCGAGATGACGCTTGGCCAGTTCGCGCAGGCTCATCCGGAAGGGCAAGCCACGGCCATGTGGGAACAGCAGGGCCGAGTCGACGATGCGAGTATGCACGAGGCGTAGAGCACGCAAGTCGTTCTCAAGTCCGTGGCCGACCTGTGCAGAGCTTTGAGCTACGTGCGGCAGAGTGAAGTGAGAGACCGACGACGCACCAGGATCGTCTCGGGCCCGACAAAGCGTACGATCTCGGCCCCCGCCTCCGCCAACGGCACGGCAAGCAGATTGTCAGGATCGAGCTGGCCCGGCTGGATGCCCGAGAAGCTGTGAGGGCATGGTGAGCGTCCATTCGGGCAGAGCGGCCACGGCACACGCACCGGGTGTTGAGGTCGAGCACCGCAAAGCCAGGTGCGATCAGCTTGTCGTAGAGCTCGGCACCCGCTTCGTCGACCAGCGTGATGCGAGCGATGGACATGCCAGCCGTCGTGTAGACTGCGACAGCTTCGTGAGTCTCTGCTGCGTCCGCCTGCCTGGTAGCTTTGCTGACCAAGCTCTGCATCGAGTGCCACGATCTCTTGCGTCTCCTTCCACTCGCTCTGCTGCTTCTCGTCACGCAGGCTCTGCGGCGAGCGGAAGGGCACCAGGCCGTGGAGGACTCTGGCATCGTCACTCTTCCACACGTGCGGTCCACTGTCGCACCCCTGCTCAGCGCGCGCCGAGGAGCCGGAGAAGCCGGCGGCTGCAGCTGTGGACGCGAGAGACGTGCCGCCCGACTCGATGGCGCCGCAGCACGTGTAGCGCTGCAGACGAGCACTGCGCCCGTTGATAGTGTCGCGCTCGAACGCTGCACGAAAGCGCCAGTCAGTCATGCAGGTACGCCGGCATGCTGTCCTGCTGACTCACACTTGCGGCCCCAGTGGAAGCTGCATGCTGTAGCCCTGCGCTTCATCTCCTTGAGCTCAAGCTCAGCATCTGCCAGGACCTGACCCTCGACGCCCTCCGTCCGACAGAGGACAATGGCCTCCTCCGCGCGCAGCAGATCCTCGTGCACGTCGGAGACATCAAAGCTCTGCGCGCAGCGGTTGCAGAGGTGTGTCGATCCTAGCGGGTCCGTGTCTCCGCCCTTGCCCCACTCTCTCAGCACGGCAGCCTGCAGGTTCGCCCCCAGCACCTGTGGCAGAGAGTAGCCGTACGTGCCGAGCTTCTCTGCTGGCGCCAGGAAGCTCACTGCTTCGAGGCGTGCAGCCGTGAGGGTGCCGCGCTCGCGCTCTTCGATGCGCTTAGTCTTCGTCTCCAGCTCCTTGGCCGTGCCGAACTGTGGTGCCTCGCGCAGCTGCCGCGCCAGGGACTGCACAGTGGACGCGACAGCGCTCTGCAGCTGCTGCGCTGTAGCTCCATGCTCCACGCGCTGCACTGCCGCAGCTATGGCAGCCTGCGTGGCGGAGTCCTTTGCGCGCTTGCCGAGCGAGACGAGCGGCAGACGCACGCTCGTCTTGTACGAGTGTCGCGTGGCCAGGATGAAGACCTCTGCTTCTTGTGCGCGCGCATCGATGTCGGCCAGCAGCTTGAGGGCCGCCCGTGCCGCAGGCGAGGCGCCTGGGCATGAGTAGATGGCAGCAAAGGCCTTTTGCAGTGCCTCGAGAGAGCCAAGCCGCCAGTTGGGCGGAATCTGGCTGGTGCGAGGGTGCTGGGCACTGTTGAGCATGAGCATGCCGGAATGGCCATAAGGTCCGGCATCGAGGTGTGGAAGCTCATTGTCGCCACCCTTGCTCGGGCCTGCTGGTTCCTGCTTGGCGCTAGGACCAGGGACGCTGCCGAGAGTAGGCGCAGATTTGGCTGTGCTGAGAGCCGCTGCGCCGCCATCGATGCCGAGCCCAACCGGCGGCTTGCTGCCTTGCGCATCCGCCGCGCTGCTTCTGCCCTTGAGCACCGCAGCCATTCCAGAGTCCGAGCTTGACATCGTCGGTGCCACAGCTGACGATGACTGCTGCGGCAGTGGCGTAGCCTTTGTCTCAGGCGAGGTAGGCTTGGCACGCTTCAGCGACGGCGCATCAGCCGCGCGATTGGCGCTCGACACGTTGTCAGCGGGACGCTTCAGAGATGCAGAGGCCGTTGCAGATGCCGACCCTTGCTTAGGAGCCGCAGATGAGGGTGCTCCAGCCGAGTGGGACACCGCGCTGTTGCGACGGGCCTGCGGAGCCGCAGCCGGGCGGCCGAACAGCGCCTGTGCGTCGTTGGGCGGCTGCGGCGCCGGCTTTGGCAGCTTGCGTGGTGCCTCACTCGGCGGCGGCGTGGGTGCGCGCGGAGCTGCGTACGTCGAGCTTCCGCTCGCCTCGCCGATGCCGGGCAGCGCAGCGGGGTCGCCGAACGATACGCGCTTCTTCGCAGGGCCTGCGAAGGTGCTGCTGCTGATGTCCTCGGGAGAGAGAGACGCGCTGGGCCGGCGCAGCACAGAGCGAGGCTTGTCACGGGGAGCAGGCTCGGACATGAAGGGCGTGAAGAGGAGCGGAAGAGGGAAGGGGTGCGCCGTGGCCCGCTAGAGTGAGCCGGCGCTGATGCTGACCACCCAAGGCGCGCGCGTGCAGCAGCGGTCGTGTGAGCGCGTCAGGCACGGCCGGAGAGCGAGAGAGGTAGCGCCGGCGCCAGAGTGGGATGCTCGCCTGCCAGAGGTGAGGCGGCGGCGGCGGCGGATGGCGGGAGCGATGGTTGGACTGGTGAAGAGAGAAGCGGCACAGCGGCGTGCACCAGCTAAGTAGGCCGGGCGGCGTGTGGAGCGCCACTCATTTTGATGAGGCGCGCTAAGGCTTCCGTGCGGGAGCCGCGCCCTAGCTGCCCTCAAGCATCATCTGCGCTGCCTATCGTCTCGTCCGCTGCAGCCGACGACGACTCAGATGCAGGATCGAATGCGCTGCCAGATGTGCAAGTATCTGCGGGTATGATTAATGTGTGATCTCGAGTGGTATGCTACATCGCCCGCAACAGGAAGGCGCGGCAGAGAGGTGGGAGAGAGCATGGCTTTTGTGTGACGCGTCCACGTAGCGCGCAATAAGAATGCGCCCAGCAGCCCCTCGCTGTGCGTGGCGGCATGCTTCGGCGGCCGGCGCCTCAGTACCACGACTCGTTGCTGAAGTCGGCCGCGTACGGCGGCTGCGACGGACTGGCGCCCTGATCGCCCCCCTCGCTGGCCGAGGCCCAGCTGAACTGGGCGTCCTGTATCTGCGGCTGCGGCGTCGCCTGCTGCTGCTCCAAAGGCAGCGCGGTCGCGATGGTGGCATGCAGCGCTGGCGTGCTCAGGTGCGGAGCATGGATGCCCGAGTGGCTGCTGGCCGCGGACGAGGCGTAGCTCGGCGACGCGCTCGCATAGCTCATCGCAAACAGCCCCGTCGATAGCTCCGTGTCGGGCGAGAGGAGCGGCGAGCCGTGCGCGTGGCGCAGCGTAGCCCAGTCGCCAGGCGCCGGCATGCCCTGCGCAGGCGCCGGCATGCCCTGCGCAGGCGCCGACAGCGGTGACGAGGCCGTCGGCAGCGAGTAGCCTGCGTCTGCTCGCTCGAGCGGCGAGTTGGACGACTGCGCGCTGCGGCGCCGCGGGCCGACGCTGCCGATGCTGCCGCCGTGCTGCGAGCTGCCCGAGCGCGCCGGCACATGCATGCTGCTCGCCGGCGACACATACGCCGAAGGGTGGCCGGAGCTCGTGCCGTCGCTGTCGGAGATCTCGCGAAGCGGCGAGGGCACGCCGACGGAGGACGTGTTGGAGCCGCGGTGCGACAGATAGGAGGTGCTGCCGGTGCTGGGCTCGAGATGCTGCTGGCCCTGGCTGAAGGCCGGTGAGCTGGCGCTTCCCGCCAGACTTGTGGGCGAGGCCGACGCCGCAGAAGCATTCCATGGGTCGTGGAAAGACATGGCCGACGAGGAGGCTTCCCGCATGAGGCCGCTGGCGGCGTAGTCCGGCGCGTTCGCGCCCATGCCGGACGGAAGAGGGCGCGAGAGCGCCAATGCCGCGTTGACGTTCACCTGTCCGGGCGAGACGTGCTCACCAGCTGCAGGGATGGGCTGAATGTCACTGGCCACCGCCGCGCCGACGACGCGGTGAAAGAAGGCCGCAGTCGAGGCCCCGACATGCGACGGGCGACGCAGATGGTCGAGAGAGCTGCGGCGACGTGCCATTGCCGAGCGTGCCTCCTCGGCGCCGGCGGCATGCAAGGCCTCCAGCGTCCAGCCGGGCGGCGTGGGCTGCGAATACGGGTCGGCTGCCCACTGGGCCGTCGTCGTGATTGTCGTGGATGGGGCCGCAGCGCCCATGGCCGGGACGTCTTGCCAGGCGACGCGCGTCGCGTGCGGCCCGGGCTCGGTGACGCTGCGCTGCTGCGCCAGCACGCTCGGCTCAGCGGTCCAGACTGGAGGCGTGATGCCTTGTTCCCGAGCCAGGCCGGCCTGCAGCATGTTGGCGTGCACCATGTACGCCTCTTCCGGTGTGCTGGGCTGCGAGAGAGAGTTGGGCGAGAAGTGCGGCTGCTGTCCAGGGTGCGAGGCGTAGGGCGAGGTGCCAGAGTCGAGGACCATGCCTGGCTGTGAGGTATATCCACTCAGGGCAGCGTATGAAGGCTCGTAGCCAGAGAGTGTGACGCCGCGTCGGCGACCCTGCACGTCGTGGACAAGATGCTCGGATGTGTAGCCGGGCGGGATGCCCAGCACGCTGGCGACGTCGCTGGCAAAGTACGGTGAGTCGGAGCTGAGGCTGGGCGGCGGGCGAGCATACGGAGCGTCACGCGCCGACCGGGCCACGAGGGCGCTGTGCCGATGCCGTGCCCTGATCGCCGCTTGCGTTCCAAGGACGGAGGGTGAGGCGGGCGGCGGCATGGCGATGCCGAGCTGGGCGAGCTGGATGAGCCGGCTCTCACGCGCCTCCTTGCCGACACGCTTCCGCTCGCGAGTCTGCTGGTTCTCCTCTCTGTCGCGCAGACGTATCAGCACACACTCTCAGGGGTCCTGGGCCGCACAGCACTGACTCCGTGACAGACTCGTAGACGCACTCGCGCTTGAGGCGGTCGCATGTTGCGCAAGTCGGCTGAGTGCCGTCACAGCGGATCTTCCTGCGAGACAGAGACGGGTCAGCGTCGGCGTGTCGCGGCAGCAGGCAGGCAGCACGAACCGGGTGCGGCAGTGCACGCAGGCCATGCCGACACGGCCGCGCCGTGGCTTCTCCGAGGAGGGGCCCGGCTGGTCGCCATTGCCGAGCGACGAGGAGGAGCCGCCGCGCGACAGGTTGGCAGAGCCGCGAGCCGAGGTGATGGAGCTGCTGGACTGCGTGCGTGAGAGGCCGGGATGGCCGGGTGCAAAGTGGTGAGGCATCGAGCAGGTGGCGGCGCTGCACGCGAGAGGGGCGCGAGACGCGGCCGGGACAGAGGAGGGCAAGGGCGAGGGCGAGGACAGCGCGAGGGCGCGCGGGAGCCGCGCGAGAGATGGGGGATGGGAGCAGGTCGGTCAGGAGGATGGGGTGCGAGGCAGATGTGCGGATCCCTTTTGTTGCCTGGGCATGCGCTGATGCCGAGCAATGATGGCACACGGGACAGCTCGGGCAGGACGGGCAGGCCGGCGCCGACGGCGTGCGCACGAGGCCGAGGGGCCAGCGCAGCGAGGGAGCGGCCCGGCGTGGCGGACGTGCATGGCATGGCCCTCCGCCTCGGGGCATGCCGCATCGCATCGCCTCGCAGCGCACTTGCAGCGCAGCGCTGCGATGCTGGCGGCTGCCACCACGCCCTGAGCGCTGGTGCAGCATCAGCTGCAGGCAGCACAGGCCGCCGGGCGGGACGCACTCGCGCAGCAGCCGCCTGAACCTGCATCTGCATCCCGGCTGATGTTCTGGCGGCGCCGATGCTGCCTCACGCCCGCAGAACGCAGCTGCGGGCTTCGCTGTGTGGTCCTCGTGTCATGCGCCGGTCAGCGTGCAGCAGGCAGCAGGACAGCGCCCGCTCGCCCGGCTCCGTGCTTCTGCGGCGGGCGCTGCGCTTGCTGCAATCTTGCGAATCTGCCGCTGCCGCCTGCTGCTGCGTCTGATGCTGATGCGATGCTGCGTTGCGCTTGCGTCGCAGTCTGCGTTCTGCTGCTGCGCTCGCAGCACCCGGGTGCAGACGCAGGGGCAAAAGCGCTGCGTCACCTGCCTTTGGCCCTCGACGGCGCTGCGGCATGTGTGGCCAGCTGCTGCGCCTTGCTGCTGGGAGCGGCGCGCTGCGCACCTTCCGCTGTTTCTCCCGTCGGCGCGGCCCACCGCAGCGGTACTGCAGGCCGCGCGAGCAGTCTTGGCCGCGGTGCGGCCCCCTGCGGCGCGGCAGCACAGCCCAGCAGGCAGGGCGCGGAGCCGGCGAGCTCGGATACCTGGCACGGCTGCCGTGCTTTGCTGCGCTGCTGGGCACGCGTGAGGCATGCCGGCTGCGCAGCGGCGTCGGCTTATGCAGGGGCAGTCGAGGGCAGCGTCAGGGCAGGGACCACGCGTCGGTGCAGGCAGCGCTCCGCCGCGTTCGTCCTCCGCCAGGGCGAGCTATTCTCATGCGTCGTCTCAGAGGCGACGAGAGGCTCGTGCGGCGTCGGCGCCGGGCGCCGCCTCCGCTCAGCAGCAGTGCGGTGCGAGAGACAGCGCCACACGTTGCGGCATGCTGCAGGCTGACGAGGGCGCTGGGTGCAGGCGGGCGGAGGCCCAAAGCAGCGGCGGTCCGGCTCGGCGACCTCGACGCCGACCCGCCCGCTGCTCAACGCCGGCGTCGGGCGCCGCCGCCGCCGCCGCCGCCGCTCGCTGTGCGGCAGCCGCAGCTGCACCTGCCGCAGGCCAAGACCAGATGCAGCATCGGCTCCGGCGCACGTCAGGGGGAGCCTCGGGCCGCCGCAGCTTCTCCTGGAGCGTGCCTCCGACGCGCCGCGCGCGCGCGCGGCGCGCCGGCCGCTCGCCTCGCCGTATGCTTTCACCTCCCTCGGCGGCACCGGGCACGGCGTGTGAGAATTGCCGCCACACAGACTCGGGCAGGCGCAGTGGTACTCTGCATCCTCCCACGTTCGCCGGCCGCAGCTGTGGCCTCTTCGGCGGCCGTGTGGCAGCGGTGTCGGACGAGGTGCCCGCCCGCCGCGCGCCCCGCCCGCCGACGCTGCCGAGGCGTGGAAAAACAGCGAGCGGGATCGGGGCTTGTGCCTCGCCCGCGGCCCAACTCGATGTTGTGCAGTCGCCTCGACGACGGAGCGCTGTGTCGCAATTGCGCCTGTGCTTCGCTGCAGCGTTCAGACCCAGCGGATGCAGGCCGCAGATTCGCGCCGCGATGAGCGCCACCAATCGGAGTCACATGCGGGCGCGGATGGCGGAGGCTATGCGCGCGTCGGCGTCGCGCGGCGCCGCGCGGCTGCTGGGCTGGTGCTGCACGCGCCGTGCCGCCGACTCTCAGACTCAGACTCGACGGCCGCGGCATCGCAGCGGCAGCCACGCTCCGTCATGGATCTCACCGCCAGGCACACGCCATGGAGCGGCACCAGAGCAGTCTAGTCTGCAGGCACAGCGGGCGGGCGTGTGCTTCCGCCGCAGCACGCAGGTGCAGCGTCGGCCAGAGCCTCGGAAATACATTTCGCAGCTCCCACCGTCCGCACCAGCCTGCAGGGGCGAGCCGCAGCAGCGACGTGCTTCGTCGGCACCGCACGCGTGGCGCACAGGTGTGTCCGCACCCGCGGATGTCACTGCTTGCTGTGGAGGTGGACAGCCTTCAGGGGTGCAGCGGGCAGATGCAGGCGATGGGGCGTCGCGTGTGTGTAGTGTCAGACGCTGTGCAGAGTGCCGGGCGCTGCTGCCCGGTGGAGATTAGCGAGGACAGCCGCTCAGGGCGGTACCGAGGCGGCTCGGCCAGCGGCGGTGCGGATGTGGCTTGAGAACGAGTCAGAGTGGCCTCGGCACCAGGCGGTCTTGCAGTCGACTCGACTCGCTTGTGCTCGCTTTGCCGGCTTCGCCACCAAGCCTCCTGCTCAGAGACCACACCTCGTGCTGCAGCATGCCGGGTGCTTCCGCATCAGCGTTCTCGCCTGTCAGCCCGCAGCCTGGCGGAAACACAGCGGCGCCTGCCTCTGTGCTGCTGCATCGCACGGCGATTGTCGGCCGGCTGCTGCTGCTTTCAGGCGCAGGACGCAGCCCAGGCACGAGCCAGGTGCGCTGCGAGGCTGCCGCATCAATGCAGCGTGCAACTCAGCTGGAGGCCGCTGCTGCATAATCACAAGTGCAGGCGGCATCAGCGTGCAGCATCAGACGCGCGGCTGCGGCCAACAAACGCCTGCACGGCACTCGCATCAGCCTCAGAGTCAGCTTCGCCGGCGAGTGCGGCCATGACGCGGCTGGTGCTCGCTGGCGCTGCGCCTGCACTGGCGCTGTGGTCTGCAGTGCGGGATCCTGACAGGACATGTGCATGCTGCGTGCTTCAGCCATCGGCCCAGCTGCGGTCGCAGCAGCAGCAGCAGGCGCTGCGGCGCGGCCCTCGCGAGTCGCGTCGGCGCATGGACGCTGTGGCTTGCCATGCTTCGCCGTGCCAAGTCGAGGGCGCAGGTGAGCTGCGCAAGCCCATCAGTTGCTCGCGCCTGCCCTGGCGCAGGTGACCTGCGCCGGCTTCCGACGAGCCCAATCTGCCCTGACCGTGTGTGAAATGAGCAAGGCAAGACATTGCCGTCGCCGCAAGCATCACAGGGCAGCATCAGAGCCCTCCGGCCTCCTGCGCTGCGTCTATTGCGCTCGGCGGAGTGCTGAGTGCAGGCGGGCACCCTTCATGCTGCGCACAACGCATGTGCACCGCTCATGCCGTCAGCGATTCGCACGCGGTGAGCCGGCGCGAGGAGCGCTGCTCGCGACGAGCTGGCCATCTGAGTTTGCTGCTGTGGTCGTGCTGTGAAGCTGAAGACGTGCCCTGCATGCTGAATGTCCCACTCGTGAGGGTGCGCCTGTGGGTCCCCGCCGCGCGGTCCTCCGTTCGGCGTGTCTTGCCAGTCGGCTGAAGCCCGAGGCGGAGCTTCCAGCAGAGCAAGGCTGATAAGCGGCGAAATTCGAAGAGGGACCACGAGATGCTGCTGTCAGGCTGCGTGACAAAGATGCGTGTTGCGACGGATGCCTCGGCCACGGTCGTCTGAGGCGGAGGAGACGGGTCTTGCTCGCGCAGCCCGCCGTGGCAGCAGAGATCTGACGCTTTCGTTCGTCCGTCTCGCGGTCACGCAGCACGCCGTGCGGGATTCGCTGGCGTGCTGCCGGTGCTGCGTTCGTTTGGCGCATGCTCCCGCGCCAGGCCCAGAGTCGAGCAACGGACGCGAGACTCAGATCGACGCCGCCTCCGACCCGAGCGACCGGATCGGCCACGGCGCGCTGGCTGCACGCCTGCACCCAGGCGCACGTGCTTCGACGGCCAAGCGAGCGGCGCACCGCCGCTCCTGCAGCCACACGACGGCAGCCAAGGCTCAAGCACCGCCCAGCAGCACTGCGGCTAGGATCTGGCCTGCAAAGAGGCCTTCCTTCCACAAATGCAGACAGCAGGCAGCGATGCGGCCGAGACCTCATCGTGGCCGGCCGGCATGCAGGTGACGCACGATCGCTTCCCCTTTGTCCTCGCTGGCCCTGTCTGGCCGAGCTTGTGACGAGACGTTGACGCATTCGTCATCGCGATCGGCCAGATCTCCAGGCGACTGCTCTGAGGGGCCTTGTCATGCCGGCCGTCTCACCGGCCAGCGCGACTCGCCGCGGCGCGGAGCGAGCTGGGCATGCGCATCGACGGGTCCCTCAGTCGTGAGAGAAGGCCACCCTGCGCCGTGCGCACCGCCCTGCAAAGCAGAGTAAATCCATGACGTCCGCCAGAGGCGGCCCAGCGCTGCGCCGGATGGTGTCGAGAGTGTGGAGAGATGGGCCGCGGCTGCACAGTGCGGCGCTGGCGCCGACGCCAACGCCGACGTCTCCCTCGAGCGCCGACACATGTGCCCGACACCTGTGCGGCAGGCGGCGGCGTGGCTTCGCGCTCGCTCCAACGTCGTAGAATTATCGGAGCACCGCTCTTCGATGCAGGGCCCTCGGCATCAGGCGCAGCTCTTGGTAGGGCGGTGCCGCGGCTGATTGCGAGAATCCCGGAGGCGGCCGCGCGGCGCATGCCACGCCGCATCCTGCTGCAGAGGCGACGATCGGAGCGCGGCATGTGCGGCGCTCGCGCCGACGCCGCCGAGCTGCGCGCTGATCATCCGGCGCCGCTCGGCCCGACGCTCACGCCGAGCATCGCTGCCGTCGAGCCCAAAGAGGAAACACATGACGACGCTGCAGAACAGCAGCAGGTGCAGGCAGAAGCAGACACCCGCGGGCTACACGCTCCACGAGGTGCAGTGCAGCGCAAGCACCGGAGCAGCATCAAGTCAGAGGGTGCTGGCGCGCGCGCGCGCTGTGCTCGTCGAGCACAAGGGTCGAGTGACGGTCCGACGCTGGCCGCACCGCTCGAGCAGCTACTCCGAGATGCTCGGACATCGCCGCCTCGGCAAAAGCGCCGAAGCCGGGCACGCTAGGCCGGCTGGCTGTCAACGGGCTTCCATGCAGCGATGCGCGAGCGATAGAGCCGATGGGCGACACGGAAAGGGGTATGCCATGGCATTACGGCAGCGAGCGCCTGCTGTCCGGATCCCTCCGAGGGAGGTCTGAGCTGGCCCGAGCACGTCGCCTCACTTCGACGGGTTGACACCGTCGAGCTCGTGCGCGTACTTGATGCCGTCGCTGCCGTTCTGCGTCTTGACGATCACCGCCGGGTCCTCCTCGGAGCCGTCGCGCGTCACCTCGGAGCCGCGCTTCGTCGTGATCGTGGCCCTGGGGTTGCGTGGGTCAGCGCGAGTGTCGACAACGCCGGCAGCATGCCGTCATCGGCACAGCCGATACTCACTTGTCCTCGACGACGTCCTTCACTTCACCCTTCGGATGACCTGCGCCCCACTTCCAGCTGACCTCGTCGCCCTTCTGAAGATCCTGCGGGTCGGTCGGCATCTTGGAGTATGTGCGTGGGTGTGTAGGTGGTGCTGTGTGGGGTGTCAGGCGAGCTGTGCACGTCGGCAGCGCCTTATGAAGCATCAGCAGCGCACAGCGCGGCTGGCGTGCAAGCAGCATCCGCATCATCATGGCGCGCGCGTGGAGGAGCTGGTGCTGATGCAAGCTGCGCCTGCGCGTGATGACGCGCGCCGTGCTCGAGGTGTGGAGACCCTGCTCTCGTCAGCTGCACCCGGGCAAGCATCTTCCCCGCACTGGCTGCCCGGGCCCTGCTCCCAGCGTTCAACCCTTAGACAGCAGGGTGCGTAGATGTTGGTGGAGGAGGCGCTCTGCTTACGGAGCAGCAGCCGCAAGCGGCGCGCTTGCTTCCGGAGCAGGGCTGATGCGCCAACGGCCAGCCGCCGCAAGCGAAGGCGAGCCAGTCCATCACTCGACTGCGTCACCACGACAACGTGGGCATGCTCTCTCACAACGGCGCACCGGTATCTGTTTGGATTAACGCATCGCTGCGCGAGCTTCACACATCCTCCGACGCCTGTGTGACGCGCTTCGCAAGCGAGAGGTAGCCCTCCATGCGCGGGCCGAGCGCCTTGCGCGCCTCGGCGTCCGACTCGCAGTTGCGGATGATGAAGCCCTTGCTGATCATGCGCTCGCGCAGCGGGCCCTCGAAGATGAGCTCGCACGTGTTGCTGCTCCAGTCGATGTCGGCCAGCTCGGCCTGCTGCTGCGCCCGCTCCGCCTCGCGGCCGGCAGCAGCGCCGTTGCTGGGGCCAGCACCGTCGCCGTCGTCGGCATCGTCGTCGTCCGCCGCAGAGTCGCGCGGCCGGCCAGGGTCCTGCCAGTTGATGCGCACCGTCATGAGGCGACGGTAGTCCTTGATCGCCTTGGCCGGGCCCTCGACGACGACGAGCGCAAAGGACGGGTGGTAGATGCACAGACCCGTGAGGCCGTGCTGCTGCGCGTTCTTGCGCACCTTGAAGCGATGCGACGGCGAGGCGAGGTGCTTGATGCTGCAGGGTGCAAAGCTGTCAGAAGCGCACATCGCTGGAGCTGGCACACGACCACGCACCGGTACACGCTGCAGTGCACGCCCTTGGCTTCGTCCTTCTCCATCTTGGCGGCCTGCTTCGCCTTGATCTGATCCGGCGTGAGCTTGCGCTCCAGATTCGTCCGCTCGTGCTGCTCGCGTCGTGCTGCGACCTCGCGGCGTACGCGAGCCTCGACCTTCGTCGGGTCGGCGACGGCCTCGGACGTCAAGACACGCATCAAATTCGACAGCTTGACTGCGAGGGGAGATGCGTCAGCGCATCGACTTGCATCACTGAGGCCGGCTCAGCTCACCCTTTGGCGCCTCGGGCGGCAGCAGACCCATTTTGATGCGGTCGCGCTTGTCCTGCAGCTCAGCTGCACGACGCTGCCTGCGCATCTTGCGCATCTCCTTCTTCGTGAGCATGACGCCGCGCGGCTCGACGCGGATCTTGTCGCTCGGCGCGGGGATCGGAATCGGGTGCTGGATGTACGAGTCGATGGGCGAGCCTTCGCCCATGATGAGAGGACCGCCGGGCGGGACAGCCTCCTTGCCCTTGGCAGTGCTGCTCTCGGCGAAGTCCTCAGGCACGCTGTCGTACGAGGAGCTTGGCAGCAGAGCCTGGTCCCACCACTCAACGTCCGGCGGCGGTTGTCGCTGTGGTCAGGAGCGAGCGTGAGCTCATGTAAAGCGGCAAGAGATCCTCGAGAGCAAGCAGTCACGATCATGACCACTTCTCGAGGCGACTGCGACGCGAACACGCCCACTCACCCTCAGCAGCTTCTCCTCCGAGCCCGTCTCCTCCAGGCCTGCCTTTCGTGCCGCATCAGCGATGCGCTTCTTGAGCTCCTCCATCTTCTGCTCGCGCCGCAGCTGCTCGGCCTCGCGCACGTGCCGGCCTGGCTTGTGGAACGTCAGAGGCTTATGCGTTGTCCTGGCCTTGGGTCCGGGCGCAGACGAGCCTGCCTCTGCCGCTGCTTCCGAGGCGGCCAGGTACGGGTTGACCTGCTCCACCGGCGGCGCCACAGGCGCGGGCGTAGCAGTGCGAGCGTTCGCAGCGAGAGACGGAAACTTGGGAGCGTATGCGCCCGAGACTGGCCGCCCGCGCTTGTTGTGCGACGAGGCCGCCGGCGCCGCAATGCCCTTGTTCGCACTCGGCAGCAAGAGCGGGTGGATGCCGCTGCCTGACCCAGAAGACCCGGCGTCCTGGATGGAAAGGTCAGCAGGACAAAACACGTACGCACGCCTCTGCGAGCAGCTTGCTGAGGCGTCGGCACTCACTGCATTCCTGGCGCTCAGGCTTTGCCTGGCCGCATTGATGCGCGCCTGGATGGCGGCCATGTCCAGGCCCGCTGGCGCTCCGGTCGGTCGCGCCGGCAGCCGTGCGGCAGCCGGCGGCGGTGCCTTGGGTGCGCTTGCGGCGGGCGTAGGAGCGGCTGGTGCTGGAGCTGCGCCGCCGCCGGCGCGAGCGGCCATCTGCGCTGCAATCTTGGCGCGCGCAGCGTCGATCTGCGCCTGGATGGCGGCGGCACTGCGCGGCGCCGCAGCAGGAGCGGCGGGCTCGGCACCGGGACCCGAGAGGCGCGGACGCTTCTCGCCGTCTGCCGGGCCGGCATCGGCGGGGCGCTTGGGAGCCATGATGGGAGCAGCCGAGTTGGGATGGTGGAGGGAGAGATGGAGGCACGAGCGGCGCGGCGGCACACGAGACACCAGACGCGCGACGGCGCTCGGCGGCCGAATGCGCCGACGCGCCCTCAGCTGCCTGTCGCGCCGCCGCCGTCAGCCTCCTTCCCTTCCTCCTCACCGTCCTCACCGTCACACTCGCGCGTCCATATTACCTCCTCGCAGCGCATCAGTGCACTGCTGAGCGCCACAGACGCCTGCGCCGTCTCACACTCGACGACGACGAGCTCTTCCGCGTCGCTGCATCTCGCCCGCCATGCTGCGCGCCATGCTGCCTCGGCTCTTCGCGCGTGCCGCACCGGCCGCCTCGTCGCTGCGCGCTGCACCCCGCCCACTGCTGCCGGCCGCTCGGCCAGCACTGGCGCTGGGCGCTGCAGAGACGGCGCGCGGCATGAAGGTGCGCTCGTCGGTGAAGAAGTTCTGCGACGGCTGCAGCATTGTGCGCCGCAAGGGCCGGCTGTACATCATCTGCTCCAAGGACCCGAAGCACAAGCAGGTGAGTCATGCTGGCATAACGCGGAGCGAGCAGAGAGCAAGCAGATATGGAGGTAGAAGATACGGGCAGGGGAGGTGGGAGGCATAAACGGCGAGAGACTGGCGTCTGCTCCGGATCCGAATGGAGATCCCAGCCTCTGCGCCTCCTCTCTCTTGCCAGCAACCACAGCAGGTCGCCTTAGCAGCCATCGAGCTTGCTACGACTGTCTCGACCGCTGGTCGGCGACCCTGTCGGGCCTGTCGCGCAGCACAGCACGCTGCCTGCCCGCTCTACAAGCACAGCATGTCCTTGCTTCGCCTTTGCGCAGTAGCTGACACGTCTCTTCTCAAACAGCGGCAAGGGTGATGGAGACGTGATGTCAAAGTGCGAAGGGAGGGACGGACAGACGGGCGTAGACGGGTGTAGATGGGCGCAGACAGCTGGACGAGACGAGATGGGGTCAGGGACGGAGCGGAATGGATCCAGAGGATGGATTCAGAGCTGTTCTATGGGCGGGCCGAGACGCAATGCTTGATCCAGCGTTGCCATGCATCGCCTCAGATTTCAGCCTGATCAGGTCGAAAGTCGAAGAGGCGTCACACAGAAAGAGAGAAAGGCGCTGGCAAGAGCATGCGCTCTCGAGGATTGTGCTCTAGCTTGTGGCGGGAGACGAGCATTGCCAGCGCCGGACACAAGCGAGGATCACGACGCAGTCTGTCTGGTTCAGATTTTACATTGGCCTGACGAGCAGACCGTCCGACGACGCAGTGGCTGCGCCGCCGAGTGGGTGCCGACGAGAACTCAGCGGCTCACGAAGGCGAAGTGTGGGTGTGGACATAGCGTGCGTATGTGTGGGTGTGGGCGAGAAGCGCGAAGGCGATGAGATGCGTGGCGGGGGGTGAGATGGGATGCGTGAGAGGAACGGAAGGCAGGTGACGGAAGCGTTTACTTGGCTGCGAGTGGAGGCAGCGTCAGTGCTGGAGCGCGGCGACGCACGTAGCCACAGCGACTCACCAATGATGCCGTCGAAGCGCTGGCGGAACCAGGCAGCCGTCTCCTCCTTGCGCACGCGGTGCGGGGCACCGACGCGCGAGTGGCGGTCCTTGCGGCGAGCGACGCGGGCACCCGGGCGGGTCATGCACACGAAGAAGTCGGCGCCGAAGATGCCGATCGACGGGTCGTACTGCGAGACGACAAGCCGTCAGTACACTGCTGGTGCTGCCCAAAGCACTCCGCCGATGCACCCTGCACTCCGCCAATGCAGCCTGCCCTCTCGCCCTCTCCCGACGGCAACTCACCTTGATGCCCAGGTCGATGTGCTCAGTGATACCGAAACCGAAGTTGCCGGTGTCGGAGAAGTTCCGTCTGCGGAGCTCGTACTCCTTGACCTTGAGCGCACGCTCAATGATCTCCTCGGCCTTGGGGCCGCGGATCGTGACGTGGCAGGCGATCTTCTCGTTACGGCGGATGCCGAAGCCGCGGAGCGTGTAGCGGGCCTTCGACGTCACGGGCGACTGGCCCGTGAGCTGCTCGAGCACCTTGGTGGCACGCGTGAGTCTGTCACCAGACTCGCCGACGGAGATGTTGATGACGAGCTTGTCAACGCGCAGCTCCTGCAGGTCGAGGTATCAGCGATAGCTCGAGCGCTCCTGCTGGGGCACATCTGCGGCTGTCTCGACGATCGCACTCCTCCCAGCACGCCGAGCCTGCCACCCGAGCCCGCTTCGCTTTGAGCCCGCGAAGGTTGCGGCCTGCCAATGTATGACCTTCCGAAAGAAAGGAGCGCAAGCAGGCATGCGCTCTGCGCTCTGCGACGACCCGGCGCCGCGAGCTCTACCTCGCTCGCCGCATTGGCACCCAAGCCTCTTGCAGGGCTTGCAAGGCGCAGCACGGGGCATCCGAGATCGCTCTCGAGCGTGGACGGCCAGCTGTGCTGCCTGCCGATCTGCCGCGCCAGCGTGCCTCCAGCCCAGCTCGCCCACCTGCCCGCCGTCAGCATGCACCTCGCCCAGCTGCGTGCAGTTGCGGCCGCTGCGAGGGCTGCTGATCGAGCTGCGAGGACTTGCCGAGATGTGTCTTTTCCACCACCTGCTACATCTCCCCTCTCTCATCGCTGGAATGTCGTGGCGGCGCCCTCGTCCATTGACTCCAGCTCTCCTGTCCCTCCTCCTCCCGGCGCGGAGAGCGAGCTGCCGCCGAGCGCCATGCGACGTGCGCCGTCATCTGCCGCGGAAGAACACGAACCTTCATGGGGTTGATGCTCTTGCTGGAAGCCTCGGCCATCTTGATCGACTTGCGGGGGGTGGAAGAGGAGGATGGGTGAGGGGAGAAGGCAGCGGCGACGGGGACGGGCGACGAGGCGACTTCGTGGCGGCAGCGGCGCGGCAGCGTTTGCGCGCGTGCTGCTCAGAGTCGCTCCCGCGCGCTCTCCTCTGCGCAGCAGACGTCACCCTGGCGCGTGCACGTGACCGCAGCCCCCCTCCATCATCCCGGCCGCCCCAGAACATTCTCGCGTGCGAGCCGGCCGGCTTCCTTCCTCCCGCCGGCCCGCCGCTGCGCCCCACCCCCACACCCCTCCTCGGCAGGCTGGCGCGTGCGCACTCGTCCATCGACGGCGCCCCAGCCTGCACAATTGGGCAGCGGGCTCGAGGGGAGCAACTCCGGTCAGGTCAGAGCCGCTGCGTGCGCACGTTCAGAGGTGACAGGCATGCGAAGCATGGCTGTTGGGTGGGCTGGCCCAGGCGAAGTCCAAGCGAGCGAGCAGCGAGTCGCGGCCGGCCGGCAGCGCTGCCCCACAGCCGGCATGCGCGTCTCCGCCTCGCTTCTGCGCTTGAGATCCATGCTGCACGGCCATGTGCGCACGTCGATGTGCAAAGCAGCGTCTGGAGTGTGCCGTCGTTGGGAGAGGGGAGAGCCAAGCAGCGCCGAGGGTCGTTGCCGTCGCTTCCGCGCCCCTTTGCGTGTCGTGCGGGGTGAGGCTGGGGCGCGGCGCGCGGCGAGGCGAGAACGCCGGCGAGCCGGAGCGCGCTGTGCGGTGCAGATGCAGCATCGTCGCGCGGCGGAGCGATGCTGCCGGTGCCTCGGCTGCTCGCCTCCCGACCCCATCCTCCCCTCGAGCTCCTTCCCCGCCATGTCGCAGTCCGCCAGCAGCAGCAAGGCCGTGCGCCCGGCCAACGCGACGGACGCCGTGCTGGGCGCGTTCAGCAATGTGCCGCCGAACGAGACGCTGGAGCACCTCATCCGCTACCTCGGCACGTGGAGCGGCTTCGACAAGGTGTGTGTGCCTCGAGGGTGCCGTCAGGCTACGCTATTCCCAAGCGTAGCCGCGCTGCGCACTCGCTGACGCTTCCGCTCGGCAGGCCATGATGATCACCCAGTACGGCTCCAAGCTCGTCATTGCCTTCCTGGCGCTGCAGCACGCCCTGCGCGTGCGCCTCGCCGGCACCAAGAGCTTCCACGCAGCCAACGGCGGCTCGAGCGTGGCGGTGCGTGTGCAGCGCCTCGGTGCGCTCGTCGGCAATGCGCGTGTGCTGTACCGCATCTGGGGCCTGCTGCCGATGCTGCAATGGGTGAGTGAGGCTGGCACGACGCGAGGTGGAGGGCAGTAGAGGCGCAGCTTGAGCGAAGTACGCAGCGGTGCGGGGCATCGTGGCCGCCTGTGCTTGCCAACACCAGTCCTGACCGCTCCGCGCAGATGATCAGCATGGAGCGGAACCCGCCGCCGACGCGCCTGCTGCACAACATCGAGCGCATCCAGGGCTGGGCGATGATTATCTACTGCCCGCTCGAGGCCGTGTCGTACCTGGGTGCGCACTCCATCCTGCCCGTCTCTGCGCGCACGCGCGGCAAGATGGACCTGTTCGGCGTGCGATGCTGGGCCGTGTACGTGATCCTGCAGCTGCTGCACCTCGTCGAGGACAACCGGCTGCTGCGTCTGCGTGCCCGCGCCCTCGAGCGCGGCCGCGGCCACCCGACGCCGGCGCGCACTCCGAACACGGAGAAGAAGGTCGACCTTGGCGAGGAGCAGGAGACGACGCGCGGCATGTGGCGCGAGCTCGATGCGCGCAAGGACGCCATCCTCAACCAGCTCTGGGTCAATCTCGGCTACTTGCCGCTCACGGTGCACTGGTGCGTGTGCCGCGCTGCTGTACATCGCAGAGCCCCTTCTCACGTGGCCTTCCGCTGCAGGTCCACGCCCGGCGGCCTCCTCAGCGATGCGTGGGTGGGCTTCTTCGGCACCATTGCCGCCTCGGCGGGCCTGCGTGCCGGCTGGCGGGCCACGGCCAAGCGGCCGGAGCTCGCGGCCAAGTGATGTGTGGGAAGGGGACGGAGGATGGGAGGCGCTCTGCGCTCAACGCATCCGGCTTCAGGCGTGCTCGTATTACGACGGTTTCTCTCACTCGCTGCGCTCACTCGCGCCCTCGCTGTTCTGTGCGGCCTCTGTGCGCGCCGCAATGCCACCTACTACGACTGCAGCTTCGCGCCAGCTCGACGACGTGCGCGGGACGACGGCAGGCGGCGTGCGAGTTGCCTCCCATTTGCTCCACTTCGCGTGGACGGCCACGCAGGCTACCGGCGCTGATACATGGCGAGAAAGGCTTCCTTCTCCTCAAAGCCCAGGTTTGTGCGACGCAGCCGCGAGCTGTGTGTTGAATCTCGTGAGCAGATTCGGAGCTTTGGTCGCGCGTACGTGACGTACAGTGCAGACCACGAGTCAGCGATAGCCTCTTGCGGGCCGCGCTCGGCGCCGCGAACGTCGGCCGACGCTGCCTGGCCCGTCGGTGCCTCTGCTGGATGAAGTACGCGCACGCTGACGCCGCGCGGCAGCGCGATGAGTCCGGCCCAGATGCTGGCGCCAAGTGAGCGCGGCACACTCGTCGTGGCGCTTGGCGACAGCGGCGATGGCGGCTCGTACCTTGGGCTGCGTCAGTCCGGCTCTTCAAAGAACCGTACGCGGAGTGACTCACTTGATTGCGGTGATGTACATGCGCGGCGAGCGCGGCAGATCACGCAGCGCACCCGTGCGCGCATATAGCTCCCGCCAGGTGGTCGGGAAGATCGGTGCCGGGCGTAGCAAGGCGCGGTTATTCGAAGTGACAAGCTGAGCGGCGGTGGTGAGCAGGTGACCAGACACGTTGCTCGTCTGACTCACCTCTGGGAACACCACGCAGGGCGCGTTGGCCTCTTGCAGCGCCTTGTCAAAAGGCTTCACGTCTGCATCGCTGGCGTCACCTTCGAGCGGCGGTCGAGCGACCTGCATCAGGGCGGTCACGAGGCCGACAGCCTTCCAGCCCACCAGGCGCGCCTCGCCGCTGACTTTCTCGCGCAGAGTTTCAGGCATGTATGCGCCCGGACCGCGCTTGCGAGCTGCTCCGCGGGCTGCGGCGGCGGATGGCGGCGGCGCCGAGGGCGAGAGAACCGGCAGCAGGTACGACGGGCATGCGCGGCTAAGCAGCAGCACGTCGATGTACGACGAGTGGTTGGACACGATGAGATCGCCCACGCGTGGAGGCGCACTTGGCGCGGGTGCGTTGCGGCTGTAGACGGGGCGATCAGTATTCACATCGCCCTTCGACTTCTGCTCGAACTCACCCCCTCGTCGCGAGCGAGATCGTTTCTGGCGTCGTGCCGTAGAAGCCCAGCAGCGCCAGCACAACGGGCACGAAGACACTGCGGACCGCTGCCCGGGCCTGCCAGAGCGTGATCAGCGCTGCAATTGCGCCTTCTCCGATCATCGCCTGTGCTCACCCCAAACAGGCCTAGCAACGTCTCCAGCAGCGTCCACAGGAGCACGACGGCGAGAAGCAGGACGCCGCGCGCCGCACCCAGCACGTAGAGGAACGGCAGTGCCAGCAGATGCAGCGCTGATGTGTTTCCAGCAGGCTACAGCGAGCTCAGGTCAGCTCTTGTGTCCTCGCAGCGGTCGCGGCTGCGCCTCTCACTGTGACGGGCGGCAAGAAGACCTGCAGCAGCACATGCGTCAGCACCGGTATGGCGCGGCAATAGGCTGCTCAACGCACCTGGATGCCGGTGCCGGCGTCGCGGAAGCGGCTGAACTTTTCCATGTTGACTCCGAAGCAGATGCGCCTACGACACTGCGGCAGTGGACGAGAGGAGGATGTGGTCGGGAAGCTCGTCCAGCTGGCGCATGCGCTCGCCGAAGTGGAGCGGCGGCGCGGATCTCTCGGCCGGGAGCTGGAGGCGGCACCGCGCCAAAAAAGTGCGCTCGCCTTCCTTCTCGCTGCAGGCACGAAGACGTTGCCCTCTCGCCCTCATCTCCCAGCACGTCGCCTCTCGTCACCACTCCGGCTCGCATCGCCATGCCAGGCGTGCCATCTTCTCTGGCGCTCGCGGGCGTGCGGACGTCCGAGGAGCTCGTGCGCGCCCTCAAGGCGGCCGCCGACCCGCCGGCCGGCCTCTCGATTTCCAAGGTCGAGCTCGCCTCCCTCGCGTGGGTCGACACGGAGCTACACGTGCCAAAGAAGGCACACCTTCTGGCCGACTGGGCGCTCGAGGCGCTTTGCCGTGCTGTTCGCGACTCTTCGCAGGCGCAGGCGCAGGGCAAGGGCAAGGCAAAGGCGGGCAGCAAGCCGTCTGCAGTCCTGGCAGACGCTGCGGTGTGGCAGCTCCTCACCGACGCGAGCGCAGCCATGAGCGCAGCAGAGCGTGCAGCGCTCGCGCAGAGACACTCTACGCTGGCGCTCGTCTCCGCCACGACGCGCAGCTCTGCGCTGCACCGCCTGGCGGTGCTGCGCCCGGCCAGCCTGGCGCTTAAGCGCCTCATTCCAGCTGCCGCTGCGCGTGCACAGCACAACATCGACCTCATCGCAGAGCCTATCACCGCCGTACTCGCTGCGCTGCCTTCGCTTCTGAGCGCATATGCAGAGAGCGGCGTCGATGAGGACTGCCTTGCGCAGAACATCTTCGTGCCGCTCGTGCGGTCGTGGAGCGCTGCGCTGGAGGTCGGCGCCAACAGCAAGAAGGTGGGTCGCTCCTGGCGTATGCGCGACTCCTGGCTGACCGATTTGCATCAGGCGTCCAAGTACTGTCTGAGCAATGTGCTCGCAGTGGCACCTGGTGCGTGGCAGGCTTTGCTCGGCGCGGAAGAAGCGCGGCCGAGAGCTGTCACTCTTCTGCGAGCGTCGCTGCGTCACTTCCTTGCCGAGGCGCTCTTCACCACCGAGCGACTTGCTGCGCTCCTCGCGTCCGCTTCTGCGACGGACGACATCTTTGCCGCTCTGCGCAGTGCCGCTGCGGACAGTGCAGACGCCGCCTCCGACATTCCGGCTCTACTGCCCGAGCTCCTGTCGCTGCTGCAAGGCAAGCTTGCCCAGCATCGTCTCGCTCTCATGCCGGCAGCAGGCCCGAGTGCCGACATCTCTCTTGCCGCAGCGACTGCGGAGCAGATCGCACAGGAGCGCTCGGCCATCTTGCATGCGTTTGTCGAGCCAGCAGCCGAGCTGGTGGAGTCCTTCGCCGGCGCGCACCAGGCATCTACGCGGGCGGCGCTGCTCGAGCAGATCGAGCAGCTGAAGCTCTTCGTGCGCGCTTCCGACGATGCTGCAGCCTGGAAGGCGCTGCTGCGTCGCGCCGGCGCCGCTGCGTCAGCGGACATCGAGCGCAGTGCTGTGCCAGGGGCACAGCTCAAATCTTCTGGCGCTGCTTTGCGCACGATCACGATCTTGCTGCGGCTCGAAGATTCGCTCGCCAAGCCGCTGCTGCCGGCTGTGCTGCGTAGGGTCGCTTCTTCGTCGCGCCAAGACGCAGCAGCTCAAGAGCTGCTCAGTACTCTGGTTGACGGAGCGAGTGCAAGACGTGAAGTGCCGGAGCTTCTGGCACTGATCTGTCAAGCCTTGCAGGCAGCTCCGGTGCAGCACGCCGACGAGGCACTGCCCGCATTGCCGATCTTGCGCGGCGCGCTCTTCTCAGACGACCTTCGGGCCCAGCTCGTCTCGGCGCTCAGCATCTTCATCGCGCCGAGCCAGGTCATGCAGTGCCTGACATCTCTTCGCGAGCACCTCAAGGACCTGGTCACTGCTCTCACCGCGTCTGAAGGCGCCTCTGGCACCGCTTCGCCCGCTGCGTCAAAGCGCCGGAAGACAGCCAGCGGCGCAGGCAAGGCAAGCTCACCGGCTGCCTCGCTGAGCTCAGCGAGTCTCCTCGTGGGCCTTCGCATGGGCGCGCTCATTGTCGACAATCTGCTTCTCCCAGCGCCCATGCGAGAGGAGATCTTCGTTGAACTGCGCCAGCTCTTCGATGCTGTCATCGTGCCGATGTTGGACCGGCCCAGACGCCAAAGCAACGTCGCAGATGACGCAGTGCTCGCTGGAGCTTTGTATCTCCGGCTTGCGATGCTGTCGCGCGCTACAGATGTCCTCGCTGCAGCAGAGCAAGCCTCCCACGACGCTGCCTGGCTAGAGGCTGCGCTGGACGAGCGCGCAGATTACTTCGTCGAGATGCTTCAGCAACAGCCTGCGCCTGAGCTCCTGCTTGCTCTCGCTGCTACGCTCCTGCGACGGGCACAGGCAGACTCTGAGCGCCGAGTCGTCGAGACGCACTACACGAAGATGATCGGCGACGCGCAGCAGCCCCTGGTCAAGTCTCTGCTCAGCGCATGCGAGGCACGTAGCGCGCCCGACGAGCAAGCCTGGCGTGGAGAGGCCCACGGGCTGAGCAAAGGGCAAGAGGGCCCTGCGGTCTGGAGCTCGCTGGCCTGGGACTGGCTGCCAACATTTGAGTGAGCTGGCCGAGTCTCCTTTCCGCATGGCACTTCGCTGACTGTCACTTGCCTGTAGACGAATTGCTGGCTCCGACGTGCTCGAGCTGTTCTGCTCCAGCGTCATCATTCCAACCCTGCACTCGAGCAGTCCGGCGTCCGGGCTTGCTTCGATCAGCGCCCTACTGGCTCGCAGCGCCTCGTTCCTCGAGTCGCCGCGGTGGCGCGCTGCGCTCATGAAGGAAGGCGAACGTCTGGCCCAAAGCGAGCTCACTGAGAGCGCAGGTGTCGCGCTGGCCACGCAGCTTGCGCTCGCTCGCTTCCCGGTCGACTATCTTCCGGCTGCGCAGCAGCAGACCTTCGCAGGGCACGCCGCGAGGACTGACGCGCAGATCGCCCGGGCGCCACGAGACATGCCGGCTGGCGGAGAACCCGGCGCAGCCAATGCGGTCACGCAGTCGCTCTGGGCCGAGCTGCGGACCTTCCAGGCGCGTCTGGTGGAGGCGACCTCGGCAAGAGCGACCAGCGACGTGCTGTCTGACGATCTAGCAGTGCGTCTGTGCGAATCTGCCGAATTTGCTTGACTGCTGACGCTTTCATCAGACTCTCCTTCTCGACCTTGTCGATCCAGCGAAGCTTCCGGCGGAAATTTCCGACGCTCTCCACAGTGCGACGCTCCGGCTCTTCGATGCCCGTGTGCGCGCTCTCGTGCAGCGCGCGCTGACCGCGCCGATCAGCGCTACGGGTGCTGGACCGTGGAGCAGCTTGCTGCACGTCGACGGTCAGCTCGCCGCAGGCTTGAGTTCGACCGACTCGGCCCGCTCTGTGCAGTCGGCTGCTCGCGTGCACCTGCTCGAGCTTCTTCTCGAAGCCGCTGGCAGCGGCACGACTGGCGCAGGCAAGAGCAAGCAGATTCCTGCGCACGTGCTGGTGCCCTTTGCCACCTCATCGCCATGCTCCGCATCTGCGACTGCAGAGAAGCTCGCACGCACGGAGTCCGGGCTGAAGAGCGGAGGCACCGCCGGTCTGCTCGATGCCGCACACGAGCTGCGCACTCTCGCAGCACGTCTGCGGCTCAGCCAGCTGGCAACTCCAGAGACGCTGGAGGCGACGCAGGCCGTCGCTGTCGACGTCGTCCGATTCTTGGCGCGCTCGACGGTGCTGTTGCCTGTCACTGCAGTCCTCGCACAGAGCAATGAGCGACAGTCTGCGTCTCAAGCAGCTGCGGAGCTGCTGCGACTCTTCGCTGTCTGCCTGCGACTCTTCAAGGAGACTGGCGAGCACGTGCAGCTCGGCAACGGAGACTCGCTCGACGCAACAATGGCCTCGCCCAGCCAGATGCCCGAGGATCTGAGTGCCAGGGTGGCGCTGACGTTCAGCGCCCTGCTGACGGCGCTTGACGACCAAGGTGCGTCGTGGTCCTGCCTCTGCCTTGCGGCCTGCTAAGCTGACCACCTTTCAACAGCCACTGCGGACATCCTCATGACTCAGTTTGCGGACTGTTCGGTAGCCACCACGCCGGCGTCCTACGACGCTGCGCTCGAAGCCGTGACAGGCACTCTGGCCGGATCTGCAGCGATGAACAAGGACGAGGCGGCCGCATTGCTCGACACTGTCGGCGTCATGCTGCGCCACGGCCCCGAAGGTGCGCTGCACGATGGCCCTCCGGCCTTTGACCATGCTGACAACGAAGCTCAGGCACACTCGCGATCGCTCAGCGACACTGGTCGCGCCTCGTTGGCGAGCTGCATCCTCTCATCGCAGAGCAGTCGTCTGTCATTCTCACGGCGCTGCGCACCATCGAGCAGGTGTGCTCAGGCAAGGCCATGCTCCTGCGGTCGCCCGATGTTGGCCAGCTCTTTGCCCTGCTCGGCGCCTTGCTCGGCGCGCGCGAGCAGCCTGAGAGCTCAAGTATCGCCTCGGAAGGTCCGCAGATCTTCAGCGCGCTCGTGGCCATCCTCGAGTCGGTCGTGCGCCTGCGCGCAGACCTCGTCTCGCCGCTTCTGCCGCACCTAACTGCGCTGCTGTCGCAGCTCGTGGGCCCCTTCCCGACGCTGCGAGCACAGATCGGTGCAGGCCACGCAGCTGCCGTCACCTCGCGAATGCCCGCGTGGCTAGACATCGCACGGGCTCCTCTCGGTCCGCAGGAGGCGCGCGCCCTAGCACGTCTCCTGACCTCGCTCAACACCAAGTCCGTGGCGCTGCCGCAGTCGCTGCAGCGCAAGTCCAAGGCGGCCGCCAGCGGTTCCGGAGAGCGCTCCGCCAAGGTGACGAGCCTGTCGAAGGCCCTGTCGAAGCACGCGCCTTACGTGCTCGCCGCGCACGTCCGCACACTGGTGCACCCTTCAACGCACGTCAGCATGACGGTGCGCCAGGAGCTGCGCGCCGGCCTGTATGCGCTCTGCGACGTGACGGGCACGCACGAGCGCGACGCGCTCATGCTGGCGCACCTCGACTCGGGTGAGCGTGCCGTGCTCAAGTCGCTCTGGGCCGAGTGGGAGGCGCAGCGCTACCGCGGCGCGTGAATCCGGCAGCCAATAGATAGCCATTCACCTGTTACGCGCACGAGGCGCAAGGCCTACTGCAGCGCGCTGATGGCCTTGTCCGTGAGCTCAAGCACCTCGTGGATGTCGGCGCGTTGCCGCGGGTCGAGGACGAGGCAGCGGCGGATGATCTCCTTTGACGCCTCGGAGAAGGCGGCATTGCCGGCGTCGGGGAACTTCCAGCTGCCCGACTGCACGGCCATGGCGATGGAGCCGCCCTGCTCGACGAGCTGTGGCGTCTCGAATGGCGAGTAGCCGTACAGCATCGCGTAGTACTGCAAGCGAAGGTTAGCCGGTGCCAGCGCGGCCTGTGAGAACGCGACGCACAGTGCAGCCCAGCGACCAGATGTCGACCTTCTCGTCCAGCACGGCATCCGTCTTGACGTCGAACAGCTCCGGCGCGCGGTACGGCATGGAGCTGTGCTCTGCGGCAACGTCCTAAGCGCATTTGCGTCAGCCCTCTGCCTCGTGCCATGCTTCAGCGCAGAAGCTGACCTGCTGAATGATGGCCTCGCGCCGGCTCTTGATCTCGATGCGCGCACGGCACGCAGAGCCAAAGTCCATGATGACGGCTAATGGCTCGCCGGATCCTGATGACGTCGGCGCAATCATGATGTTGCTGCACGCGGCGCATCAGCACCGGCACTCGCAGGCGCTGGGCCGTCATGGCACTCACGCTGGCTTGATATCTCGATGCGCCCACGCGCAGAGGTCGCCGCCCTTGCCTACCGGCCCATCGCTGGAGGGCACAGCCGATCCCTCCATCCGCGGCGGCTTTGGCGGGTACGCAGCCTCTCCCGAGTCGTCCTGGCCGGGCAGCAGGCGCCGCTCGTCCTCCTCGCCATGCTCCTCGTCCTCCGCCGCGGCAGCCTCAACGTCGGCCGGCGCGGCTCCAGGCTGGGCGCCGACGTCAGGCAGGCGCCATGTATGCATGCTCTTGAGGCCCTCTGCTGCGCCACGGAAGAGGCGCAGACTGCTGGCCTCGTCCGCCGTCTCGCCGCGCACGGCACGCGCGGCCAGAGCATCCTGCAGCGTGCCGCGGCAGAGCGGCAGGAACAGATAGACAGTGTGCCCGTCGGCCGTCTGCTCCACGCACGAGTCGAGTAGCCGGATCGTGTGCGGCGAGCGGAAGCGGCGTGTCGTCTCGATCTCGGAGAGCGCAAGGCGGAGCGTAGGCGTGCCGGATGGGCATCGCATCTGTGAGAGCCAGTCAGCCCAAGCCAGCGCATGAGAGAGGCAAGAGACAGATACACCTCCACTCTGAGGATCGCGCATGTAGCGACCAGGGGGCCTGCCATTCCACACCCGACACAGACGCCTCTCACATCCCGCTACGCACCACTTTGAGGGCAAACTCGCGCCCGCTCTCGCGATCGCGCGCCAGGTAGACGAAGCTGACGGCGCCCTCGCCCAGGAGGCGCACGAGCACGACGGCGCGGCCATTGAGCTTGAGCGAGGTGCCACCGGGCACTGCGCCGCCGCTGCCGCCATCTCCGCCGCCGCTGCCGCCCAGCGCACTGCCGGCGCCGCCGCCGCGGCCCGAGAGGTCGGCGCAGCAGGGCAGCAGCGAGGCGAGGGCGTAGAGCGTGTCCTGCAGCGTCGAGATGGGCGAGAAGCCCTGCGAGCTGCTGCCGCCGCGTGAGAGAGAGCCGTAGCCGGACATGGCGCCTGGCAGGGAGGTGTGTGAGAGGTTGCGCTGGGAGGTGTTGGTGTCGTGAGCCACGCTGCGCTGCGCCGAAGGCGCATTCGATGCGCGCGCGCCTCACGCGGCCCCTGTGGCTGTGGCGCGTGCACGTTCGTAGTGCTGGCGCCGCGCCGCGCTCCGCTCCCAGCGCTCAAATCGGGCTTGGCTGCCGCCACTTGTCAACGCAAGGCATTCGATCACCTCTCACAGGCTTGTGTGCAGCATTCATGATGATTTTGCGCTCCAAAAGCGGGCGGCAGCCCTGCAAGAGTTCCGGAGAGAAGCTTGGCGCTGCCCCTCCAGGGCGACACGGCGGCGGACGCATCACGTGACGCCGGACGCGCTGCCCTCATCGCTGCGCTGAGACGCGGCGCAGATGGCGGCGACCTTCCTTCCCTCCACCAATCCGCCGCCTTGTCACCGGCACCGCTCGCTCATCTCGCATTCTGACTTCTGGCTCTCGGCCTCCCGAAGCGCTCGACCTTCCCGCGCGCACGACAACCACCCCGCCGCGATGGTGTGTGGCCCATTCGCGCCTCTTGCTCAGCCGCGCGTGCTGACTCGCGCCTTTCTTTCAGCCGCCGACCAAGCCTGCGGGCGGTAAGATGATGTGAGTGACAACGGCACAGCGATGCACTAGCATGTGTGCTCACTGTGTGCGTGCTGCAGGGGCCTCATCAACTACCGTCTCCGCATCACCATGGACGATGGCCGCCAGCTCACGGGCCAGATGCTCGCCTTCGACGCACACATGAACCTGGTCATGGCCGAGAGTGCGTTACCACACAACGCAAACCCGCAGTGCGCCTGCTCACAATCTGCGTTCTCTCACAGCGGAAGAGTTCCGACGCCTAAAGCGCAAGGGCGGCAAGAAGCGCAAGCAGGGTCCGGAGGAGGGCGACGATGGCGACGACGCCGTGCCCGTGCCCGAGCCGGAGCAGAAGCGCACGCTCGGCCTTATCATCCTGCGCGGCGAGAGCATCGTCTCGCTTAGTGTGGAGGGTCCGCCGCCGGCGGAGAAGACGCCTAGTGGCCCAGGGGTGAGTGCAGAGTGGAGCAGCGCAGCGTTGGGTGTCGGGCCAGGGTTGGAGCTGTCTGTGGTGGTACGCATGTCTTGGACATGCTAGGATGGCTAGACGAGGGATGCTGCGAGATGTGCGGGTGATGAGATGCTGCGCACTCTAGGGATGACGTCCTCGAATGTTGCTGCAGCTAGGCTGCCGGCTAGCAGCTCGCGCAAGCGATGAGAGCTCTGCATGCTGCTGCACTGCCCGCTTCGGCTTGCTCGCCGGGCCGTGACGATTGTCCAGGCCAGGCGCAAGGGCCTGCTTCGCGTTCTCCTGCCCGCGGTCTCAAGCTGACCTCTGCTTGCACAGCTCGCTGCTGGACCTGGTCGCGGCGCTCCGGCTGGCCGCGGCATGGGTCTTGCCGCGCCTCCGGGCATGCCGGCTCCCGGCATGGCTGCACGGCCCATGGCCTACGCGCGTCCCCCGGGCATGGGCGCGCCGCCGCCGGGCATGCCTGGCATGCCTACAGGCCCACCGCCGGGCATGCCGGCCGGCTTTGGCCCACCGCCGGGCTTCGGCCCGCCGCCGGGCATGCCTGCTGGTCCGCCGCCGGGCTTCCCGGGTGCTGGATTCCAGCCGCCGCCGGGGTGGGTGACTCGAGCAGCAGCAGGATGTCGACCGGGCTTGCTGACTTGCTTCCCTTTTCAGATTCCCCATGCCGCCGCGATAGGCGCCTCTCCGATCCCTCATGCCGCCACTGCAGCGCACCTGCGCTTCTCCTTCTCATCTCGCTCTTCTAAGCTGTCTCGTTCTTTCGCACGCCAACAAAATGACTACCGCTTCGAATCGCACGTAGCGCGTGGCGCAGACGCGCTCGCGTCGTGACGCAATGGTGACATTCAAGTCGAGGAGGAAAGGCCGGGAAGAGGTATGCAGGGCAGAGTGGTCGGGCGGGCTCGCGTGGCAGTCGAGGTGAGAAGCTGCCCCGGACGTCAAAGCTTGGCGCGCCGCAGCCGCTGCGTGCCCATGATGGGACAGCGCGCCTGCTGCTGAGTCTCGTGCGCCGCCGCCAGCGGCAGGATGCCGAGCCAGGCGCCCTCCCAAGCGTCGACGAGCGGGCACTCGCGCTGCATCGGCACGCTGCGTGGCTTGCCTCCCTCGGCCGGCGCTGCTCCGCCGATGTCGAGCTGCCACGCCGACGAGAGCGGCTCTTCAGGCAGCGGAGCGCCAAGTCCAAGGTCGAGGCGCGCAAACGTGACGTGCGTCTGCGCCGCTCGCAGCACGCCAGCGGCTCGCAGGTGCGCCACGAGTGCATCGTGTGCGTGCAGCTGGTGCATGCTGCGCTCCGTGTCGGGCCGCCGTCGGCGCTCGGGCTCGGGCTGGAAGGCGAACTGCTGCAGCTGCTCGGCGTACGCGGAGGAGAAGTAGCGCGGTGCGGGTGCTGATGTTGCCAAGCGGCGTTGAGAGGAAGTGCTAGACTCGGACGGGGACAGCTCGAGAGGCGTGTGCAGCACGAAGCGGTTGAGCGACGCTCGCGGCGCGTCCTGTCGTGGCGCTGCGTGAGCGGACAGATCCTTGCAGAGCCGGCAGCGAGACTCACCCGAGCGAACGTCGTCTGCGGCCCATGCTTCTCGCCCTGCCGAGCGCCAGCGCGCTTGCCTCTGCCGCTGCTCAGACGCCTGGCGTGAGCAGCCGGCCTTGCTGCTCAGCGGGACCGCGGCGCCGCTCACCTGGTCGTGCGTGCAGCGTTCTGTCGCGCCAGACGACGCGCCAGGAGCATCTCGAGGCGGTCCGCCTGGCCGTCGACGGCCTCGAGGAGCGTGGTGAGGTACATGCTGCTGAGACGAAGATGAGGAGGTGGTGGTGGATGGTGAGCACGCCTACTGGCAGCCATCCACGCGGTGCGCATTGCCAATGGCCCACGGCATGCTTCGCGCCTCGACTCGTCTCCTGCTCGCTGCCAGCTGGCATCTCCCTGGCCTTGCAGCCCGCACGCAGCGCAGGCGCAGAGCTAGAACGCTAATGTGGTGGACAAGCGAGCGGCCAGGCCCGTGCGTGCGACACGTCGCTGCTCAGGTGCCCCTGCCTCGGGACGCGAGCTCGCGTGTAGAGTGCGGGGCCAGAATGCGGTGCACCCGCGGGGCAGGGGCTCGAGTGCACACACACCTCTGTGAGGCCGCGGGGCGCGGACGCTTCGCCGGCGCAGCGGCAGCGCAGACAGCACGCACCACCACGACGAGCGAGAGAGGCGAGGTGCGGCTGTCGTGCCGCTGCCTGCCGCTGTCGCTGTCGCTGAGGCGCGGCGGCGGGGCTCGGCAGCGGCAGCCGCGGCGCGCTGAACTGCGGGGAAGTGCGGGGTGCAGGCAGCCGGGTGCTGCCGCTCTGCGGGCGCCTTCCCACTCTCACACTCAGACTCTGCTTGCACCCCGTTCAACACTCCAGAGCGGCAGGCGCAGGCTCGCCTCCGCGTCTGCCGCTGCAGCACCAGTGCCGCCATCCTGGCTCGCGCCCCGGAGGCGCTCAGCAGGCCGGTGAAGCCACCTGCGACAGCACCGTCGTCGAGACGTGCACGTGCGCGTCAGAGCCATCGGCTGGCAACGGCAGGTGCTCGCTCTCGCGTACCCTTATTTGCAGACTACTCGAACAAGAAGAAACGGCCAGCCGCAGTCTTGTCCGGTTGACATCGATGATGACAGGTCGACTCTGCCGTTGTCGCCGGCAGGCGGAGACGGGCGCTGGCGCTCCTCGACAAGCGCAGGGGAGTGGACTCTCTCGCTGCTGTCCTGCGCGGACATTTTCACGTGATCTGGCGCTGTCGGCCGACGAGCTGCATCGAGAGCTGAGCTCGAGGACAAGGAAGCACGCCGGTGAGCCGTGCGGCCAGCCTGATGCCTGGCGCTGCCCGTGCGGCGGCAACAGCGCTTCTTCGAAGCAAACAGTCGAGCGAGATTCCAGTTCTGCGCCGACGACCACCCTGCACGGCGCTGCGACGTCGGCTTCTGCTGCTCGGGCGAGAAGCTGGGCATCATGCGTGGCCCATCCTGCGCTTCCCATTCCCATGCGCAGACTCACGCTCACCTTTGCACGCCAAAGCCGACGCGGGAGTGCGCTGAACACGAAAGGACAAAGGAGGGTGACGGTCCCGCGTCGCATGATCCCTCAGTCACCACGCGAGATGCCGCACCACGCATCCGCGTCGGCGTCGGAGCAGGGTCAGCGCTTCGCGTCCCTGCGCAACCCCGCTCCGATACCCCTCGGCGTGCAGCGGGGCGTGCCTTGCGTAGCCATGGGAAGCATCAAGATGGGCGGTATTGCGAGCGGCTCGAACAGCCGCCCAGGTACCTGAGCGGACGCTCGGTGAGATCTGCCGAACCAGATCCCTCCGAGCCGGATCGCTCCGCTCCGTCGTCGGCTCCGCCCCGTCTTGGCTTTGCGGCGCAGCAAGAAGTAGTGCCGCAGCCGAGAGGGAAGCCCGATGGCCGACAGCTCCCACCGCCCTGCCATGCTGCAGCTGCTGCCGAGCCGGCACGCTGCACCGCTCGCCTCCGCCGATACTGCGTGCTGCGTCTGAGCGTCGCGGGCGCGGCAGCGCTCGGCCAAGTCTGCACACGTGCTTTGAGCGCAACCTCGAGCCTGCAGCTGCACGTCGGGAGTGCCATGTCCGCGACACACGACGGCGTCAGGCTGCGGATGACAGCAGCGGCAGCAGGCGCAGCCTTGGCCGCTGTGCGGCGCAGTTTGCCCGGCGAGCCCCGAGAGTCGTGGGCCCGCTGGATCGGGTTGCGCCCGCTGCGGCTTGCGCGTGTGCACGGCTCAGCGAGCGTGCGAGCTGCGTCTGCACGCTGCAGCGCTGGCCTGGCCGCCTGCAGCAGCCTGGGACCCGCCTGGCCCAGAAGGTCGCCCTCGGCATGCTGTCCGCGAGGCCTGGACGTGCGTCTAGGCTGCGGCCGCCGTGTGTCTCGCACCACGGGCTGCTCCCGCGCCAGCGCCGCAGCGGGCTACTCTACTGCAGGCGCGTACGGTATTCCGTAGCCCAGCCCTCGCAGCGGCGCACGCACCGTGCAGCCCTGCTCGGCAGCGAGCTGCACCTCGTCGTCGAGAAACCGAGCGCGATCCGCGGCTGCTTGCGACAGACGCTCCATTGCCGATGCCGCAAGCTAGCGGACGATGCCCTTAGCACTCTCTGTCCGACGGAAGCAAGGCAGCGAGCGGCGAAGATGTGTGTGCTTGTTTCATGGGAAAGAAGGCCCTGCGTCCGCCATCCGCCGTTGCTCTCTTCGCCCTCTCTCAGCGGCAGGTCAGCAGCGGCGGGGCCTGTGCGGCAAGGCAGCTCTTTCGCATGACACCGTGCTGCGCAAGGCTGCAGGACCTGGCGGACGCCGTGGCTGGCTCCTGGGCAGCCGTCGGGGCGCGCGCCACGTGCTTAGCTCAATGACGGCGCGGGGCCGACGTCGGCGCCGGGGGCGGACGAGGTGAGGGCTGGATGTTCACATGGCCCCTCGCCCCCAGATTGGCCCGGCGCCGGCACGTCGTCGCTAGCGCCGGAGCGGACGGCGAAAGTGGCAGCGGCCGGTCCACCCATGGGAGCGGGCGCGGGCCAACTCGACGCGGTGCCGGCGCTGCCATGCATGTTCATGGCACCGCCCCGACGCAGCACGGGAGTTGATCGCGGGGCCGACACGCCGGCAAACGTGCCCGTCCGCTCTTGCGTGGCGCCGCCCCCGCAGGACACCTCTGCAGCACGCAACGAGCGCGGCTGTGGCTTGGCAGCCTGCCATCCTGCCTCCGAGCGATGACCTCTTACGGCACGAGCCGCACGAGAGAGCGGCCCACGAACGAGCTCGGCACGGGAGAGAGAGCGCTAGAGGCGGGCGCCCATGTCTTGCATGAATGCGCATGTCTGCCGAGACGGCCCAGAGCATCGTCTCGACTCCTTTGTGACGCGGTCTCGAGCCGCGGCGAGATGGCAGTGGCGCCTTCCGGGCGGCAGCGATGGGTGGCCTGCGGCCACCGCAGCTGGCTCCGGCGTCGGATCAGATCGCTGCGCTCGAGCTCGGCGCAGCACCTCGGAGCGCGAGACATGTCACGCCGGACAGCCGCTTGCTGCTGCGCTCCAAGCTCAATCAAATGCAGGAGCGCGAGAGGGGGGCTATCGCATCAAATTGATCTGAGCGCGGGTCCGTGAGGCCGCCCCGGCCGTCAGGTGCAGATCTCCCACAGCCGCCGCCCGATGAGCGCGGGGGCTTTAGCCGAGAGGCTGCAGAGGCTGCACGGCGGTTGCAGCCGCAGTGGGGTTCGCGCAGGAGAGGAGCGCACGCAGTGCGCAGCGGCTCGTGCTGCATCAGGCAGCCACGCAGGGCATGTGGAGCGGTGCGTGCATGTCGTGCAGACGGGAGCGAGGGCAGCGTCGAGGCAGAACTTTCCCCGGCAGAGCCTCTTGGCCCAAGCGAGGCGCAGAGCGTAGGCAGCGCACTGCACGGCATTGGGCGTATCCCGACGATCGCCGGATGGAGCCATGCCTCCGCGCGGCTGGGGTGCGTTCTGCTCTGCACCTCGTCGCAGCCTTCTCAGCACCATTTGCGAGCCGGCACCGCGGGTCGGGGATCCATTCGCGGCAGCGGCGGGGACGGGGCAGCATCGCAGGTGCCTCGGCCCCAGGGCGCACCGTCCGACAGCTCGCAGCATCGGCAGGCACGAGGGCGGCGCAACGCGGAGGCGGTGCAGATTCAACCTTGTGGCCCGGCCGCCGGAGCGTCTGCTGAGGCTGCTGCTGTGCCTCCTGGGTGAGCGTGTCGCTAGATGCAGTCGATGCCAGCGGAATTCCGCTGCATACGGCAGCGCTCTCGCCTCTGGCCCTCGGCCCCGGCGCCGGCGTCCGCGCACACGGCGCTATTGTGATCGGGCAATTTCGCAGCGGCGGAGCAGCCGCAGTCCGGCGCTTGGGCGGCACCCGTCGCGCAACAAGCCCCCGTCGTGCCGTCGGGTGCGCATGGCAGCACCGTCACGCCTCCGAGCGCGCCTTACCGGTGGGAACGGCGCTAGTGCGTGTGCCGTCCTCGCCGGACGCGCGTGCTGCTGCTCCGGCCACTCGAGCACGCAGCGGCGCACACCCCAGTGCTGCATCTGGCAGGCGCACGACGACGAGAAGTGATTGCACAACGGCTCCGGGGCCGCTCGCCTGCGGCTGCGCACCGCGGCGACGGCGCAGAGGCGCTGCACGCCGCTGGTCCAGGGAGGTCGCGGCAGACGCGGCGCCGTTTCAGGGGCGCGCGCGGTCCACGGCCGCCTCGCCAGCATCCTTGCGAGGCGCACCGAAGCTTGCAGATCGCAGCAGCATAGCACGAGTCTCGACGCTCGCAGGCCCCCTCCAGCTAGATGCTTCCAAGGCAGACGGCATGCTGCGGCGGCGCAAAGCGCTGTGGGGTGCAGGCAGCGGCACGGCGGCGCGGCGGGACACATGCACCTGCGACAGCCATGCGCCGCGCTCGGACGCCGCTCTGCCACTCATCGGCGCCCATCGAAGCTGCGCATCATCCCCCTCGCTCGCCGGCGCCCCGAACGCATGCCCCTGCGCTGCACTTGCATGCAGCGCTGCAGTGCGGCTGCTGCCGTGGTCCGAGACGAGACACTAAGGCACGGCGGATCCGTCTGCGCCGCAGAGGAGCCTCCGAGTCTGAGTGCCGCCGCCGCACAGCCGAACAGCGGCGCAGAAGGGGGCGAGGAGCATGGAGCCATGCATGAACATGCCCGTGCCCAGCAGCGGCCATTTCGACGCACCCTGCCTGCCGTCGGGAAGGGCAAAGGGTCGTCGGCGGCGGCGCCGTGCCCGCTCGCGGCATCTGGGGCTGCGACGCGCCTGCAGCGCGCTGCGGCCGCGCCTTCCATGCGCTCGCTGTCCAAGGCCGCACACCCGCCGCCGCTGCAGTGCCGTGCGTGCGAGAAGGCAGGGAACAACGGAGGAATCGGGACCGAGTGTCTGCGCGCTGCGTGTGCGCCGCACGGCGTCTGCGTGCGAGGCGGCAGCGCATGCCCGTCCGTCCGGGGTGCTGCACCTGCGCTAGGCGATGGAAGCCGCCGAGCGGCACCCGTCCCTCGCTCCTGCTCCGCTTGCTGGCCGTTCATTTGCCAGGCCGGGTGCTGTTGCCATGGTGGATGTGCCGCTGCCCCGGTGCGGCTCCGGCAGGCGGGATCCACTCGGGCGCTGCGATGCCCTTATTGTCGCAGCCCGAGGGGCTTGCCGCCGCGCGTCTCTGCGGTGCGCGGCGCGTGCGCGGCGGGTGCAGGCAGGCCGGCAGCGAGGGCCGCTCCCAGCCGGCACAGCAGGACAGCAGCGCCTCCGTCGAGGCTCGCCAGCACCTGTGTCCTGTTGGCGGGGCTGAGTCAGTGCTCCTTCCTTCCACACCATCATCCGCACCTACACCCCACCCTGTCTGCCGGTCCACCACGACATCGGCCGCCAGACGACGCCGCCACGCCCGGCCCTCGCGTGGGCCTCTCCTCTGCGCACGCCGCACGCCGCTCGCCATGGCGCCCCGCCGCGCGCCGCCGCAGCGCCAGGCAGCGCTCACTGCGGATGCTGGCAAGTCGGCGCCTGCAGAGCCCGTGGCCAGCTCCTCGCTCGCCGCCGAGCAGCCCGTCGACGCTGCTCCGGCACTGCGCAAGAGGGCGCCGAGGCCCAGCCGCAGCAAGCAGAGCAAGGCTGCCGCCGCGGCCGCTGCTGCGCCTGCGCCCAGCGCCGAACCGGCCTCGTCGCCAAAGGCCACCACCGCACCTTCTTCCGCATCACGCTCGCCCAGCCAGTCACCCGACAGCGCCTCCATCTCGCCAGCACTCACCGGCACGAGTCCCTGCACGTCGGGCCCCGAGTACTCCATCGGCGCTCCATCGAGGGTCGACTCGCCGTCGGGCCTGGCGGCGCCGAGCACAAGCACCAGCGAGGCGCCGTCCAAGGCGTCCAAGGACTCTTCTCGCCGGCGCGTCAAGAGCAGCGAGCCGTCGAGCGTCGTGCCGCGTCCGCCCAACGCATGGATCCTGTACCGCTCCGCCAAGCTCCGTGCTGGCGCCTCGTCAAACGAGCAAGAGATCGGCCTGCCGTTGGCGCCGATGCCTGGTCCCAGTGAAGCCGCTGCTGCGCCTGTCGAGTCGGAGAGCGCGACCGACGAGTCTGGCCAGCGACGGCCAGGTGACTTGAGCAAGCGTCTCTCGGCGGCATGGAAGGCCGAGCCACCCGATGTGCGGGCCCACTTCTACCAGCTGGCGACGCAGCGGCGTCTCGAGCACGAGGCACTGTACCCGGACTACAAGTTCACGCCGCGCGTCACCGAGAAGCTGGCCAAGTCGCGCGAGGTGCGCGCTGCGGCTGCCGCCGAGACGCGGAAGCGCAAGGAGGAAGAGCTGGCCACCAGGCACAAGACGACGAGCGTCGAGGGCAGTGCAGAGCCCACCAGCGCAACGCAACAGGAGCCGGACGCAGCACGCGTCGCCACGCCACCGCCGGCGCCGGCTGCTCGTGCGTCGCGTGCCAAGTCGAGCAGTCCAAAGAAGAAGGCCAAGGCCAAGATCGCCCCTCGCAAGGCCGCGGCTGCGGACGCGGAGGCCTCGCCTGATCCTGCCAGCCTCGAGCGCCGCAGCTCGTATCCCTCGACGCCGGCAGAGTGGGCAGCGCCGGCGCCGTGGGTGCGAGACGCGCCTACAGCCGAGCCTCGCGGCGAAGCGTCCGCCAGCCAGGCTGCGCCGGTGACGCTGAGTCGCTCGGGTTCGAAGAAGAAGCGCCTTTCCGTCGACCTGCGTGGCACTGGCAGACGCGCTGGGCCGTATCCGCCGACGTCGATGCGTTCGCCTCGCTCGCCGGCCGGTGCGACGTTCGAGACGGCGATGCCGAGCTGGAGCACGACAGCACGGTCATTCGAGGCCCGTCGGACAGTCAGCGGCGGTGCGGCCGAGTGGCGTCCACTGAACGCGCCGCCGGCAGGTAGCAGCGACGAGGCCGCGCCGAGCCAGGCTCGCGCGGCCGCTCACGGCTCAGACTCTGGTCTCGCATCGCCGACGCCGCGTCGCCGTGCCCGAGCTGCGACGTCTGCCGCTTCTTCGCCGCATCATCGTATGCACTTCGACCTCGGCTTGGGCCTGCCTGAGCGCCAATACCGGAGTGCTCCGAGCACCTTGGGCGCAGCGTCTTGGGACCTCGCGTCGAGCGGCCTTGCGCAAGAGCCCTTCCAGGGTTGGGACGAGCGCGCCGAGCCGAGTGGCAACATGACCTACTCGGCCGACGATTTCGACTTCGATGCGGCGCACGCGCACGCTCATGCCATCGGACGTTCCGAGGAGCTGCCGATGCAGATCGACCCGAGTCTGCTCGAGGCGGAAGGCAGCAGCAGTGGCCTGATGTCGTACGGCCAGACCGAGTCCGCGTCGCCCGAGCTTGCCGAGGCCGATCCGCTAGGCATCTTCGGCGGCGTCGGTGCGCCAACGTACGAGACATCCGACGGCACGCTGCTCAACTTCCAGCTGCCCGACTCGCTCGACCGGCAGGCGGCCATGATGCTCCTGATGGGCGACCACAACGAGTCGAGCGACGGGCGCGGCGGCCATGCCTTCATGCCTGGCTCGAGCGGCGAGCTCTTCGCGCTGGACGGCGATCATCTGCGCCTGGCTGGACGGATGCAGTTCGACGGCGTGCCGAGCATGCATCTCAACGAGCGGCAGCCGCGCGGGCCTTACGCTACCCAGCCGTTGAGCGGAGGCTCGATGGAGGGCTTGCAGGCTCCGGACATGCGAGCTCAGCACTCTGGCGACGCGCAACGCGGATACGCCGGGCTCGCTGATGGACGGATGAGTGCATCTCAGAACACTTCTGGCTATGGTGGCGCCGAAAAGGCAGGGCGTGTCAACGTCGACAGCTACGATGGTCAGTGGCGGAACTCTGCTGCGTCGCCTACGGGCCTGCCTGGCACGGCATCGATGGCCACATCGAACATGGCGGAGCCAACGCTTGCTCCGCGTGCTGCTCAGGTCTCGGAGTTCGCACCTCTGGTGCCGCGACGTCCATCGCTAGGCGCCAACTTGCGCAGCTACAGCTACACCAGCCCGGCACAAGCCTCGCCACCTTCGCTGGCGACGCAGCGATGGCCTACGTACTCTGGTGTTGCGCCCGGTCGCGAAGTGCAGCCCTCTTGGCAGCCTTCAGGCGCTGCGGCTCCAGTCCCGCAGCAGCAGCAGCCGCCACCGCCGTCAGCGCCAGAGCCGCAGCACCACTATCGACACCAACATTACAGCGACCACGACCAGACTTCGGGCTACCCGGAGCACGACGCATCTGGTCAAGGCCGCGACGCGTTCCCGCTGCCGAACTTCAGTCGTCCGCTGTCGCCGCAGAAGCCGTTTGGCAGCGACGAGCCCTCGCATCTCGACGACACCGACATGTCGTGGGAGCGAGCAGTGTCGGCGGTGGTGCACGACGCGTTCCCGCTCTCGCATCCCTCGGACGCTTCGGCGCTGCAGGACGCGCTCGACTTTGGCGCCATGTCCGTGTCGCGCGCCAGCAACGAGCACTCCTCCTCCTTCGGCGGCGTGTCCGGCATGCCGGCCGAGCCGAAGCTCGAGCTCAACGGCACCTTCTCCGAGGGCGAACTGCTGGCGCACCTCGAGGCCCTGCGTCGACGCCGCGCTGCCTGATGGCCCGGCCTCGCACATCCTCTCCCGCGAGGCGCTCTCGCCCACGATCTCTTCAGACTGTCCCATGCAACTCGGAGGACCCACGCCCCGGACTCCCACCCTACACACCTACACCGCATGTTGCGCGTGCACTCCACCGCATCTGCCGCCTCATCACTCCTTGTCCTCGCCAGCGTCCCTGCCCGTCCGCCGCAGAGCTTCCCTCCTACTTCCCAACCCGTCTCGCCCGCTTTTCTCAACCTCATCTGTGATACACCCGCCGCTTTCCCCGGACATCCCTGCTCACCCACACCACCCACATCTATGCCCCCCTGTCTGCCTCATTACAGCTTCTGCTTTGCCAATGCTCACCTCTCTGTCCTCGAAGTGCGACGCGGTTGAAGGAGGTGCGGAATGGCGGTCTGACGCTGGGTGTGGGAGGTGAGAAGCAGGAGACGCGAGCGCTGCGAGCGTCGGCCAGTGTGCGGGCGCTGGGGAGCCCGCAAGCGGCAGCCGAGTGCATGCTGCATGCATCATCCGGGACGGCCGTTCAACAGCGCCGACCCTTGCTGCGCTTCTGGAAGCAAGCGAAGCCGTCGGGCAGAAGCCGTGCCGGCACGAAGACGCCTTGACCCGGCGGGACGGTACGGCGCTTCGCACGCTAGCAGCGAGTGACGCAGCGGTACGGCGTCGGGCGGGTGCCTGCGCGGCAGAAAGAGCTCTCCGTTTGGCCGAGCCCGAGCCGCCAGCGCCCGCTTCCGCCTTGCTTCTGCACTGCTGCTGCTCTTGCGCATTCTCTGCCGCCGCTCGCCGACTCGAGGATGTGGCTTCGAGTTGGACCCTCCGCAAGTCTTAGTCCCCGCCCCCAACTCCGCAGGCACGAGCACGAGTAGCGTGGGAGAAAGGCGCCATGCTCTCGCACGGGTCGCGCCGCCGGCGAGCTGCTTCTCTTGTCCGCCTCTTCCTGTCGCTCCTCCCGCACGACTCGGCGAGCGCAACGCCGAGCTCGCTGCAGAGCTCCTGTGTGCGGCTCCTGCTTGGCATCGACGAGCACTGCATGCTGCAGGCGCCGGCTGCGGGTATTGCTTCCATGCAGGAGACCTTGCGTGCCGAGAAGCGGCAGAGCGGGGCCTTGGCACGGCATGCTGCAGCGGCTCGGACGTGACCGGCAGTCGCCCTTTGGCGGGCGGCGACGCAGTGCAGGCAAGGTTTCGAGCTGAACGCTACCAGAGACGCAGACCTGCGAAGGTGGTGCTGGTGTCGTCGCCGGACGTCACGCTTGAGACGTTGCCGCGTTGCACATACAAGGCGCGAGGCGCGGCACCGGCGCAACAGTGTCGTCGAGTGCCTGCGCTGCCGGCATGCAGCGCACTCGCGCAGCTCAAGGCAGGTGTTTTCGGGGCGCAGTCTTGACAGAGGACTCGGTCGTGGGGCTGGACGGTGCACGTGCGGAGCGGGGTCGGATACGAATACATTGGCGCAAGCGCCTAGGCGCGGCGCTGCGGGCGAGAGCACTGGTGCAAGGAGGGAGGGGGGTATGCAGGCGCGCGCACAACGGCGGCGAGAGAGTGGAGAAGGCAGGTCAGACAGCCCCCGAGACAAGGCAAGAGAAGGCGCGAGGAGGGGATAAGGAGCATGTGCGCTGCTGCATCTCAGAACCAGCCCTGGACCGAGCTGTTGCGCGAGTTGCCCGAGCCGTAGGTGCGCGTCGTGTGCGTCGTGTCGGCGCGCATGAGCTGCGTTGGAATGGTGGTGACGAGCTCTGGGGAGCGGAGGAGTCTGTCAGCCAGGACAAAGCGACTGCAAAGTCGTGCAGCTGCTCACCGAACACGTGCTGGAAGTCGTACGGCAGCCGGCCAGCGGCGCGCTTGCGCTGCGAAAGGATGATGCTCGCCTCATTCTCGTTGGCTAGCGTCGTGCTGCCGCTGACGTAGCGCAGGTCGTTGGCGCGGATGAGCTGCACGAGCTGGCCCGAGGCACTGTCGCGGATCTCGACGAAGCGCATGTCGAAGGCGAGCACGTAGGGCGCTCGGAACGCGACAGAGTGTGGAGTGCCCTCCCACTCGATGATGTTGTCGAGGCGCACCGGCTCGCCGAGACGGTCGACATAGCATGCAAACGCGTCGTAACAGAGCAGAAACTCGGACTCGGAGTTCTTGAACATGCCCAGCGGCTTGGAGCGCTCGACGCGGCCGGCGAGCATCTGCACCCGTGGGTCGTCGCGCGCGCACTGCGAGAAGTCTGGGATCGTGCCGGGCAGCAGCGAGTCGAGGTTCATGATCTCGAAACCGCGCGCGCAGACGATGCAGAGCTTGGAGCGCAGGAACTGCATCGAGTAGGCCTCCGAGGGGATGAAGAACGTCTTGTAGATGCGGAACCAGTCGCTGCTCTTGTTGTCGCGCGCAAAGCGGCCCAGCAGGCCGCCGCCGCCCTTCTGCTGCTCGGCGTGCGGCGCATTGATGACGGGCTCGAGCGCGCGGAAGACGGACTCGTTGGCCTTCTTCTTCATGTACACGAGCAGCGTGCGCCCCTTGAGCTGGCCCACGCTGAAGAAGACGACGTCGCGGTTGCCGCTGAGCTTCTGCGGCGGCCGTGGCGTGCTTGTGGCGCCGGCGCTCGGCACCAGCGCCTCGAGGCTGTACGAGATGAGCACCTTGTCGGCCAGCACGACGAAGATGCCAAACGACTCGAGCACGGCGCACTGCGTCACGAGCTTGAGATGCAGCACCTTGCGCAGCGAGCGCGGGTCGTGCCGCAGGCCGATCCACACGCCGTCGGCGCAGCCAATCGCCACGAGGCGCCGCCCGTCGGCCGTGACAAAGGGCACGGCGCAGGTGACCCGCCCGTGGAATGAGCCATTGTCGAGCCCTGGCGGCGGGCGCTCGGGATCGATGCTCGAGATCGACGGCAGTGCAAACACATCGTCGCTGACCGTGTGCGAGTCGAAGACCTTGTTCGCCTCCTGGACAGCCGCGCGCAGGCCCTGCGCCTCTTCCAGCTTGCGGCGCCAGTCGTCGCGCGCCGCCTTGGAGGGACAGAAGAGCGTCAGGGGCTCTGTCTTGCCGCCGATGTGGTGCACTGTGAACGGCCAGAGGTCGCGCGACTCGCGCTCGCTCGTGTTGCGCAGGTGGAAGTTGCTCAGACCCAGCGAGCGCGAGACGCTCGGCTCGTTCCAGCCCGACAGCTCCATCATCTCGACAGGGATCGGCTGTGCACGTAGTCAGTCAGAGCACAGCATGATCCAGCTGCTCGGCAACACTCACCCGCTTGACCAGCAGGAACTTCGAGCTGCCCGCCGACGACTCGCCGCCGCCGCCATCTTCGTCGCGCTTCTTCGTTCGCGTGACGACGAGGAAGTTGTCGAAGAGCACGGCGAGCAGGTCGGCCCACTCTAGCTCCTGGAACGCCGGCTTGCGGTAGACACGGCCCTGGTGCACGAGCTGTCGTTCCGGATTCAGCAGGTCCATATCCACGACGCTCTTGTTGCGCTTCGTCGCCAAGTTGTACGCGTACTCGCGGATCTTGACTCGCACCTCGGCCTCGGCGACGCCCTTCTGGATGGCGCGGCACTGCTCGTCGACGATCTCCATGGCGCGCACGAGGCTCTGCTGGTCCGAGTTGCTGGCGTCCGTGTCCTCGAGGATGCTCTTGAAATGCAGCTTGTATCGCGGCAGTCGCGTCGTGGCGCGCTGCAAGAAGTGGTCCATGGGCAGCCTGTGACACGCCGGGTCTCGCCGGCACGACTGCAGAAGGATCGTCAGCGTTGAGCGGTTCCGAGCTATGCAGGCAGACAGCGCACCTCAAGGAAGGCGACGAAGCGCGGATTCACGCTCGCCTCGCGCTGGATGCGGTTCTTTGCCAGCGGAAAGTTCGTCATGTTGGCGTCGAAGGCGCCGCCCCACTCCAGCGCCGCGTCGAGGAAGATGTCGCCAATGTGCTGCACGATGGGGCTCTGCTCGCGCTGCCGCACGTGCAGGCGCTCGACGAGGCGTCGGATGTGCCCCACAAGCTCGCGGTGGTTCGAGAAGACCTCGCCGACGAAGATGTCGCGCTCTGGACCGATGGGAATCGGACTGCGGAGAATGTGTGAGCAGGGGTAGGTGCTTTGCGCACCGGAACATACGCACGGCGGGTCGCCTGCATCGCTTGGCTTCTCGAGGCGGTGCAGGAAGAGCGTCTCCAGCAGCTCGAGGTCGCTGAGGAACTCCTCCTCCTTCTGAATCGTCTCGAGAATCGCGTTCTGCCGCTTGATCTCCTTCTTGGGGATGCTCTTCAGCAGGTCTGGTGGCACAAGGTCGGCCCATGCGGCAGCCATGTGCGACTTGCCGGCGGCGCCAGAGTGCGCCGCTTGCATCGGCTGGCCCCATCGCGAGAGCTCGCCAGCAGGAGGGAGCGCCACAGCGTCGGCCAGTGGTTGCGACGTAAGGCGCTGGCCGATGGCCGAGGAGCGTGCGCGCGGACACGAGAGCGAGTAGCACTCGGAGCCGCGCGGCGCATCGGGCTTCCCGCACAGCGGCGAGTAGCAGGCAGTGAGGGGCGTGAAGACGCCCGTCGGCAGCTCGTCCATACCGTCTGCCCGCGGTTGCTGCCCCGCGCGCGAAGCCGGCTTCTGTCCCGTCTCATGCGCCAGCGCCAGCTCGCGCTCAAAGGCATTGTCGGAGTCTTGCCGCGCCGCAGGTGTGCCGGAGCCGGCCAGCGAATCCTCGAGGAACATGTAAACCTCCTCGACGCCATCGCGCAGGTCGTTCTGGCCCCAGTCGACCTCGTGGAAGAAGAGCTGGCTCTTGAGCGTCTTCGCTACGAGTAGCGCGACTCTGCGCTCTCGCGCCGCATCGAGCTGTCCCAGCGCCAGGCCGGCAGCCCATGCGGCGTGCTCGCGCGGGATCAGCGCCTGGATCGTCGAGACGACGTCGCGGCCCGTGAAGCTGAACGGATATGAGACGCTTCCCTTGATCTGCTTGCCGCGCGGCACGGCGTCGCGCAGCAGCACGGCGATCGTGCTGAGCAGCGCAAAGTCGGGCTGCGAGCCGTCGGTCGTCTGGACGAGCAGCGGCGTCATGGGACCCATGGCGAAGGAGCTGTACGAGCCTGCCCGCGCCACGCGCGTGTTCGACGACATGCCGACACTGCTGGGCCCGCTCGTGCCTGCTGTTGAAGGCGTATGCAACGGTGCCAGCAGTGAGGGGCGAGTCGAGCTGTTGGCGCGCGAGGCGCTCGAGCCCGTCGTCTCGCTGCCCTGCTGCGAGCTCGACCCACGATGGGCATAGTATGCGCTGGGCGACTGCGGCGCGGGCGACGAGACGAAGCGGCCAGGCGAGGCAGCAGAAGGAGCGTCGTAGCTTAGGTTCCACTGCGGCTCAGATCGCGAGCTGCTCGTCGTCAGCGCCGCCAGCGGTGGCGATGTGGCGCGCGCTTGCAGCTGCAGTGCGGCCGCTTCGACGGGCCCGCGCGCCGGCGCAGGAGACGCCGGCGTCGGCGGCAGTCTGCGATTGGCCAGCACCGAGCTGCCGTTGCTCGCGGCGTGCGGGCTAGTGGCACGACCTTGCTGCATCGGACTGAGCTCGCCGCGCTGCTCAGGCGCCGACAGCTCCCACGACGAGCTGGCCTCCTGGCTGAAGCCATTCTGATGCGTTGCTGACCAGCCGGCAGCAGCAGCGCTGGCGCTGACCTGGGCGCGCCCCATCGAGCCAATGCTGCCCGCCGACTGGCTCGTCTCCATGCCGCCGTACAGGTCCTCGCGGTTGTACTCAGCTGTGGAACTGAGCGGCGTGCCGCCAGACGCAGGGCCATCGCGGCCCCTGATGCGGAATGAGGAGACCTCGGGCGACCAGGAGGGCGGCGTGGCGCCGATGCCACTCGAGTCGGACGAGACGGTGTGCAGATGGCCGCCGACGGAGTCTGCGGGCGTGCGTGGACTCGTCGGCCAGGCGTTGCCGCTCTGCTGCGGCGTGCGCGGTAATGATGGCGCTCGAGGCGGCGCAGGGGCGGCATCGGCTGGCTCGCGGTGGTAGAAGCCCGGCGGCGCAGGCGGCGGCGGCAGTGGTCGGGCAGCGCGATTGGAGCTCTGCACGTCGTGCTGCTCGTAGCCCGGCTGCTGGTTCCACGGCGCGCCCGAGGCGCTGCCCACGACGGGGCTCTCGGACGCGTAGAGGTTGATGATGGCGCTGGCCGAGCTTAAGGGCCGCGAGGCATCGTGCCACGCATCGTACTCTGCGTCTGTCGATGGCTGCTGGCTAGTGGAGAGGGACGAGGGATGCGGCGGCAGGGGCGGGCGCGAGGACAGGGCGTGGTAGGAGGCCTGCCGCTCGGCACTGCCCTGCCAGTCGCCCGACTCTGCCGGTGCAGCGGCATCGGCTGCAGGTCCGGCAGACGAGAACGACATGTGCGTCTGCAGGTCGCTCGTCAGCGAGTCGAGGCCGCCGAGGCCGGGCGAGTAGCACTGCGACGGCAGTCGTGGCGCCCGGGCATCGGGATGCTCGAGCGAGGCGCGCGGCTCGTAAGGCGCGCCCTGCTGCTGCTGGTACGCCTGCGGCAGTGGTCGCTGCTCATACGCACGCCCGGGCGGCGGCTGAGAGCACTGCGCGTAGCCGTGCTGCGCGTATTGCTGCTGCTGCGGATGTGATGCGGCCGGCTGTTGAGCGTAGTACTCTTCAGCCTCACGCGGCGCAGCAGCGTAGGCGCCCGGCTTGGGCGGGAGATGCGGCGCGGCCATCGGTGCGGGCAGCGGCAGCCGCACGCTGCGGCGGCAGTAGGGTCACCGGCGTGGAACAGCCGTACTGGCGTCACGAGAGCGCGCAGATAACGGTGACAGGCGGACGACGGCGGTGTGGAGATGCAGGATAGGTGGGCGAGAGCGGGAGAGATGGAGGTGCGGAACGAGGCTGTGGTGCCGCGGCCGCGCGGGCGCGCTCGCTGCTCGCTTCATGCGCGCGCCGACACCGCCGCGCGGGCCACCGGCGGCCGCCGCGCCTCGCCGCCCGCCGCGCGAGCTCTCCTGCTCGGCGGCAATCACGGGCGAGCCAGCAAGCTCGAGGACTGCCTCCATCGTTGATGCAAACTCGTCTCTTCGTCTTGTCTCACACGCTTGATCTGAAAATAGGCTAAGGAAAGGCGTGACAGGTCTCATTGCGACATCGCAGCAGCAGCAGTGCAGTGTGACAGGCGAGGGCTAAGGGTGCAGTCTAGGCGTAACATGAAGGGATATACCGAGGCGAGGAGCAGTTGGAAGAGGAAAAGGTGGCAGAAGGCAGGCAAGACAATGCGCAGAGGAGAGCTCTTACGCCTTGCGGGCCGTTGCCTCCTTGGAGTAGCGCGGAATGTCGCACGCCCGCAGCACGATGTCCATGCCCTCGGCGTCGAAGAAGAGCGACTTGCCGTGCTGGTACTTGGGCACGACGGTGATGCAGGCGTCGGGCACGCCGGCGTCCTTGAGGTACTCCACCGACGCGGGCACGTCGATCAGCATGTCGTGCTCGCCGAACACGAGCTGCAGGTCCTCGGGCGTGTGCGACGGCAGGTCGTGGGCCCACACTGCAGAGGGAAAGTCAGCTTCGGGCCTCTCTATGGCTGAGGCGATGCACTCACGAGCCATATCGCTCCAGTTGAACTGTCGGCAGATCGTCGTCGCAATCGAGAGCTCGCGCGCGACGAAGTAGCCCAGCAGCACCTCGACCCCGGTGACCCACTGGCGCGCCAGGAAGGCATAGCACGTCTTGCCCTCCCACAGCCGGAAGCTGACGGGGTCGACGATGACGTGGCGGCCGCAGATCTCGGGCGCGCCGCGGGCGACCCAGCCGTGCACCCTAGTAAATGATGTGAGCAGACGTAGAGAGTGTGATGGGCAAGAGGGACACTTACATCGTGCCGTTGGAGTGCGAGAGGATCGTCGCCTTTTTGAAGCCGAAGCGCTTCAGCACACCGCGGATCGCGTCGACTTGCGCATCCTTGGGCGGCGGTGAGAGGAAGTGGCGGTGCCAGATGGTAGCCGAAATGTTCGCCTGGATGAGCACGACGACGCCGCAGTCGTGCATGCGCAGGTGGCGCAGGAAGGCGAAGTACTGGCCCAGACCGATGCCGAGGCCATGCAGAAAGAGAATCGGCTCGGCCTTGTGTGCGTGCTCAGCCGCGCGTTGCCGAGGCTTCTCGGCGGCGGGCAGCACGAGGAACTCGCAGTCGCCCTCGCGCACAAACTGGAAGCCGCCGTAGCGCTGCGCCCACCAGACGGTGAGCGCCGTGACGCCGTTGCAGACGACGTAGTAGCCCAGCGGGCGCGAGAGCACCGGCACGCGGTCGAGCGTCAGGCGCAGCGTCTTGCAGTGCGGGTTGCGGCCCTCCTTGAACGTCGTCTTGAGCCGGTTCTCGGCGAGCTCGAGGCTGCGCTCGATGATGTCCATGGCCTGCTGGTCAGAGCGGCACTCCTCGAGGTCGCGCCCCGTGAAGGCCCACGCGAGCCACTCGCGCACATTGTCGCGCTGGATCTGCTCCTTGGGGCAGTAGTGGAACCAGCGCGTCATGCGCTGCCACAGCGCCTCTGCCTCCTCGTCGGTGACCGTGTGCAGGTCGAACTTGTCGTCGGCGTGGCCGCCGCGACGCTTGGGCGGGTGCGCGGCGAGGCCGACGTCGAGGCACTGATACAGCAGCGTCTGCATCTTCTCCAGGTCGACGGCCGGCGGCTCGCCGACGGGCGCCTGCACGCGGCGCGAGAGGTAGAAGAGGTAGATGGAGAACGGCACCTCGACCATGGCGTGCCACCAGAGGATGGCCCAGCCGCTGGGCCAGCCGGCAGCCGTGGCGCTGCGCATGGAGGCGATGTCGCCGCGGTAGAGCTTGAAGAGCGTGTGCAGCACAATGGCCCAGCAGGCCGGCGTGATGCCCCAGACGAAGCCCGCAAGTGCACTGTGTTGCCGTCAGTCGCTGTGCCGGACAAAGACTGCTGGGAGCACTCACATGGCGGGGTAGTACTGCCACGTCCGCTGCTCCAGCGCCGCCTTCTTCGCCATCTTTGCCGCGCGCTGCGGATCGTCAAACTGCGGCTGCGACTGCTGCAGCTGCGGCGTCGTCTTGCCGCTATTGCCGCTGCCGCTGCCGGCGAGCGTCTCGCTGCTGCTGCTGGGCGACATGCGCAGACGCAGCTGCGGCTCGGCCATGGCGGGGCGCGTGTGCGCGGCGGTGCGCGGTGGAGAGAGAGAGGTGGAGGTGTCGCGCGGGAGGGTGGCGAGGAGCAGCTCGAGAGGTGTCGCGAGGGTGGAGCTGCTCGTTGCTGAGGATGATGATGGAGAGGAAAGAGGCTGCTCAGCCGTGAGGACAGACGAGGCCGATGCTCTTGAGGCCCGGATGAAGCGGCGGCAGAGGCAGGCAGTGCCGCGGCCTCTCAGAGCTAGAATGCCGGCGGAGCTGTGGCTGTCAAGCCCCGCGCGCGTGACTGCTCAGCAAGCAGGCAAGCAGGCACCTCACGCCGTGGGCGATCCTCAGCCCAAAGGCCCGTCGAGCGCGGGGTGCGTGCCCTCTCGAGGACGCCGTCGAACCCACGGCGGCACTTTGTCGGGGAGGCATGCCATGGCATGACGCTGCCTTGGGGCGGAGTTGCTGCGCGTTGTGCTGCGCGGCGGACGCAAGATCGGCGCTCCGCCGCGGCGCCGCTCTCACATGGCCAAATTTCGCAGAGACGCATGAGAGATCCGGAGGAAGCGGCACCTGAGCAGCGTCCGCAGGCCGGCGACGAGGGAGGCGCTTTGGCCGATCAGATCGGAAAAGGCCCGTGAGGGCGCCCAATTCCGCCTTCGTGGGCTACACCAAGCACCAGGGCAGCGTCGAGGAGCACCTCGATCCCTGCATGCTGCACGCCTATCTCCGGGCTTGGGGCCAGATGCAGACGCGCGCGTGGAAGCGCCGCCCCGCCCGCTGCGCACCATACGAGTCGCGCCGCCGCGCCAAAGCATCCGCCGCAACCATGCGGGCCGTCGCATTCGAGCAACTCTGCAACTTACTCGCAGAGCGCTTTGGCGTCAAAATGTGCGTGAGTCGACGAGAAGCACGTTCGTCCAATCGAGAGCTCTCAGCCTCAGGTGCTCGGCCTCGAGAGCGATGAGAACGCGGTGTGCAAGCGGCATGGAAGAGCAACAGGCCGCGACGCCACACCACCTGGGCTCGCAGCGTGAGGCTCGCAGCGGGCGCTTCGGGCACAACGCATCCTGCAGCAGAAGTCTGAGCGCAGCGTGGACCCTACATGCGGCTATCAAGTTGCCTTGAGCATGGCCTCGCCTTGTTGGGGCTGCAACGGCACCCCCTGAGCGCCATTTGCCACCAGGCGCGCCGCAGCGGCAGCCGTTCATGCGCCACAGCGACCCTTGAGGCTGCTTTCAGCTGCGCCAGGACTTGCGTTCGGCCTCTCCTGCGCGCTGCAGGGGCCAGCTGCGATGCTCATGCTGGCGCTGCGCATGATGGCTCGCCGGGGAGCACAGGCCACGTCGAAGAGGAGCGGCACGTGCCGCACACCGTCTGAAAGAGGCGCCTCGGCCTCGGTGACGTAGCCGGCGCCTTCTCGTGCGAGAGGGACGCGAGAAGGACGGCGCGGGGTCAATACAACGTGCGGCGCCAGGCTTCAACGCGCGCGCGTGCGAAGTTGTATTTGCATGCCTCCACCGCACGTTGCGCCTCGCTTGCCTTGCGCTTCGAGCTTCTGGCCCGCTCGCTTGCTCCTTCCCTTACCCCACATTCTCTCCCTCAAACGACTGCGCGATGGGCCACTACATCCCCGAGCGCCGCCTGCCGGCGCTGCACGCGTACAAGTACGCCGGACAGGACGACTCGCCCGTGTCGAAATACGTGCTGGGCCCGTGGTGGAACTGTGCGTGCGGCGAGAGAGGAGGAGCGCGGGAAGGAGCAGCGGCAGGATGGCAAGTAGACGGGCAGGCCCGGATGAGAGACGTCGGCAAGTGCGCGAGCGGCAGAGCATCAGCCGCTGCAGACGCGCTGGCGTGTGCCCTCTGCCGCCCGTCGCCTTGCCGGTGCAGGTCCAGCAGTCCACCCCTGGCGCCGGCGGAATCCTCATTCTGCTCCTGTGCTGGGCATTGGCGCCATCCTCGCCGCGACCTCCTCACTGACTCGCCCGCCAATCCACAGGGCTGGTGGAGCAGTTCCCGCTCACCGTGGCGCCCAACACCATCACGCTCTCCGGCCTCGGGCTGGTGTTCATCAACTTCCTCACGCTGCTCGTGCTCGACGGCACGCTGGAGCACGGCACGGCCGCCAGCCTCGACCCTGCGCGTCGCGTGCTGAGCCTCAATGCCTCGCACGATGCCTGGGCGCCCGTGTCGTTCTTCGAGCACCACGGCTTCCCGGCCAGCATGCGCGAGCACCGCTTCCTCGACGTGCCGCGCATCCCGCCGTGGATCTTCATGACGTGAGTTGCACCGGCAGGGAGCACGGACCATATTCTGATGCGGCGTGCGCTCGCAGCTGGGCTGTCGGCCTCTTCATGTACCAGTCTCTCGACGCCATCGACGGCAAGCAGGCACGCCGCACTGGCATGGCGGGCCCGCTCGGCGAGATGTTCGACCACGGCTGCGACGCCATCAACACGACGGTGCGTGACTGCAGCTTCATGCGTCTGCCTCGCAGTTCTGACGTCAAGCGCAGCTCGAGTGCCTGCTCTGCTGTGCCGCTCTCAACGTCGGCCGTTCCTACTGGGCCATCGCCTCTCTCATCGCCACGCTGTCCAACTTCTACCTGACCACGTGGGAGGAGTACCACACGGGCATTCTCTACCTCTCCGCCTTCTCCGGGCCCGTCGAGGGCATCCTGATGATCTGCGGCATCTACGCTATCACCGCGCTCGTCCCCGGCGGCGCCAGCTTCTGGGGCCGAGGCATCTTCAGCCTCACGGGGCTTGAGAGCTCGGACTGGGCCGCGAGCCTCGGCCTCGCAAAGTGGAACATCAAGGCCAACGAGGCGTTCCTGACCTTTGGCGCGCTTGGCCTCTGCGCCAACATCGTCGCCTCGTACGGCAACGTGCGCCATGCGCGCCGCTCGCGCGGACAGTCGGCCGTGACGCCGCTCCTTGGCCTGCTGCCGCTGGTGCTGCAGCAAGTGACCATGACGGTGTGGGCACTGGGCAACGACGGCCAGATCCTGCGCGACGGCGCCACGTTCGTGGCGTTCTGCTGTGCCTGGGGCATCGCGTTTGCATACAGCGTCGGCCTGCTGATCGTGGCGCACGTCACCAAGGCGCCATTCCCGTACTGGAACGGCGCGACGCTGTATGCGCTGCTGGGTGCGATCGATGCTTGGCTGCCCAAGTGAGTGCACGCGCAGAAACCCCGACAGACGGCTTGGCTGACGCTTGGCTACTCGCAGCTCCATCGTGCAGTCCTCGCCGACCAACGTGCGCTTTGCAGTGTACTCCTCGCTGGCATTGAGCGTCGCCATCTATCTGGTGCGCAGCTCCCGTCTCTCCTACACCGCGCACCTTGCTTACATGTGCCCTCTCTCTGCGCAGCACTTCTGCCACGACGTCATCACGACGATCACAAAGGAGACGGGCAAGCCGTGCTTCCGCGTCGTGCCGCCGGAGAAGCAGAAGCCGCAGAACAAGGGCAAGGGCAAGAAGGCGTGAGCCGGGCGAGGCGAGCGAGAAGCTTTGCCTGCGAGCGCATGAAGAAGGAAAAGGAAGGGGGCATGGGAGGGCGCATAGGCTGGCGCAGCGAGTCGGTGCAGAGACGCGCGCGCTGCGGCCACGCGAAGGAAGCTCAGAGTAGTCGCAATGCTAGACGATGCTTAGATCAGATCGACACTGCTGGACGATTGGCGCGACGAAGCATCGACATCGACGTGCGTCACACGTCCCGCTGAGGGTTGCTCATTATGCTATGCTTTTGCACATGGCGCGAAGCGATGGCTTTCGGTGCGGCATGGCTCGTTGGACCGCGGTGAGGAGGGACGTGAAGGTGTGTATGTGTCGAGAAGCTGAGAGAATGGCGGGGGAGACAGGGCGAAGCGACGAGCACCGTCGGGCTTGGCATGGCCGAAGGGCTCTAACGCCGCGCCGGCGCATTCGTCACAGCGAGTGTCCTGGCGACCTAAGCGTACTCGTCGCCCGGCATGGGTGCCACGCCCGGCCGATGGCGCGGCACAGCCCGTCTGACCTGCTCCGCAAACGCCGCCGCAGCGGCGGGCGTGCCGAAGCGCAGGGCAAAGTGCACCGGCGTCGCCGCCGCCTTGCCCGCAGAAGCATCAGGTGCCGCTGCCGCCGCGTCTCCGTCCTCGGCATCGCCAGTCGCGGTAGTGGTGCTGGAAGCAGGCTGCTCGAGCGCCACGAAGCGCACGAACTTCTCGGCGAGCTCGAAGCGCATCGTGGTGAAGAGGGCGACGTTGAGGATGAGGCGCAGCACGCCTTCTGCGCGCATCACTGCAGAGAGCACCACGCACGTTGCGTCAGCTTGCCGCTGGACAGAGGAGGCGGGGGGGGGGGATGGTTGGCTACGCACCCAATCGACCGGGACGGCGACGTTCCAGCACAGACTTGGGCACGAGGCAGCGCACCGTGCCCGTGCCGCGCTCCTTCCATGTCTGGTCGGCCGTCATGGTGTACAGCTTGGCACGTGCGCTAGCCACTGCGCGCTCATCCTCCTCGCCCGTGGTCACTGCGCGTTCGAAGGCGGCGTCAGCGCACCATGATAAGGCAAGGAAAGGGAGGCAAGAAACTCACGATCCGTCTCCTCCGTCAGCGTCACCTTTCGTGTGTCCTGCTTCTCCGTCTCGTGCTGCTTCGCCAGGGCCTCCTCAAAGTCGCGCTTCGCGTCTTTCCGCTCCTTCTTCTCGCCCTCCGCCTCGTCTCCCTGCTTCGCCGCCGCCGCTGCCGCCGCAAAGCCATTGCTGCGCGGCGACGCTGCCGCTGCCGCGAAGCCGGAGGAGCTGGCAAAGGCGCCGAAGCCGAGCTGTTTGCCGTTGCCGCCGGCTGCGGGCGCAGCGGCGGCGCGAGCAGGCGGAGAACGCGTGTCAGATGACGCGGCAGGCGAGGCAGCGGCTGCAGGCACGGACGAGTCGCGCGTGCCGAGCGCGCCGAGAGCACTGGGCCGCACGCCTCCACCGCTGCCGCTGGGGCTGGAAGTGGAAGAGGAGCTGGAGCTGCCCTTGCCCGCGAGCCAGCTGGGCCCTGCGACGTTGGAGGCACTGGCGCTGAAGGGCGACGAGGTGGTGCTGAAGGCGCTGAATGTCGGCTGCGTCCGTGCCGGTGAGGGCGCAGCGGCGGGCGATGAGGCGGCTGCGGGCGAGGTTGCGGCTGCGGGAGCGGCGGACGCCGAGGAACTGGATGCAGTGCTTGCTCCAAACGGCGCAGCGGCGGACGCCGCGGGCGCATCGCCCTTGGACGCGGACGCACTTGCGAAGCCGGAAGCGAGAGCATCGCCCTTGGGCGCACTGGCAAAGCCCGAGGAGCGCGACGAGGCAAACGAGTCAAACGTCGGCTGCGTGCGTGCTGGCGGCGGAGCAGCAGGAGCAGCACTCGCCGCAGGTGCCGCGGCAGCTGGCTTTGCCGCCTCCTTTGCCGCCTCGGCATCGCCCTCCTCGCCCTCCGGCACGCCCTCGAGCGCCGCGCTGTCCTTGCGTGCCTCGACGGCGTCCTCGGCATCCATACTCTCCTCGTTGCCCTCCTCTCTCCCCGCCTCGCCCTGCTTGCCGCGCCAGCTGAGATCTCTCACGCGCTCGCGGATCGCGCCGACCTTTGTGCCCTCGCCGCCCGCGGCGCCGACGGCGGCGGCGGCGGCATCCTCGGCGCCCGCCTCGCGCGCCGCGTAGTCGTCCTCGGCATCGTCGCTGGCGGCGTGCGTGGTGGCGCCCGAGTGCGACGCCGAGCCCAGCCGGTTCTTCTTGGCGGGGATGGCGTCGGGCGTGGAGGGGCCCTGGGCGAGGGGACAGAGCATCAGCTTGCCGTGCGCCTGCCACCTCAGCGGCGCGCCCCGCCGTGCACTCACGGTGATCTCGCGCTGGCTCGAGCTCGGCTCGAGGCTGCCCTCGCGCTCGCGCTTGCGCCGCAGTGTCTCGTCTGCCTCTGCTGGACGCGGGCGCGTGCGCAGCGGCAGCGGCGGCGGCGCCGCGGCGGGCGGCGGCGAGGGCGACGAGGCGGGACTGGCGCTGGCGCGTGCGCTGCGCTCGGCCACGTCGGCGTCGGCGGCCATGGCGAGGTGAGGTGTGGTGGTGGATGCGACGAGGGTGCGGCGACTTGACAACAAGCGCGGATGCCTCGCCGCTGCATGCGCATCGCACGTCGCTGTCGCTGTCGGCGCGCCTCATCGCTGGCTCGCGGGTGCGCATCGAGTGCGCATCGCTCGTGGGGCGGGGCGGGGCGGGGCGCGACTCCGCCGGTCCGCTGCGCCCTCTCGTCTGGCGTCCGTGCAGCGTCGACCTCGCTGGCCCCGGCGCACTCTTACTCCTTCGCAGCGCTCCAACGCTCCCCTCCACCATCGCGGCCCAGCATGCCCATCTCCGGGCTCGATGCCTACCTGCAGGCCTCGCGCCAGCTGCACACGGCGCCCCTCACGGCGCTGCGCGACACGCGCCTCGGCATCGACCTGACGCTCTACCTGCGCCTCCTCCTCAACTCGCCGCGCACCGCCGAGCCGCTCGTCGCCGCGCTCGGCGGCGCGCCGCTGGCGCTCATCGCGCACATCGAGGCCGACCTGCGCGCCCTCGAGCGCGCGCGCATCAAGCCCGTCTTTGTCCTCGCTGGCCTGCCGCCGCTGGCGCGCCGCGCGCGCCCCTTCAGCTTCGCCGCGCACGATGCACGCGCCGAGGAGCGCCGCCGCGCCTGGAGCAGGTACGAGGCGGGCGACGTCGACGCCGCGCACCGCCATCTCAGCCGCGCAGGCAGCGTCCGGGAGGCCGATCTCATCCGCGCCGTGCTGCGCGCCTTCCGGCACCGCAACGTCGAGTTTCTCATTGCGCCGTACGGCGCCGATGGACAGGTGAGTGACGCGAGAGGCAAGGCAGGGGCAGCTTCACGGAGCCGGCCAGATGTTGCGATGCAGTCTGGTGCCGTGTCGCTGGCCATTGCTCTGGCTGGAGTGCCGTTGCTGGCCACTGCGCTGGCTGGAGTGCCGAGACGCAGCTGCTGCACCGGCACGCTCGCTCTGCACCTGCACCTCTGACCTCTCCCGCACCAGCTCGTCTCGCTGGAGCGGCACTCCAAATCCTACGTGCACGCCATCTGCGGCAGCACCTCGCTCTTCCTCTTCGACCGCGTCGAGCGCCTCATTCTCTCGCTCGACCTGCAGGAACTGCAGAACGGCACGGGCCCGGGCAGCTTCACGTACGCCTCCAAGCCCGCGCTGCTGCAGTCGCTCGGCTGCAACGAGGAGGAGTTCCTCGACCTGGGCCTGCTCTGCGGCTTTGACCAGACACCGACGTTCCCGCCGTTTGCAGACGGCACCATTCCCAACATCATGATCCATCGGCGCGACGGCCCCAGCGCTGGCGCCGCAGGCGGTGCGCCGGGCAGCACGGCGGTGCCAAACCTGCGCGCTGCCGCCGAGGTGCTCAAGAGCTACCGCAGCGGCTTCACGCTGTGCTCGGCGTTCGAGCAGCACCCGGCATGCGTCAAGCTCAACTACACCGACACGTTCTGCCGCGCCCGCTGCATGGTCAAGTTTGCCCTCGTCTCGTCGGCAGAGGAAGGACGTGTGCTGCCACTGCCGCTGGCCACGCCGCCGCCGCCAATGGCCATGCCCGGAGGCGGCCAGGCGGCGCCGCTCATCGCGCCGGGCGTCAACGGCGCCTCGCCAGCTGCGCCTGCGTACGTCGGCGCGCCCATCCCCACGGCAGCCGACATCCCGTCTGACTTGCACGAGATCTTTTCGCACCGCCTGCCCGACGAAGTCTTCCTGCATCTCTCGCGCGGCCTCATCTCGCCCACGGTGCTCTCGCAGCTGACGTCGCAACACATCGTCGAGACGTCGCCCCTCTCCCCGGACGCACCCGACGAGTACCGACGCTTCGTGCGCGAGCAGCTGACCGAGTCGCCGCAGTCGCCTCGCTGCGTTGCGCTCGCCATCATGGCCAGCGCGCTCAACGGCTTCTGGAGCACGCGCGCCGTGAGCGCCACGTACTGGTGGGACCCGTCGCGCGACTACCCGGTGCCGCACGAGTCGCAGCCGACCCTCAAGGTGGCGCAGCGCGTCAAGTCGTGGAACGTCGGCGTGGCCATCGTCGAGGAGGAGCTGCGTCGGCAGAACAGCAGCACGATCGACATTGCGCTCTGTCTCGGCGCCACGAGCACTGCCTCGTCTGCACAGCGCACCAAGACGCCCCGGCCCGCGCCTGCTGCGCCTGGTGCTCGCGGCGCTGCCGCGGCGGCGGCCGTGCCAGTGCTGGAGAAGAAGGACGAGATCGTCGCCAACGTCATCTGGCGCATGCTCGAGATCCGCGGCTTTCTCAACCACGACCATCTGCACACGGGCTGGGCGCGCGCGCTGCATCTGGCGCTCAAGTCGGCGCGCCTCAACGATAAGTTCCAGGAGCCGCTGTACCTGGCGCTCGAGCTGATGCGCGCCGGCGCCCTGCATGGCAACCCCTACGGCGGGCGCGTGCTCTCCGGCGGCCCGGCGTACGGCGACATCGAGGCGCCCGGCAAGGAGGGCGAGGAGGCAAGAGAGGGACGCACGCATCTGCTGCTCATCATGCGCTGCCTCTCGCTGCTGCCCATGGTCTTCCGCAACGTGCCGTGGTCGGCGCCGCTGTCGCGCGAGCTGCTGCTCTTTGCCGCCTTTTCCAAGTCGCTCTCGCGCTCGCTGCGCTCCCTCGTCGAGGCCATTGCCTCGAGCCTCTTGCTCCGCGGCGACGGCCGGCGCGCCCGAGACGACTACCTCGACATTTCCCTCTCGCTGCCGTTCCAGAACGACGCAAACACGGGCATGGGCGTCGTCGTCAAGTGCTTTCTCGAGGCGCTGCTCACGTTCAACGGCGGGCCCGTGCGCGCCGGCGAGGAGGAGAATGAGGATGTCAAGGAGGCGGTGGAGCAGGTGCTGGAGATGGTCGAGGCGACGTTCGACAACGTCAAGGACGTGCGCAACGAGCTGCGGCGTGCCTTCCGCTTCTGGGACGCGGTGAGTCCCCCCCCCCCGTTCCCCACCGGAGCGCCTCTCCTGCAGGCGACCTCTCGTGCTCACACAGCCCTCATGTCGCACAGCTCATGAAGGCCACGGCGACGCTGCGCGTCAAGTCCGAAGAGAGCATCACGCCCGAGCTCGTCGCGCAGTTCGAGGCCGCCGACAAGTGGCTCAAGCCCATGACGCGCATCTGAAACCGGCGGGGATGCGGTGCGAGAGGAGGAGAGAGGGGGGTTAGAGAGGTCACATGGAGGCGAGGCGAGGCTGAGCTAGGCACGTTATGTGCCGTCGCGCGTGGCCTGGAGCCATTGCGGGCAGCCTCTGGTCATCAGACGGACAGACGGGCAGAAGAGCGTGCAAATGACATGGCTTGAAGAGAGATGACAGAGCGTGAAGGTGACCGACGTGATGTTGTGTGGTGACGAGGCGGGAATGATGATGATGGTGTGTCGCGAAGGGAATGATGGGCCGAGCCAGGAAAGGCGAGCACAGGCTAGTGAGAAACGAGAAAGGGAAGAGAGAGCTGGCCAGCACCTCAGGGCAAGCTCAGTATCTGCGGCGCTTGGCCGACGACTCGCTGCCGTACGGATTGGCCTCCTTGGCCACGGCGTACTGCGGCTTGTTGATGCCCGAGGCGCGCAGACGCGTGCTGCGGACGATGGCACTGCGTGCGAGAGGGGGGCGTGAGCGGGACAAGGCGAGGCAGGTGGACCGCGACGCACTCTTTCGCCTCAAACTTGTCGACGGGGCAGCCTTCGAACTGCGGAGGCGTGCGTCAGCCAGCCGCAAGGGGACAAGCGAGATGTGAGGGGGCGCACAATGGGGAAGCTGAGTAGGAGGTGTCAGCAAATGGCCGCCTGCCGACAATCTGAGCTGACTCACCGAGGCGTGCCGTCCTGCAGCAGCTCTCTGTGGCGAGAAGGAAGCGACAGGTCAGCGCCTTGCGTTACCTTACAGCAAAGTCTGGCGGCTCACTGGAAGCGGTACCGCACCACCGTGCCCTTCTTGGGCTCCCACATGGCGCGCTGTTCATCCGTAAAGCCCTGAGAGAGGCATGCGATGAGTAAGTGTCCTTTCCGCCGCGGATGCTGAAGGCGGCGACGCACGCTGCCAATCTCCAGCTCGCGGCCTGCACAGGCACTTGCGTCAGCATGCGCGAGCCTTCAACGACGACTTCTGGCTGCCCTCACCATTCTCCATCTGCACGATGATGTTGCCCATGACGCGCTGCGGCCTGGTGAGCCGCGTTGCGAGAAGAAGGAAAGGAGAGAGGTGAGACGCACCTTGTTCTTCTCCGTGCCGTACGAGTGGCCCACGACGATGGCCTCTGCGTCGTACCAGCTCCTGGCAACGACAGCACATTGTGAGCGTCCGGCTGGGTGGAGCATCGAGGCCCACTCACTTGACCTTCCAGATGACCTTTGACCTTCCCGGGCCTCTGCATTCATACTTGCTCTTCGGCTTGCGCAGCATCAGGCCTTCGCCGCCCTGCTCCTCTACGCGATGCAGCTCCTCTCTGCAGTGTTCGTTGTCTCTGCACTGCACCATCGGCAGCACGCAGACATGCATGCCCTTCTCGCGCGCCTGCACGGCAGAGGGAGAGAGGACGCCGTTGGGCAGGCGCTCGGCGAGCAGCTTGATGCGCTCCTCGTAGAGCATCTGCACGTTCGTCACGTCAAAGGCCATGAAGTTGACATCCTTCCACGCCTCCTTGGAGGAGCGCTGGCAGATGCCGTTGGTCATCTGCGAAGCGCGGTGAGCGCTGTGCACAATTGGAGCGCGGAGCGGCGAGGACAACGAACCTCAAAGGCATCACGACGGATCCAGAGCTCGCCGTCCAGATGCAGGCTGCCCGAGCGAGTGTCAGTCTGGACGAGAGAACGGCAGTCGCTGTGCCGCAACTCACTCCTTGGGCAGCTTCTCCGTCCACCACTTCGGTGCATTCCAGCAGTTGCCAGCGCGCGAGTACTGCCACCGCAGATCAGCGAACATCTACGCATCTCTGCCAGCGAGGACCACGCACCAGCGCCGAGCCGTTCCACCATGCGCGCACGCCGTCGAGCTTCTCAGTCATCCAGAATCCGGTGGGGTCGGCGAGGCGCGTCTTGGGATCGTCGAGCTTGTAGTTGTCGCCGAGCATCAGGTGCATCTGCGCCCGAGGGCTGTGCATCAGCGTTCTGCCGCGGTGCGACGCAGTCAGGGCCGACTCACGCCGCCATGGGCGTCGCGCGGGCCCAGATCGTCGACGCCGTTCCAGCCATTGCCAAAGTGGCGCGTGTCCCAGCTCTCCTCCTCCACCTCGCGCTCCTTGCGCTTCTCCGCCGTCTCGGCCATGCGCTTCAGGCTCGCAAAGCCCTGGTTCTTCACGCTCGGCAGAGTCTCCTTGGCGACGGCCAGGCGCACAGACTCGTACGCGGCGCCGTTGAGCGTGGCGAGATGTGCGCAGGTGCGCGCGCTGCGCGGCTCCTTGGAGTACACCCAGCGCGTGCAGGTGCAGGTGAAGGACTGGCCGTCGGGCACGCGCTGCAGCGGCACATCAGCGGCTGCGTCGTGCGGCGCCCGACGCTGCAGACGACGCACCTTGGCGACGTACGTCTTGCCCGCGCCGCCCGGGAAGGAGCGCTCCTCGCCGGGCGCGAGGAGCGACTTGGGCTTCTGGCCGCGCACCAGGCCTGTGGCCAGGTCGATGGACGGCGCGGCTGCTGCGGCTGCAGCGGCAGGCGCGACAGGAGCGGTGGAAGATGAGGCGGCGGGAGTAGCGGCAGCGGCGCTCACGGCGGCGGCGGGCTCGGTCGAAGTGGAGCTCGCGGTGCTGGCTGCAGCCGCGGCCGCGGTTGCATTGAGCATGGCCTCGGCCTCAGCCTCGGCGGCGGCGGCTGCGGCGCTCATTGCTGCCGCGAGAGTGAAGGGGGAGAGAGAGACGCCAAGGCGCAGTGGAGCAGAGAGGAGGCGAGGAGGTGCCGATGTGTTCTCACTGCGAGTGAGGAGGGAGGATGTGGCCGCGAGCGAAGATGCGCAATGCACACGTCGGCGCGTGCCTCCACAGCGCGTAGAGTGCCGTGGGAGCGCAATACAAGAGTGGCACGTGCGAGGTTGTAGTCGCAGCTTCAGGCCGGACCCGAGGGTCCGGTGCATTTTGCTAGTCGCCCGCTGGCGCGGCCCCGCGTCGGCGTTCTGGCGCGCGGAGCGACGGCGGCCAGCCGCTCATCCAGCGCGCGGCGCCGCCTGCCTCGTCTCCTCTTGCCTCTGCCCTCGCCCGCTCTCTCCTCTTCTCGCCTCTATCGACCATGGCCCTCTCTCTCCTCACTCCGCCGCGCGCGCTGCGCTACGTCTCCGCCTCGCTCGCCGCCGCGCTCGACCGCGCCCTCTTCTCGCCCACCCACGCCTTCCCGCCCGCCGTGCTCATCGAGCTCAGCGGCCTCGCCATCGCGCAGATTGTGGCGCGCGAGTATCCGCGCCACACCTACCCCTGCGTGCTCGTCGCCGCGGGGCCGGGCAACCAGGGCGCCGACGGCCTGGCCGCGGCGCGCCATCTGCGCACGTGGGGCTGGAAGATCGCCGTGTGGGGGCCGCGCCTCAAGGGCGACAGCGAGGTGCGTCAGAGGCGATGCGCAGGAGAGGCGATGCGCAAGAGAGGAGATGCGCAAGAGAAGAGATGCGCAAGAGAGGCGTGGCGCAAGAGAGGCGATGTGGCTCGAGCGACTCGGTCTGCGCATGGACTGTGCAGCGTGGCGCGCCTGCGCAAGAATAGGGACGGCGCCAGCGGCAGGGGTTTGCAATGCTCGCTTGAGCCTGAGAAGGAATGAAGCGATGAGCGGACAGCGAATGGGTCGGCCACACAGCCTGACTCGAGGCGAGGCTGTGCCGGCGCGCGCTTCAGCCAGCTTCCCGTCTACTCTCCCGCGCCCATGCAGGCGCCAAGCTCATTCGTTTCCTGCTGCAGCAACTAGCCACGCAGCTCTCTCACTTCGACGTGCACTTCCTCGACTCGGACGCGCAAGCGTTTGAGGACTATCTCGAGCACGCCGACGTCGTGCTCGACACGCTCTTTGGCTTCTCCTTCCAGGGTCCCGCGCGCGAGCCGTATGCCGAGATTCTGCGGCTGCTGAGCTCCGAGGTGAGTGAAATTGAGAGCGCTTGGACAGCGCCAGCGACTGATGGCAAAGTGCGGCAGTCGCGCATCGAGTTCGCGTTCCGTCGTCCGCGCCCGCCCATCGTCTCCGTCGACATTCCCTCTGGCTGGCCCGTCGACGCCTCCTCCTCTTCTGCCTCCGCCTCCTCCTCTTCCTCCTCCTCGGCAGCAGCAAGCAGCGATGGCCTGGCGCCGCCCGGCTGCTTCACGCCGCAGGTGCTCATCTCGCTCTCGGCGCCCAAGACTGGCGTGCGCGCGCTCGTCTCGCAGCCCAGCGCCGCGCTGGCGCCGCCGCAGCAGCCGGCGCAGCAGCCGCGCGCCCAGCACGCGCACGCACAGCAGCCGCTCAAGCACTACCTCGCCGGCCGCTTCATCCCGCCGGCCCTCGAGGCGGAGCTGGGCCTGGCGCTGCCGCTGTACGAGGGCACGCAGGGCTGGCTGGACGTGACTGGTTGGCCGGAGATGAGCGAGGAGGAGGCAAAGGCACTGCATGCGGAGGCCAAGAAGCGGCAGGAGGAACTGGAGGAACAAGGCGTGAGGGACGCCGAGATGGCCGAGATGCAGGCGGAGCAGGAGGACGAGGAGGCGCAAGGCGCTGACGAGGAGGAGGATGCAAAGACGGTCAAGGCCGATGCTTAAGCGAGCACGCCGTCTGTCTCTTCGGCGGGCCGCAGCGTATCGCCGGCGGCCCCTTCTCATACACGTCTGGCCTTGCCGGTTACACCTGTCCCTCGCCGCTGCCCTTCCGCGAATCCGCCAGCCCGCCGCTCTCTCCACTTGCCCGTTGCGCTCCGCACTTGGTCTCAAGTCCCAATCGCCCTCGCCATCTCTACGTCCCTGCCCCCCTCGAGCCCGCTCAACTGCCGCACCAGTCGTCGGGTCCGATGCTTTTTCCGTGCCCTGGCCATCATCGCTCTCATGCTCACACATCACACCCCGCCCGGGGCTTGCCCAACCTCGCTGTGTCTCACGCTTCCACCCACACACACACACACACACACGCACACGCACTACTCTGCACCTCTGCCTCTCTCCACATACACACCGCTCTCGCTCCGCGTAGGGGTTGGTGTGGCATGCCAATTCGCAATCTCATTGACCTTCAGTCCATCCCTGTGCGCGCGGCGTCAGCCACTGCATGCAGTCCATCCTTGCGCCCCTCTGCTCTCGCCAAACTCACAGTGCAAGAACAGCAGGCCGCAGCCCGAGCCGACGAGGAAGATGGCGAGCCACTTGGTCGCGGCGCGATGGCTGCGGCGCGCCTTCTCGAGCTGCACGTTGCCCATCTCGACGCCCTGGCGATGCAGCATCGCCTCCTCGCCCAGCGCCCGCGTCGTGTCCATCTGCGCGCCCAGATGCTGCAGCAGCGTCGTCTGCAGCTCGCCGATCTCGGCCAGGCGGCGCTCGGCCGCCTGCACGGCATGCAGGTCCGCCTCGAGCACGCGCACCAGCGCCGAGGCCTCGGCGTCGAACAGCTGTGCCTGCTCGGCCGACGGCGCCGCGAGCCCGAGGGCGCCAGCCGGCGCCGCGACGGCGTCCATCTCCACGCCCATGCCCGCGGCGCTGCTCGCCGAGCGTGTCAGGCGCGCAGAGGCGCCCGCAGCGAGGCGCGCCGCGGCCTTTGCGGCGGCGAGATGGCGCTCCTGCAGCGCACGCAGCGCGGCGGAGAGCGCCTGCAGCTGCGTGCGCAGCGAGGCGCAGATGGCGGCGCGATGCGCGGCCAGCTGCGCGGAGAAGAGCGGGTGCGCGCGCGTGCCGAACGTGCTTGACGGACGCAGGCGCGAGAGGAGCGAGGAGGAGGAGGTGGTGCGCTGTCGCACTGAGCGCCCCCCGCCAACATCAGCACGCTTCTCGCAGATGAGTGAGAGAGAATCGCCAAGAAACACTCACCAGCCTCGCCCTCCTCCAGGCCCTCGACGCGCTGCACCGCCTTGCGCAGCGCATCCGAGACGGCCCAGTCGATCTGCGCGCGCTCGGCATCCACCAGCGCCGGCGCCTCGCGTGCCCACGCCGCGAGCGCCGCCGCGGGTGCGCCGGGCAGCGGGAGCGTGCGCGATGCTGCCGCACTGCTGCTGCCGTTGCGAGAGGAGCGCGTGGAGAGGTAAGGGCGCCGCACGGCGGCGAGAAAGAGGTGCAGGGCATGGAGGTGCGCCGCCTGCCGCATGCGCCCGTGTCAGCATTTGATGCCAGCTACATGCTGGTCAAGTCAAAAGGCGGTAGCCCTACGCCAGCAGGCCCTTCTGATAGATGGAGGCAAGAAGCTGCCTCAGCCTGACGTGCAAGTCACAGCTTGCAGATGATGCCAAGCGCCTTTGCTCCTGCCCACTGCTTGCTGATGCCTGCGCCCGCTTTCCTCTCGCTGTTGCTCTTGGCGGCCGGGCGACTCACTATCCGCTGTGCCTCGTCGATCCACGCGCGCTCGGCATGCCGGATGCGCGCTTCAGGGCGCGCTGCTTCGTCGTGCCGCTCCTTGCCTGCTGCACTGCTGCTGCTGCCGGGCGCCGGCGGCAGGTAGCCCACGGGCCCACGCGCGGCGCTGCGGGCGGCGAGGAAGCGCGCGGCGGCGGCGAGCGCTTCGGCTGAGGCGGATGAAGTGCTGCCATCGTTGCTGCTGCTGGCGCTGCCGCTGCTGCTGCGCGCCGGACAGCGCTCGCGGAAGAGCGGCGTGAGTTCGGCGGCGACGAGACGCGGCATCGCGCGCGGCTGCTGCAGTGCGAGGCGAGAGCGAGATGGATGCGACAGGGAAGAGGATGGGTGATGGAGGTGGGACGCGAAGCTTCGCGCGCCAGCGACAAGACACCGACACGCGCGCGCGCGCATGGCCCATGCGCGCTTCCCTCGCGACCTCCACCACCCTGACCACCCGCACTTCCACCTCCTCCCAACAAGAACGCTGCACGCCGCCGCAGCCGCGCGCGCCGCGAGCCCGCCATGGGCCTGCTGACCATCATCCGCAAGAACAAGTGTGCGCCTCGCCGCTCCTCCCTCACCCTTGCCCCACCACTAACACTCTCTCCAGTCAAGGACCGCGAGCTGCGCCTCCTCTTCCTCGGCCTCGACAACAGCGGCAAGAGCAGCATCGTGCGCCGCATCCTCGGCGAGGACATTGCCGGCGTCAGCCCCACACTGGGCTTTGACATTAGGACGGTGGTGCACCGCGGGTAAGTGGGGGGAAGTGGCAGAGAGAGGCACAGCGAGAAGCGGAGCAGAGGGCCTGCTGTGAGAGGCAATGCAGGGAGAATGGCCGACCACTGTCTCGAGGCGTGCGAGGGAGATGCAGGAGTATGGCCTGCCATTGCGCCAAGGCGTGCGAGGGAGAGGCAGTCGCATGGCCTGCCGCTGCTTCGAGGAGAGGCAAGAGGCATGGCGTCTGCACTTGCCTCGAGCAAGGGGAATGCAGACGCAGAGTGCCTGCACTTGCCTCTTACTGCCTCGCCGAGAGAAGTGGGGCCGAGAGGCATGGGGCAAGGGGAATGGCCAGGAGAGACAGAAGCAGAGTGTCTGCAAGTGACTCGCGCTGCGTTGCCTCTCCGGCCAGTGTCCTCTCCTCTCTCTCTCCTCTTTCCTCTCTCCTCTATCCTCTCCCCTCTCTTCCTCCTCCCTCCTCTCCGAGAGGAGTGGTGGCCGGGAAGAAGGAGAATGCAGAAGCACAGTGCCTGCAGTTCCCTTTCGCTGCTTCGCGCTGCGGCCAACTATCCTCTGCTCTCTCCTCTCTTCCTCCTCGCTGACCCTCCTGCTCCAGCTACACGCTCAACATCTGGGACGTCGGCGGGCAGAAGTCGCTGCGCCCCTACTGGCGCAACTACTTTGAGCGCACCGACGCCCTCGTCTGGGTCGTCGACAGCGGCGACCGCGCGCGGCTCGACGATGCGCGCGAGGAGCTGTGGGGCGTGCTGGGCGAGGAGGTGAGTCGAGCAAGAGCAGCAGGGGGCGAGAGGAGCTGGGCAAGGTGCTGCACTGAGGCGTGGAGAAGAGAAGGGAGACGAGAGGCGGGAGGAGAGGCAAGTGCGGAAGCGCAGCCGCGAGGCGGCCGTGGCCTTTTTCCTTTCGGAGGCACGGCGAGCAGGGCGCTGGAGCACGCCAGCGTCAGCGCGGCAGGGCAGGGCCTGCTGTGCCCTCTCTCCTTCGCAGTCGCTGCACAGGCGCACTGCCCCGCTTGGCGCTGGACAGTGTGGCGGAGGAGCAGGAGCGGGCAGGCCGGCTCGCTCCCGCCGCAAAAGCACATGGTCGCCAGGGCGCCATGATGGGCGAGACTCGGCGGGGCGTGCGCACAGCGCCCTCCTTCGCTGCGGCGCGCCGCAGAGAGGGCCAGAGGCTGCGCATCAGTCCATGCCGCAGCCAAGCGCCGGACGCGGTCTAGCGATGCCTTCTGCCAGCGCTGCCGTGCGCTCTCTCACGCCGAGCGGCTGCTGCTCTGTGGCGCCGCCCATCTTGCCGTGTCAGGTCGCTGATCGCACCCTCCTCTCAGCGGCTAGCCGGCGCCTCCATCCTCATCTTCGCCAACAAGCAGGACATCGTCGGCGCGCTGTCGGCCGAGGAGATCCGCCGCGCGCTGGCCCTCGACGCCATCTCGAGCCACGCGTGGCGCATCCAGCCGTGCTCGGCGGCCACGGGCGCGCAGCTGGGCGCGGGCGTCGACTGGGCAGTGGAGGATGTGGGGCGGCGCATGTACTTTGGCGGCGGCGGCGGCGTGGCGCCGCCCGAGGCGAGCAAGGAGGCAGAGAGGAGAGGCGAGACAGGCACGGCGTAATGCGAGGATGTGCCATTGCAAAGTGAGTGTGGGTGGTATAGGAGACGAACATGGGCAGGGCAAGCGGGTAGCAAGGGAGAGGCGCAGTTCACAGCAGCAGCGCACCTCCGACGAGCGCAAGCAGTGCGCCCGAGAGCGGGGCGAGCGCCAGCGTCGCCGCGGCGCCGGTCTGCGACGAGGCGCGCTGTGTCGCCGAAATCACCGAGGCACTCGTCGTGCTGCTGGACGTGACGATCTGCACGGCGACGGTGGTGCGTGTCGTGCCGGAGGTGACGGTGCTTGTCGCCGTGCTGCTGCTGGACGACGACGAGGTGGAGGTGGGCGTGGCGCTCGACGAGGAGCTGCTGCTGCTGCTCGAGGAGCTCGTCGACGCCGCGGCCGCGGCCTGGTTGGCCGGCACAGTGCTGCCGCCGGTGATGGTCGCCTGGAACTTGCAGTTGCTGCTGCTCGGCGCCGGGTGCGGGCTCGGCACCGCGACGCCGTAGCTCGTGTCCGTCTGCTGGAACGTCGCGAGGCCCGGGTAGCCGTACATGATGTCCTGCGCGTCGTCGCCGTCGCACGACTCGAACTGCCCCGCGGCGTAGTTGCCCGGCATGTTGAAGCCGCAGCCCAGCACGTCGTACGTGTGCCGGCAGAGCGACGTGGCGCGATCGCCCGGGAAGCAGGCACGGATGCAGAAGTCGGTGGCGCTTTGGAACTGCATCCATTCGGGCATCTGGACGTTGTTCTGCGCGGGTGGTGGCATCGTCAGCGCGGCTCGCCTGAGCTGCTCGCCTGCTGCGACTCACCGAGTACACGACGCCGCCCACGGGGTTGCCCTCGCCCGTGGCGCCGTGCGGGTCGAGCTCGCCGCCCTCGTCGCCGGCCGTGATGCCGATCTTTGTGAAGTCTAAGCCGAACTGTCAGCCCTTGCTCTGCCCACTGACACTGCCGCCACTCACCGCCCGTGCCCGTCACCTGCACATAGTGCGGCGTGCGCACCCAGTGCGCGCCCTGGATGGTGCCCTCGGGAAAGACGCGTGTGCCGTAGCCGCTCTTGGTGCAGTACGCCACCTCCTCGGCCTCGTGCTCCGCCACGCCGCCGCCGTTGGGCGGCGCGTAGAGGCAGAAGTCGTCGACTGCGCGCAGCGGGCGTGGGGTTAGCGGCGAGGCACGCAAGGGGGCGGCAGAGGCGGGCGCGGGCATGGTGGGGCACGCCGCGGCCGTCTCCCTCGCTCCCCAAGACACACTGCAGCAGCTCACGGTTGTTGATGTTGATGACACGCGACATGCTGTCCTGCTGCGCGGCGGCCGTGGCGGCGAGGGCGCCGAGGAGGAGGAGCGAGCGGGCGGCGTGCATTGCGGATAGGCTTGGCGTGGCTGAAGGTGTGAGGCTGGTGTCGCAGCGTCGAGCTGGGCAGAGCGGCCGGCCTTATATGAGCTGTGACCTGCTCGCCGGCCTCGGAGGCCAAGCAAGGCAGAGCGCAGACGCTGCGCCGCTGCCGCTGCCGCACATCAACACCAGATCTGGCGGCGGCCAGCGCGGCAGGTCACACACGAACGGCGCACCACGCGGCCGCGCCGACGCAGGCACCGAGGCACAGCAGCAAACACGCTCGGCTGACACGCAACTCCGGCGGTCCGGGGCCGGCGTGCATGGCGCAAATGACGCAGGGCATGGGCGCACTAGCCTCGACAGGCGAGGGCGATGCAGGTACGCTCAGCCGCTGAGATCTGAGCCGCCGAGCCGCCGCATGGCCCGCCGGCGGGCGGCTGACGCTGCCGCGGCAGAGCAGGCGACAAGCGTGCCGAGCCGAGCCGCCGGTTTGGAGCGCTCTGCTCCTCTCGCTCGGCAGCGGCGCTCCACGCGTCCGAGACGTCGGGCGTCGCATCTCCGACGTCGCGGCGCGTGCATCTCGGCGCTGCCGCCGACGCCGCGCGGACACAGAGCGGCAGCAGCTCCGAGGCATCCCGCGGGCATTCACTAGACTGTCAGATCTGCGTCTGTGCTCGCTCCACCTGCGCGCCCGCTGCCCGCTGAGATCTCGCACAGCCTCGCACACCAGCCAAGCGTCGAGTGACAGCTATGGCGGCTTCGACTTGGGTGCCACGACATGCTCGCACCTCTGCCGCGCCCAGCCACGGCACACCGAGACGCGCAGATGGGCCATCTCGCCTCTCTCTCTCTCTCGCCTCGCCACCTCGCGCGCGAGGGCCTAGACGTGCGTGCCTCCCAGATGCTCTTCATTCAGCGCTCGGCGCCAGGCGCAAGAGCGCAAGGCACTGCAGTGACATGGGCCTGCCTGCTTTGTCTCCCACCTCTTGCCCATTCTTCATTCGGCAGAGCACATTCTCTTGAGCTGCACGTCGAGCGCATCGTCATTTTCTCCACATCTCGGCCAGGCTGCGCTGGCCCTTTGCCCGCGCCTCCTTCTTCGCCGCGCCGCTCTTGCCCAGATGCCGCGCGTTGTCCTCGAGCAGCAGCACCAGCCCACCCTCAGGGGCGCGCACGACGACAAAGACGCCCGTGTTCTGCGCGAAGCGCACGTGCTGGGCGGGCAGGAAGAGCTTGAAGAAGAGCGAGAGGAAGAGGCCGTGCGTGACTGCGACGAGATGTGGCGCTGGCGAAGGCGGAGACGGAGAGAGGGGCGCGGCAAGCGTGTGGCTGGAGGATGCGTCGGTCGAGGATCGCGACTTGTCGGGCGAGACAGGGACTGCAGACGCAGCAGGAGTAGCGGCAGCGGCGGCGTCGCCTGCTCGCAAAGAGCGCGCAGGCTCCGCGACGGCGGAGAAGGAGGGCGCATAGCTGCCGATGGGCGCCAGTGCTCGCGCCCGCGGAGCACTCGGCGCAGAGGTCGACGAGGCAGCAGCAGAGGGCACTGTGGCCTGCGCTGCGTCAGGAACAGCGGGCGGGGCCGCTGCCTCGGCTGTCTGCTGCAAGTCCTCAGTCAGGCGTCGCCGCTTGACTGCGGGCGCCGCGGGCTCTGCCGAGGGCGCGGACTGCAGCGCGGCCTCTGCCTCGCGCGCAGCTTCCACGGCGTCGACGTCCTCGTCGTCCTCGTCGGCGTCGCGAACCCGAGTGCGGCTGGCGAGCGGAGCTACCGAGCTCGAGCCGCTGCCGCCGGCGAATGGGACGTCTGTGAGAAAGCAGCGGGGTGAGCGTCAGCGATCGCTCACGGCTTGAGGACGTCTGAGCCAGCCGCACTGCAGCGTCAGAGCAGGCCACGAAGCCACGCCAGCCAGCGAGTGCAGCCTGGCATCCATGAAGCAACGGCCAAGGCGCTGTTTCATCCGAGCATCCTGCCCCCCACATCGAAGCGGCCGCACAGCGCAGCACTGGCATAACGAGACATCGGTAGTCACTCACCAAGCAGGCCAGCACGCCTTAGCAGCTCGCAGCCCTCGTCGCGCACGCGCCTGCGCCACGCCTCCTCGCTCTCGCCGCGCCCCGTGCCCTTCTCGAAGCCGCGCTGGTGCACGCCGCGGCGCGTGCCTTCGCGCGCGCCAAAGTCACGCTCTTGCAAGCCCGTGCGCGGCTCGGGAGTGAGCTTGAGAGAGGCAGCCAATGGCGCGGCTGTTGCGCGGGTGCGGCCCAAGGGCGAGACGAAGAGTGCCGTTGGCTGCTGTTGCGTGAAATGTGGATTGGCAGGCAGCGCCTCGGCCTGCCGCCGCCCGAGCGCCGTCAGCGGCGAGTCGGAGCTGCCCTGCAGCAGATGCGCCGCATTCGCCTCCGTCTGTGCATGCCGAATGAGCGTCAACATCGCGCCGCGTGCCCTCTACACGCCTGGAGCTCCCTGCCCCTCGCGCCTTGTGCCCGCTACACGCCTGGAGCTCCCTCGCGCTCCCTCTACACGCGCGCCGCGGGCCCCGTGTACAGCTCGCGCGGCGGCGCCTCGCCGCGCGCGAAGCGGCCGAGGAGCGCGTAGAGCGAGCGTCCCTCGGGACGCAGGTGGGCGTTCTTGGCGTCCGTCTCCCAGAGGCGATAGGCGAAGAGGCCGGTGAGGAGGCCGAGGAGCGGGTCGGCGGCGCTGCATCGCAGGGTGAGCAGGGGCAGCGCGGGGCAGAGGCGAGGCACACGCACCGCGAGACGAGGTAGGCGGGCATGTGTGGTGGCGGTGGTGGTGGTGAGGAGGATCGAAGCGTCGCCGCGTGCGAGTGTGGCGTGGTCGTGGTGGTGGTGGTGAGGAGAGAAGCGCCGCCTGCTCGCTTGCCGTGCGGCTGCGCGCGTTGCGCTGCGCCTCCTCGCTGTTCCCACGCCGCGCCACGCCCGCTTGGTGCTGCGCCTCTCCACTGCTGCGCTTCACTGTCGTGCTTTCCTCCGCTCCACCACCACACCCATGTCGCTGCCCTACGCCCTCGACGCCTCGACGCCCCTCGCGCCCCAGGAGCTCGCCGTGCTGCGCGGCCAGTACGAGCGCGAGCTCGGCGCCGGCCACGCCAGCACGCAGACCAAGTTCAACTACGCATGGGGCCTCGTCAAGAGCCGCGAGCGCGCAGACGTCGCACAGGCCGTCGGCGTGCTGGCGGGTGAGTGCAAGCGGGGCATGGGCGGCGCACGGAGAGACGGGGCGGCAGAAGGAGAGAAGGGCGGCGCGAGGGGAGAAGGGCGGCAGAAGGAGAGAAGGGCGGCACAAGGAGAGAAGGAGCAGCGAGCGGCACAAGGAGAGAAGGGCGGCGCAAGGAGAGAAGGAGCAGCGGAGCGGAGGCATGTGCGTCGCCGCGAGGCATGTGCGTCGCCGCGAGGAGACAGTGCGCGCGCGCGAGGAGATCACAGATGCGCAGCACAGGGGCAAGAGAGGCGCCGAAGCGGAGGCGCACGTCCGGCGAGGCGGCGCAGCGTGTGGGTCGCCGTGGGGAGGCAGCGCACTCGAGAGAGAGGAGATCTCAGAGGCGCAGCACAGCGACAAGCGGCGCGCACGCGAGACGCACGCCCGTGCTCGCGGCGGCGACACGCAGCGGGCACGCCAGACGCACGCCCTTGCTCGCGGCGACCAGCGCGAGGCAGAGAGCTGGCAGAGAGAGGCAGAGATTGGGCAGGGAGAGGCAGAGAGCGGGCAGAGAGAGGCAGAGAGCGGGCAGAGAGCGGGCAGAGAGCGGGCAGAGAGAGGGCAGAGAGAGGTAGAGAGCGGGCAGAGCGAGGCGCCGAGGCCAAGCCATCTCCCGCATCTCACCTCGCTGACGCACCCTGTCACCAGACATCTACCGCACCGACGCGCCGCGCCGTCGCGAGTGTCTCTACTACCTTGCGCTGGGCCACTTTAAGCTGGGCAACTTTGACGAGGCGCGGCGATTCAACGGTGCGTGTGGTCTCCCCTTGCCGAGGACGCCGCACGCAGGGCCACGAGGGACGATGGCAAGGAGGCGCAACAGAGGGCGCAGCGTCTGCACAAAGACAGTGGCTGCGCTCACGCTTTGGAAGGTCGAGATGGGCGCAGCCGCAAGGCGTCTCGGTGAGGGGAGCTGGCTGCTCCCTGAGCACAGAGCGTGCCGTCGGTGCCCGCGAGCCGGCTCGGGCGCGCGGTAGCCGCGAGCGAGAGAGCGACCGCGCGCGCTCGCAGCTCTTGCGCCCAGAGCGGGGGCCCTCGAGAGCCGGGCCGAAGTCTCGTCGACGCTGCTCGATGGGCCCGCGGGTGCAGGTCTGGAGCATGGACGCACGGGCCTGCCGCAGTTCTCGGCGCAGTGCCGCAGAGAGGGAGAGAGCGAGGTGGCACGACGCAGAATGGTCGCCCGCTGACGACCCTTTCCCCGCCCTTGTGGCGCAAATAGCACTGCTGCTCGAGCGCGAGCCGAACAACCTGCAGGCGCAGTCCTTGGCGCAGCTCATCGAGAAGGGCGTGCAGCGCGGTGCGTTCTCCTCTTCCCCCTTCTTCCTCTCTCTGAGCGTCGAGCTGACACTGCGTGGGGTGCCGGCAGAGGGCTACATCGGCATGGCGCTCGTCGGCACGGCCGCGGCGGCCAGTGCCGTGGTGGCCGCGTGGCTGTTCAGCCCGAAGCGGCGGTAGTCTCGCCCGGGTAGCGTGGCCAGCGCGAGAGGTCAGAGGCGAGCCAGTGATCGTGGCGATGTATATATGTTCTCGGACGGCCCGTCTGTGCGAGCCGTCGCTGTCTCGCTCACTGGCGTCCGAGACTGAGCACCGCAGATGCAGCATGGAGGCCGAGCAGACACGCGTGGGAGCGCGTGCGTGGCTGCGCAGAGGCACAGTCGACCGTAGCAGAGACTCGAGCTGCGTCGGCTCGGCGCTGCTCCGAGCTCCTGCGGATGCATGCGCCGTGCGTCGCGGTGCTGGCGCTGGGGCTCTGGCGGAGTGGCTTGCGGCGCACGAGGCACACGCGGCGGGCGCAGGGCCAAAGCCGAGCATTTCCGCGCCGCGCCGGCGCCGGCGCCGGCAAAGTCGCCGACGAGGGCGCGGCGAAAGCGGCGCGGCTTTGGCGTGTGGGAACGCCCGGCAGCGTCGGACCGCCGCCCGTCGGCGGCGCGGCGCGGCGCGGACGCTGGGCGACGCTGGGGCTTGTGCAGATGGGGCCAGCCACAACACGCCCGATGACTCGACCAGGCTCGAGGAACGAGCAGCTGAGAAAGGCGAGACGGGCAATGGGCGCAGCGCCAGTGGCAGGGTGCGGCACCACGCCCGATCGGCGTCGGCGCTCGCGGCCGCCGGCAGGGCGGCGGAGCTTCGGCCGCTGCAGCAGCACAGCAGCAGCGTGCAGCACCAGACCTGCGTCGCTGCTCACGCGACCGCGGCCCCAACGCGGCGTCCATGCGGGCGCCTCGGGCGGGCTAAAAGCAGCGGCAGGGTGGAGCAGGGAGCGCAGATGCAGCAACGCACGAGAGATACAGATAGCACAGCTTGCTTTCCCACCGCATCAAGCAGCAGCCGCACACGCAGCAAGCAAGCAAGCAAGCAAGCAAGCAAGCAAGCAAGCAAGCAAGCAAGCAAGCAAGCACCTCAAGCACCAGTCGCCCTCGAGCACCCTGAAGGAAGGCACAAGGCACCGCACCTAGGCACGCCCTCAAGCGACCCTCGGTGGCCATGCCCGCGTCTGCCACACCCGTGCCGATGCCGCAGCCCGTGCGAGAGTCCGCGAGCGCGCACTCGCACGATGATGCGGCAGCGACCGCCGACGACGGCGGCGAGGCCGGGCATGCCTTCAACGAGCAGGTGTGTCTCGTCGTCGAGCCATCCTCGCTGCTCCTCACGCTGACGCCTGTCGCGCCTCGCGCAGACCAACTACGTGCCTCGGCGCCAGATCATCCAGGTGCGTGCCTCTTCGTCTCGTCCCTCCGTCTTCACTGCTGATCTCCACGTGCAGATCTTCCTCACCCTCTCCGCCGCCACCGCCTGCGCGCTCATCGACCAGAGCACGCTCGCCGTCGCCATCCCCACCATCTCCTCGGCGCTCGGCAGCGGCACGCAGAGCGCGTGGATCAGCAGCGCCTACTTTCTCACGAGCACGAGCTTCCAGCTGCTCTACGGCCGCATCTCCGACATTGGTGCGTCGTGCTTCGGGCGCGGCAATGCGCTGCAGAGCTGACATTGCGGCGCACAGTCGGGCGCAAGCACTGCCTGCTGGCCTGCATCGTCATCTTCTTCGTCGGCTCTCTCGCCAGCTCGCTAGCGCAGACCACACTGCAGCTCGCCATCTTCCGTGCCATGTGAAGTGCTCAGGCATGGCATGTCAGCGCCGAAACTCACGCGCCTCTCTTCCTGCAGCACCGGCATCGGCGGCGGCGGCTTCATCACGCTTGGGCAAGTCGTCATCTCCGACGTCGTCTCGCTGCGGCAGCGCGGCACATACCAGGGCATCCTCGGCGCCATGGTGGCGCTGTGCAACGGCATCGGCCCCGTCATCGGCGGCGCGCTGGCCAGCCAGGCATCTTGGCGCGACATCTTCCGCCTCATGCTGCCACTCTCGGCATGCGCCTTCGTGTGTGTCTACCTCTTCCTGCCGCTCAAGAAGGTGCATGGCAGCGCGATGGAGAAGATCAAGGCCATCGACTGGGTCGGCGCCGTGCTCACACTCTGCTCGAGCGTGCTCATCGTGGTGCGTCTTCTCCGCTCTCCGCCCTGCTGTTCCTCCACTAACGCCGCCGCCGCGCAGCTGGGCCTCACGTGGGGCGGCGGCGAGCATGCCTGGGACTCAGCATACGTCCTCGTGCCGCTGCTGCTTGGCGTGGCAATCGGCGTGCTCTTCTGCCTGTGGGAGTGGAAAGGCACCCCACTGCCGCTGATGCCGCTGCGCCTCTTCCACAAGCGCATCGTCGTCGGAGGCCTCATCACGCAGGTGTGTCGCTCTCGACAGTATGGCACAGTGGCAGCAGCTGACATGACCGAGCAGTTCATCAATGGCTGGGTGTTCCTCGTGCAGGTGCGCAGCGGAGCAGCACCGTACTGGCTTTCGGCGACTCACACCCATCCTCCGCCCAGATCTTCTACATCACGCAGTTCTACCAGCTCGTCTTTGGCCACAGCGCCATCGTGAGCGGCGCGCTCCTTATCCCCGTCACAGTGATGCAGAGTGCGTCGCCCCTGGCCCTGCATCCGGCCTCCGCACTGACCCTCTTCTCCTCTCAGCCGTCGCTTCCACGGCCTCCGGCGCCGTGCTGAGCTGGACGGGCATGTATCGCTGGAGCCTGCTCTTTGGCTGGACGACATGGACCGTCGCCATGGGCCTCTTCTCGACGCTCAAGGAGGGCGACGGGCTCGGCAAGCAGGTCGGCTACGGCATCCTCGCCGGCGTCGGCGTCGGCAATACGCTCAGCGTGTGAGTACGCGCCCAGGCCGTGAACTCTGGGCCACTCGCTGATGCGCGCTCCTCGCTAGCTCGCTTGTGGCGATGCAGGGCGCCGTCGAGCGCAAGGACCAGGCCGTGGCGACTGCAGCGCGCTCCTTCTTCCGCTACCTCGGCGGCAGTCTGGGCCTGGCCGTCGCGGCCACCATCATGTAAGTGCCGTTTTCGCCCCTCACCCTCCTACCTTTGCTCACGGCTACTTCTGCCAGCAACAACTCGGCGAACCAGTCGCTGCGTCCGCTTGGCTGGTCCAGCGAGCGCATCAAGCTAACGCTCAACGACCCGAGCGTCCTTCTGCTCTCCACTTCGCCAGCAGACGCCGCCGACCTGCGGGACTTGCGCGAGGCCTACCGCACCGGCTTCCAGCGCAACTTCTGGCTGCTGGCGGCGCTGACGGCGTGCGCGTTCGGCGTCACGTTCGTGCTGATGCCGCAGCGCAGCGTGGACCGCAAGGACGACCAGGAGCTGCGCGACAAGGCCAAGCTCGAGCTCGAGGAGAAGAAGGAGCGCAAGCGGGCCAAGCGTGCTGGAGGCGCCGAGACGCCGGCGCACCACACGGCGAGCACGAGTGATGAGCCCGCCTCGCTCCATGAGCTACATCAGCATGATCGCAGCAGCAGCGCCGACTCGGACCAACACCACGCCGAGCTGGAGAAGGCCCTGCATGCGGCCGAGGCCAGTGCGGCGCTGGCGCCCGAGGTGGGCCTCCCGCCACCAGAGCTAGACGAGAAAGGCAGCGAGGACCGGAAGAGCACAAATGTGCCATAGACTCAACATGCTCCGCAAATGACACACGCATTTATCCTGGAGTCGTCTGATTGGAATGCTGAAGCGACCAGATGATGAGTAGAGAAGCAGGGAGAAGGACAGCAGAGGCAGGGCATCGGAGGCCGCTCTAGGCATCGGCCTCCGAGAGCGGACTGGAGGGATCGTCGTGCGGCGAGACGGGCCCGTCGCGGCTCGCCGGCTTGCCGCCCAGCACGAGCTTGGGCGGCGGGCGCGAGGCTGACATGGCGCCCGGCGCGCCGCCAACGGCGTCGGCACCGCCGGAGAACATGGCGCGCATCGTCTGCTGGTCGCGGCGCGAGCGCACGCGCTCCGCCTCGAGGTGGCCGCCCGTCTTGCGCAGCGCCTTGCCCTCGACGAAGCCCGAGAGCTCGTCGGTGAACTCGTCAGTGCGGCTGGCGATCTCCTTGGCGCGCAGCCGCTCGGCGGCATGCAGCGCCTTGAGACGCTTCTCGTGGTCGACCGACTGGCCGCGCACCTCGAGCATCACCGTCGTCAGGCCCTCGTGCCCCTCCTCGGGCGGCGGCGGCAGGAAGCCCTTGCCGTTGGCGCCCGACGGCCGCCCAACGCCGCGCAGCTTGACGACCTGCTGAATGTTCTCGTACACGTCCTGCAGCGCGCCGTGGTCGTCGCGCAGGTCGGCAATGAGGCCCTCCTGGTGGTTGAGGAACTCCTGCTCGTCGACGATGTTCTGCAGCTCCGCCTCCCACGTCTTCTTCCAGCTCGGCTTGACGGTCTCGACGTACTTTTCCAGCTCCTCGAGGCCACGCGTCGCGCGCGCAATGTCGTCGCCCACCTTGCGCATCAGCGCCGGCTTGGGCTTGACGCCGCGATTGATCACGTCGAGCTTGAGGTCGTCGACGGTGTCTTGCAGGTCCTCGACGAGCGTGAGCACCTCCTGCGAATTGCCGTCGAGGCGCGCCTTGCCGGCGATGATGAAGTTGCGCTCCGCCGGCACCTCGGCCGACGCAATGGCTCGCACGCGCGCCGACTGCTCGCGCAGCTTGGCCAGCAGGCCGCCAACGTCGGCGCCGAACTCCGTCTGGATCTGCCGCAGCACGGCGAGCTCGCGCCGCAGCGCCTGGACCTCATCGTACTGGTGCTTCAGCTCGCCAGCAATGCGTGCACCGCTCGTGGCGCCCGAGCTGTGCGACGCCGTGCTCATCGTCGGCGAATCGACGCCCTCGTTGGCCTCCTCGCGCAGCGTGCCGGCGCGCTTCAGCTGCTGCGCCACGCGTGCGCCAGCAGACGTGAACTGCGAGTCGGTGATGCGGCTCGACGGGCCTGCCTCGGCGGCCGCATTGACAGCGGCGAGCGCATCGCTCGCGTAGTTGACGCTCGCGCGACGGTTCGCCTCGCGATCGCGGTCGCGGTCGTGCACGGCCGTCTTCAGATCGCGCAACTCCCGCGTGATCGTGCCGAGCACGAGATCAAGGTGCTGCTTGACCTGGTCGAGCGCTGCGAAAGGAGATCTGTCAGCGCGCCGCACGGCTCTTGCTCTTCGCGGCTGCACCCACGCTCGATGTTCAGCGTCAGCACAGCGCCTTCCTGCAGCTCGTTGAGGTCTTCGAGCTCGTAGCTGACGCCGCTCGGCACGTCCTTGACGTAGATCGTGGGGAAGTCCTCCTTGCGCGGCGAGTAGCCGAAGCGATCCATGAAGAGCATGCGCAGCTTGCCCACGCTCAGGCCGCGCCCGGCAGCACCGGGCAGCAGCTCGAGCTGTGCGCGCCGCGTCTGCCGCCCAAGCTGCAGGAATAGCGACAGCATGTTGGACGCCGGCGCTGACGCACGAGCCTGCGCGGCATCCAGCTTCTTCCGCTCGGCTGCCGTCGGCAGTGGCGGCACAGGCGGCACTGCGTCCATCTGATCGTACGGACTCGGTGGTGATGGGTCTGCCGCGTCAACGTACGGCAGGCTCTCCGTGGAGCTGGCGTTTGCATTGGACGTGTCGACTGGCGGCGGAGCCAGGCTCGTCGAGCCCTGCACGCGCGGCGAGAGATGCGGACTGAGGCGCGACTTGCCATTGAGCGGCCCTGGCGTGAGCTCCTCGCTTCCGCTGGGCACCAGTCCTTCGGCATCGGCACCATCGGCGCCTCTCGGCCGCCGCGCCTCATCGCCTGACGATGCTGCGTCCGAGGGTGGGCCACCGGAGATGCCGCGCACCAGGCGCTTGCCTGCGCGCTGCGCCTCGCTGGTAGTACGGCGCTCTGCCAGCGGCGAGCTAGAGGGGCTGTGCAGCGACATGGCCGCGCCGCCCAGGCTCGACAGGCCCATGCCGAGGCCGAAGCCCTGCGGAGTGCCGACGCCCATTTTGTTGAACGTGTAGGCGCTGAAGCGCTTCGACGCTCGCCGCTCCAGCGCGTCGCGAGACTTGAGCGCGCGCAGCGATGGATCTGACTCTGCCTCGGCTGCTGCATGGGCGGCCGCCATCGCCCGGCGTCCGCGCGCCGAGCCGGGAGTGCGGGACGTGGAGGAGAGCGGTGGAGACGTGGCAGTGACGGGCGTCTGCACAGCCGACGTGCTGGCCAGCTGCGTGAGCGAAGTCGTCGGCGTGACTGTCTGCCCAGTGGCAGAGTCCGGCACTGGCCCGTCGACGAGCGAGTGCCGCACGATGTCGTTTGGCGCTCTCTTCTCCGCCGGCGCGGGAGGCGTGCCCTCTTCCTCCTCCCGGACGGACTCGTACACCGTGCTGCCGTCTGTGGATGCTTGCGGCGTCATGCCTGCATCGCGCGCGCTGCTGCTGCCGCCAGTGCCACGCCGCCGCGGCTCGTCGTGCTCTGACAGCCCTGCACCGATCGTCGGCGACGCGACCATCGAGCCAGGCCGCGACAAGGGCCGGTCGTGCACGGGCGGCGGCGCAACTGGCCGGCGGCTGATGCTGCCTGTCGTGCTCCGCCGATGCCCCGAGACCTCCTCGCTCGTGTTGCTCCGCTCGCTGCGCGATCCGCGCGAGCGGTGCCCCGAGCCGCCGCCGCCGCCCGTCCGCTGCGCCAGCAGGTACTGCTTGTACTCGGCCTGCTTGAGCTTGAGGCCCTGCAGCAGGTTGATGATGATCTCGCGGATCGGCGGCAGATGTACCTCGAGCACCTGCGGCGAGGCGTCCTCGGAGAGGCACCGCTCGAGGCAGGCGCGCAAGTCGTCGGGCACAGATGCCAGGTCGCTGAGCGGACGCGTCAGCGCTGTGCCAGCAGCAGCAGCCAGCGCCTGCAGCTCATCGCGCGCACATCCGCTGCACTCACCTCATGTCGATGCCGTAGCTGCCGAACGCATGATTCGCCGTGTTGAAGTCGTTGCCCAGCCGCACGTAGATGTCTGAGACCTGCGTCTCGGTGCGCTGGCCCGTGCTCCACTTCGTCAGCGCCTCGAGCAGCATCTTGGTCGCGACGAGCAGGCGCGTGACGGACGACTCCATGTGCGACGATGAGTACTGCGCGCGCGCCTCAGCATGGTTGAGCTCGCCAGCCAGACGCTGCCACTCACGCGAGGTCCACTGGCGCCGTCGCTGCCCTGGCTCTCGCGTCCTGCTCGATCGCCGCGCGAGCTGCCGGCAGCAGACTGGCCGCTGCCACCCTGGATCTGCTGGCGCACTGCACGCTCCCGTTCTCGCTCGCGCGCCCGCATCTCCTCGGGCAGCATCGGGCCCTCGTCGCCGTAGCCGTTGCCCTGCCTCGAGGCGGCACTGGCAGCCTGCGCCTCTCGCGCCGAGGCCACGAGGGCGGCGGCACGGCGGGCCGACGACGAAGAGGAGAGCTGTGCGCCGCCGGCACTGCCAGGTAGCGCCGGCAGCGGCGCACTCGGCACGGCGCTGAGCTGCGGGCTGTGCGGCGACGACGACTCGGACGTCGGACGGCGCTCGCGGCGCAGCACCGAGGAGATGCCGGGCAGCATGGTCGCCAAGGAGGCCGCCGCCCGTGGCTGCGGATGGGCGTGGTGTCGAGCGAGATGCCACTGGACGCTGCGCGATGTGCGATGCGCGTGGCCTCGGCGGCGGTGAGAGGATAGGGATAGGGAGCGGAAGGAGGAGCGGAGAGAGGAGCGGGACGCGCGCTCACGCAGCACCCGCCCGGCACGCCGCGCGCGCGGCGCACGGCGCAGGCCGACGGCTGCCAGCCACGCCAGGCAGACGCTCCCACGCTGTGACGTCGGCACGCTGCCCTCGCGCGCACCGGCTGCACATCCGCACACTTCCACTGCCGCAGCCCGACCTCTCAGCTGCCTATCGAAGTGTCGAAGAGGACCAGAATCGTTCCTAAATTACGTAGAGATGGATCGTCCTTCTTCTGAATCACAGACATGTCAGTGCACGGCGCAAAGCTACTGCAAGCGCGGCAGCGGCGCGTCGGTCTTTCTCCGGCTCAGCGGCTCTCGCGCGAGGACGCGCGGCGCCTGCGCTGCGACTGCAACGGTGAGCGCTACGCAGGCACTTGCACTCCTTCGGCTTGCCCTCAAAATCTTCCATAAGAGGTTATCGACTCGGCCAGCGCCAGTCCAGCATCATGTCACAGGGAAGGTCATTGTCATTCAGAAGCGAGAAAAAGCCAGGAGCTAAGGAGCTGAGAAACCTGGGTCATGGGAGCAAGAGCTCGAGTCAGAGACTCGAGGTGTTCTGCGGCGCGAGTCTGGAGAGCCGGATCGAGAGATAGGTCAAGGGCTTGGATCGAGAGAGACAGAGTCGAGATAGTCGAGAGCGTCAGATCAGGAGCGGCGAGAGGGTTACTTGTGCACAAGCGCAGCGCGAGGCCTAAAGCAAGATGTCAGCGTCGAGTCTTGCACTGGTTGTAACGACTCACTTCTGCACAGAGGTAGCAATGCCGACGAAGTGCTCGGCCAGCGAGACCTCTGAGCAATAGGATGAGCACATGGCTGAGCGCTGAGAGGCCCGACAACGCTCACCGGAGATGGCTTGCACGTGAGCGCTAGCCGGAGCGTGAAGAGCGGCGAGGTCTGCCATGCGCTGCAGGCTGCTCGAAAGTCCGTCGGGACCGAAGGAGACGGAGAAGAGCGTGACGGGAATTCCCGACACGTTTGCTGAGCGACAGAGTCCGTGCACCACGCTGTCCGTCAGGCCACATTCTCCGTCGCTGAGGAAGAGCCTGAAAAGCGCGTCAGTACGTCTCGATGAAAGGTTTTCTGAGGCCAACACACAGAACAGGAGGTCTGAGGCGTGGGAGCATGCGCGTCAGTAGAAGGCCATGAGCCTGTCGGAAAGCCTCTTTGGACGCACCTCTCCATTGACCACTGCCGAAGCATGACCTGCTCAGCGGCGGCAATTGCAGAGTTGAAGTCCGTGCCGTGCCACGGTGCGGCCATGCATTTCCTGTCCGTGCTCGTCAGCGCGTCTCGAAGCGCATAACTCACGCTAGACTCACTTTGTCAGCTCTTCAGGAGAGCTTGTCTCGTCTCCTTCGAACAGGACAGCTGGCGCGCTCGAGAACACAATTGCTGAGAACGAGTCGCGCTGCGCCGCCTGCGCATTGATGGTACCGCGAGCATCCCAGAAAGCTCTGCAGGCGGAGAGCACAGCTCCAAAGCGGTTTGGGTAGTATTGCTCGATGTACGCCGTCATGGGCGTGTCTGGCAGAGGGCGACGGTCGCCTGCTGACATCTGTTGGGCGAATCAGCGCCGGACGTAGACAGTGTGGCCTGGAGCAACGCACCGAGCTCGAACCGTCCAACGCAAGCTTGCAAGGGGTCAGCGGTCAGCAAGGCTGGCGCAGAGGCGCGTACCTCATATCTTCGAGCTCACAATGAAGTGGGAAGCCGGTCCCTGAGACGGATTGGTGCACGAGAACGAGTGTCCGTCCGCAGATACGTAGCCTCCCGAGTGCAGAAGCGCCTTCTGCGGCGCGTGGAAGAGGTCCAGATCGCAGTAGGACGGGCTTGCGTGTGCGTCGTCGGCGCATTGCGCGTCGCACTTCCGGAACTCGAGTTGCTGCTGCTTGTCGTAAGGGTCTTGGAAGCCTCGACGCCGCCAGTACAGCTCGTGCGTGATGTAATCGGTGCCCTGGCTGCCGTGCATCTTGAGCTTGAAAGGCGCATGCGAGCGGTCTGCGCTGCCTTTGCAATCAGTGGCGCTTGCAGACTGGCAGGCGTCGAAGTGTGTGTGCCGGTTGAGGCTGGTGCAGACGAGATTGCACAGCTACGTGCGCGGCATCAGTCTTCTGCACGGCGTTCTGGCTGGGAGAGACGTACCATCGAGGCGCCCGACTCGCCGCGCAGGAACTTATGACCTGCGGCCTCGATGACCGCGTCGCCTGAAGCTGCCTCCCACACCTCCTCTTCCATATTGCCGTGCTGCGTGGAGTGCTCCTGAGCGTGACCGAGCGGCTGGTTGCAGTAGTAGGCGCAGCTTGGGCACTGCGCAGATGAAGCTCAGCGAAGCCGAAGGGCTGCGACAAGCTCAACGGACCTGCACATCACAGAAGTGGAAGACACTGGCGTCGAGCGAATGCACGTGCTGGCCTTGGTGGTACAGCTCCCCGGCTGGGACGCGCTGGGCGCAGGGCAGGCGCTTCTGGACCTGCGAGTACTGCGGAGGGCGGATCAGCGCAAGCACACTTATTGCTGAGGCCAGGCGTCGCACCTTCGTGTAGGTGAAGCTGTTCAGCGCGCCGCGAAAATGGGCCTGGACGGAGGCGGGCTGCGTGGAGATCTCGCAGATGCCGGGGAGCTCGCACTGGAGCGGACAGGCGTGGTCGCTGTCGCAGAGGTGGACTGCCGATGCGTCGAGTGCGTGGAGGTGGTCTAGCGCAGCGCAGCCTGTCATTGCGTGAGCGCTGCAATGCAGACCCCTGAGGCGAGAGCCACACTCACTGCGGACACAGAGGCTGCACTTGATCGTGCACCCGCGAGCTGAGTTGCAGCTGTGGACGGTGTGGGCGGCGTCCCTTCAGGCGAGGCGTAAGTACAGTGAATTTCATCCAGGCTACCGGCTGGCTCACACGGGCAAAGCGCACGGCTCGAGGCACGCCGCAGTCTGCGCGCCGGCGCCATCGCTTGTCTTGACGCTGGAAAGCGCGCATGGGCTCGAGCATAAGTGGACAGAGCCGCATGCGTGATCGACGTTGATGGCATGATCCGGGTCCAGGCTGCATGTCAGTGTGCAGCCTCGCTGACCCTGTGCTGCGGATGCGCACGGCGCCGCACACGTGTGCTTGCCCTCGCTGCAACGGTGGCGCAGAGTGTCCGGATGACCAGCAGGAAGAGAGCACGGGGGCTTGTCGTCTTCATGGCTTTCGAAGGCGCAGCTGGCGTCGCACGCATGGTCTGTGGCGCAGTCATGCTCGCCTGTGTGGCTGCGGAGACGGCGGCAGCGGAGGTGGCAGGACTTGCAGCTTGAGCCGCAGAGCGTGAGGTCGGTCTTGAGTGCAGCAACGGCCGACTCGAAGAGGCGCTGCAGCATCACGGCATTCACCTCGTCGTGGTCGAGACGCTCGGTGTTGACCTTCAGCCACTGCTGTGTCACCTCCTGCCGCAGCTTAAGCAGCTCGAACAGGCTTGCCTGCGCCTCATCGAACGTCGACGTGGGCTTGCCGAGAGCCTGTGCCTGCGTAGTGAGGCTCGCGAGGTGGTCGGAGGTCTTGCACTCCAGCGAGAATTGAGAATGGTCCTCGTTGATGGGCTCATCAGTGTCGAGATTCATCAGCGGCTCGAGAACGGCCGGCTCGACGGTGCTTGGGACGCCTCCAAGAATCAATGCGCTCTCCAGGTGCTCGCTGAGCTGCGCGAGGCGGTTCTTGCGCACCGACGCACCGATGGGAGTCCAGTCAAAGCTCTGAATCTGCGCCATCAGCGTCTTGAGCGTGCGCAGAAAGGCGCCTCCGGGCGGGTGAGACACCTCGGCTGCGTTGAGGAGCTCTGCGAGACAGCCGAACTCAGAGTAGAACGCAGGGTCCTGCAGGCCAGGCCACGGCACGATTGCGAGCTTGCCTCCGAAGAGCCTGGAGACGAAGTTGCCGCCCTGCTCCGTGGCCACGATGCTCTGGAAGCGGCGGTAGAACTCGGCTGCTGCCTCGTCACGGTCCGACATCTGCGCAAAGAGTGTGAGCAGCGGCTCGGATGAGGTAATCGTTGACGGCGCAGCGAGCTCACCATCACATCCTTGATGACGACGGCAAGGCTTCCGCGGAACAGCTCCGGATTGGCCGTCGGGTTCAGGATGCCGGCAGAGGCTTGGAAAGCGCCGAAGAGAGTGCGAATCTCGCGCGACAGCGAGAAGGAGTTCCGATAGATCACGAGGTTGGAAATTGCGGCGTTCATTAGCACGAGCAAGGCGTCCTCTTGCACTGAGCGCTCGACAGACTGCACGCCTTCGAAGTCAAGCACGACGTAGACAGTTGCGCCGCTGCTTGGTACCACGCTCATCCAGACGCCCTCGGTTGTGCGCGTCGCTGCGCCTTCAAACAACGTATCGAGCAGGTGGTTGAGTGCGAAACTCTTGCCTGTTGACTGCTCTCCCAGACTCGAGACAACCTTGACGTCGGCGGTGCTGTAGAGGTTGCCAAGGATCGACTCGAGATGGCCAAGCGACAAGCGTGATGCGATGTGCTGCGCAGAAGCGCCAAGCAGCGACTGCTCGAACTCCGGGTCGTTGATGCCGTCGTAGAACGAGACGAAGCGATTGTCGCGCGTGATGCCGAGCTGCACCGGGATGAGGCACACTAGCGACGCAAGGAACTCGCCAGCCTTGAAGCGCGAGACATCGCCCAGCGATGACGTCAAGGGCACCAGCTCGTGCGGCTTTTGCACCGTCGCCTTGAAGTAGCTACAGAAGGATGTAAGAGACGGATCGGCGCGTGTGCACGCGCTTCACTCACCGCAGCAGCGTGTGCCAGACCTCCTGCACTGTAGACACCGCAGGTACGACAATGCTTGGTGCGCAGCGGCCGTCTGCGCTCACGATGTCTTGCTGAAGCTCGGCGCGGATCGGGAAGCGCGTCCACACGTCGAACCATGCACCGAGCAGCGGCGGGGCGGCTGCGCCGCCAAGCGCGGCGCTTTCGGGCTTGCGGTCGGGCACCATGTCAAACGAGCGCTGGTCGGAAGTGATCGACAGCTCGAGCGAAGCGATCGAGAGCGAGGCAACCTCGAGCGAGGCATTTCCGAACAACGCAACCGTGCGTGGATCGAGGAGGAGCATGACGTGGCATCGGTCGGGAGAGCGGATCGACGTCACTGCCTGACCGACGCTCGGAGGCAGGTCAAAGTGGCGCATAGACTCGTCGGTGCCAAAGTCCGCCAGATGGATGGTGCGAAGCGACGAACCAGAGACCAAGAGCAGGCAAAGGCCGTCCGGAGAGGCCGCGAGAGTGCTGAGCGGTGTAGCCATGTCAAGTTGGACGGTGGCGGGCTTCATCTGCTGTGTGACGAGCGAGTAGAGGCGCAGACGGCCCGATGCCTCAGCAATGGCAAGCGTCTCAGCTCCGGGTACGAGCGCCGTGGCGCAAATCTCTGGCAGTCCGCTCGAGTACCACTCTGTCAGAGTGCGCAGTGCGGCGCGAGGCGTCACGCTCTGCCACTTGTCGTCGCAGATGAAGACAGAGAGGTGCAGCTCGTCCTTGACGCTTCCGAGCACTGTGAACTGGCGCGCGCGCTCGTCCAGCGCGAAGCTCGGGTTGCTGCCGATGCGAGAGCGATCCATCTTGAGCTTGGCCTGGCCGTTGCTTACTGCAGCCCCCAGAGCGTGGGGCCGCTCGATGAAAAGCTGAAATTTCGCCAGCGTGTCGTCTTCAACAATGACGAAGCACAGTTCGCCGACCATTCTGATGAAGCTGTGACGTCGCGAGGTCAGCTGTAGCCTTTGACAAATGAAAGCTGAGGTACTCACGCAAGGCGCTGCTTGCCGGCGAGCAGCTCAAAGTGCGGCACGGGTCCTTTGGCGAAGTGAGGCGGAGGGCAGCGGAGATGCGCGCAGTCGGGGTCCGTCAAGAAGTCTTGGCGATAGATCAGCGGCTGTAGCTCGTGGCGAGTCATGCTCGGCGTCGCGTGCTCCTGCGTGCAGTTCAGCTCGCTGCTTCTACCGTGGTCCGAGTAAGATGGGAACGAAGCGTAGTGCGTGTGCCTTGACGATGTTGACGCTTTGAAGCCGTGAATCACAAGAGTGGAGCTGCGCAGAGTCGGCATCGTCAGTGCAAAAGCGAACCACAGCAAGAGACTTTAACTCACGCAAGCCCCGCAGGCGCGAGGGCCTCCTCCACCTTCAGGCGGAAGTCCTCCTCGATTGATGCAGCGTTGCTCTGCTTCTCGACGCCCGCCAGCTTCCTAATGCGCGCCTTCTCTTCCTCGCGCAATGTCTGCGTCAGCGCGTTGCTGATGGCGCTCAGCTTCTCGCGATTGAGGCGCGCGGAGGCCTGTTGCAGGGCAGAGAGGAAGACAAGACCTTTGCGACGCAGACTAGAATCCGCCGAGGCGCTGCGGATCAGCTTTAGCACCTGATGGCTGTCGACGTCTCTCGCGACCGTAGCCCATTTCTTGTCATCTGTTGCGGAAGCCGATTCGCCGGCCAAGAGCTCCTGGGCCTTGCCAAAAGCGCTGCTCAACAGCGACACCGGGGCGCGGTGCTGCTCGACGAAGCCGATGAGCTTGCTGTTCCAGGCCGCCTCGTCGACGCTCGTGCATTCGTACAGCTCGTACAGCGCCGCTTCGTCGTCGGAGCCACTCGCGAGGAGCAGCTTCTTTGCTGCTTGCCACAGCATGTAGAGACGCGTCTTGTGGCGCTGCGGTGTACAGGTACAGTCAGCGTCTGTGAGCGCTGTGTATGCTCGTACTACTGACCTTTAGCTCTGGCGTGGCCAGCGGTAAAGGCGAACGCTTGTACTGGAAGCCGAGAAGCCAAGAGAAATCGACCTTCTTGATGATGCCAGCCAGGCGTGCCCGTTGCGTTTTGTCCGACTCGGTCTCGGTCTCGACGCCATGATCAGCTCGGAGAGGTTGACGGTTCTCGAGATGCTCAGCCTCTGCGACTCGTGCCTTGTCGCTTGATGTTGAGACCTCGATCGCTGTCACGATCTCGCATGACACCGAGCTCTCGCTTGGTGCCGACGGAGCGCTGTCGTGGGGCACTGCGGCCGCGCTGGTCTCCTTCTCGATGCTGTTGGCGGCGTTCGTCTCCTTCTCGATGCTATTGGCGGCGTGCGGCTCCTGACCTCGACTCCCCTCGGCGCCTGACTCCTCGACATAGGACTCGCTGTCGCGGCGCTCTTGGTCGGCATCGTTCTTCTTGGGAGCATTGTTCTCCTCGACGCGAGGCTCCTGTGCTTGGGCGTCGTGGGTGATAGCCGCCTGGTCGTGAGCCTGCTCGAGGCGTGCCTTCTCCACACGGGCCTGTTCGTCGCACTCGAGCTGCAGAACTTGAGCACGCAATTCGGCAGAGTCGAGGTCGAGGCGGCTCGCGATAAAGTTGCACGCTTCCTGTTGCGCCACATCGCGAATGATGGCCTCCGAGTAGTCCGAACCCGCCGATTCGAGCTTGCACTTCAAAGGCGCGTCGTAGGCCGCGGATGCCTGGCGTAGAGCTTCGTCCATCTGATGCAGCACGGCATCCGCGCTGTGGTTCTGAGACAGCCCGGCTGCGAAGAGATCGCGAATCTCGCGCATGGAGACTGTGCTGTCGATGAGAACGGCCTGCGACGAATCTCTAGCTCACAGTGTCAGTGTGTAGCCGCACTAGCAATCCGTAAGACTCACCCGAGCATCTTCTTGAGCATCATGGGAGTGTGCTTGACGCACGTGCGCTTCGGGACGACTTGCTCCGGCAGCGTCACGGTGGTCAGCACCGCCTGTGCTGCATGGCCAGGCACGATGTCGACGATGTCGACGTCATGGTCGACGGGAACGGCCGTGAGCGGGAAGCCATCGCTGATCTTGACGTCGGCCTCGCTCTCTTGTACTGCATCGACGGAGAAGGTAAAGAGGCGCCTCGTCGTGAATGCTGTAGCCTTGACGTCGAGGTTGTACATCTTCTTCGCGAACTCCTGGATGCCGGCGAGGTCCGCGTCGTCCATGAGACAGAGCTGCTGGTCCGTGAGCTTAGACAGGGAGCGCATCAGCGTCGTGCGCGTCTTGACCGCCGCGCCTGCCGGGGCCTCGCCGGCGCTCCACATCTCGGGCGTCGGCCAGAGTACGAGGTAGTTGCAGTCGTTGGCCGCGTCTGCGGCAGTGAAGAGGTAGATGCCGGGCTCGAGAGGGCGCAGCGGCACCGCCAGGTCATGCTTGGCGAGAAAGTCGATGAGCACTTCGCGCTTGCCGTAGAGCCCGACTACGCTGAGCGACGCGTTGTTGAGCGCACGGTAGTCGACCTTGGTGAGGCTCTTGTGCGAGCCGGGCGAGAGGAAGTTGGCGCACGCTGCGAAGCCCTCGCTGTGCACGACGATCTTGTCGACGAGGCCGCCGCTTGCCTGATCCTGCATGAGCTGCAGCAGGCAGAAGGAACCTGCAGTGAAGGAATGAGTATCTGCCGAGCTTTGCCGAGCCCTGAGACTCACGAGGTCCGCTGGTCGGGCTCGGCTGAGGCGTTGCGGCGCGCATCGGCTCGTCCTCGACGAGATTGGGGCCGCGCTGAGAGTCAATGTCGACTCCGGTCGAGCCGGAAGCCTGCGCCGGTGCGGCACCGTCGTCGAGCATGAGTGCTCCCGGCGGAGGCTCGAGTGCTGCCGGGGTGGATGTCGCGGCCGAGGTCACAGAGACGCCGTCGTCACTTGCAGTGTTCGCCATGGCTGCCTCGCCGAGGTCCGCCGTCAGCAGCACCTCATCCATGCGCTCCGGCTCGTGCAGCGCCGTCGAAGAGTCGATGCGCTGCGCTTAGGCGTGGCGGCACGCGAGAGCGACATCGCGCTGGCCTCTTCCGAAGCGCTGTCAAGCGCGTCGACGGCCGACAGAGTCGCATCTGCGCAAGATGTGTGTCAGTCCCAGGGCCCTGGTGTTCGCAAAGCCAGCTCACCTTCATTGATGTACACGTGCGAGCCTTGCTCCGACGCTACCATGTACAGAGCGTCGGCGGCGGCGCCGCTTGGCGAGTTGCTCCCGCTGTCGGGCGCGCTGTGCGTCGTGCTGGCGACGGTGCCGTCGTCGCCGCACAGGCTGAAATCGCTCTCCGAGCGAGCGGAGAGCGACATGGCGAGAAGGTTGGGCGGGTGTGTGTCTTTGAGTGGGTTGAGTGAGACGGGTGACAGGAGGAGAGGATGTGGGTGGGAGGGAAGGAAGAAGAGGGGGCAAAGGTTGCGCGCGGCTGACCAGAGCGCTGTCCTTATGTACTCGCCCGCACGGTCCTCGCGTCGCCGTGCCGCGCGCTGCGGCGGCCACCTGCCCTGTACTTGCCTCGAGAGCAAGCGTGAGCGGCTGCGCAGACATCCAGGCCAAGTCAGTTGCGACCACGCGGATTGAGATAGCGAGCCTCGACACGCAGCGCACACAGGTGCGCAATCCTGCGTGCTGCGTTGAGGTGAGCACCTGCAACTGCCTCTCTCGACGAAACAGCCCGCGCGGTGGCCAGCGCATCAAAACCTCTCGCAGAGAGTCAGCGTGAAGGCGAGCTTGGAGGTGTCTGAGCTGTCTGCGCACCCGCCACACACGACATCTGCATTCGGCGCGGCTTCGCCCCTGATTGCGCGCCGTCCCGATTTGGGCAAGCGACGCGTCGAGCCTGGCGCTTGCAGGCGTCGCGTCCAAACATCGCGGAGCCGGAGGCCGAGAACATCGGGTGCGGGGAGAGCAGGTGGGTCTCCACACCACCTCACTGCTTCGCTCTGAGCGCTGCACCCTGTGCTGCGTGCGTCGTGCGTCGTCCTTTATCGCGCTTCGCGAGGCTCGTTGCGCACGCTCCGCGCAGCTGGGTGGTGGTGCGCGCTGTCTTCCCAGAAACAGCGGCACACAGTGATGAGCGTCGACACGCTGTGATGCCAGACACGCCTATCTCCCATGCCACTCATCAGTCTGCTAATGTGAGAGCGAGAGCAAAGTAGCACTTAAGCCAGCCCCGGGCACCGAGCCGAGGCGCGACAAGGCCCCGGTGGAACGTGGCTGTGGGCGATCTCTCGAGCGCGCCGGGTCAGAAGCAGAAGTAGCACCTGAACCGTCTGTCTAAGCCGTGTTCGCTGTATAAATGCGAAGAATGCTGAAGGCATCGAGCTTGGACGAGCAGTGCCGTGCGGTCGCCGAGAGAGCAAGGCCGAAGAGCTCACTCATGATCTCGTCGGCGTTCGGGCTGGGCGCTAGAAGGCGCCGCCGCTGTTCCCGTGCTCGCAACGGCGGTGCCTCGAGCACTCTCGCCCCCAGGCACAAAGCCGTGCCTCGGACCGGGCCCGAGATGTGGGACCCGGAACTGAAGGGCTGGCTGAGCGCTGCATCGAGCTGAGGATACCTTGCCATCGTGAGCGAAGCTGCGCTGGCTCGCCTTTAGGTGGTTGAGATTAGCCGACTGCGGCCTCCAGTGCAGTCAGCCTCTTGCACTCGACCGGGGTGCTGCTCAAGGATGAACACGCCTCGGCCCTTAGGGCAAGCGCAGGCGATTCGGAGCGACGCGCACCGCGCCGTCCTCGCGTCGCCAGCCGCGCGCCGCGGTGCGCCAGCGCGTCGCCCGAAATGTTCGGCCTTCGCGCTTGCCGCGCTCGCACATCAATGTCAGCCGGTGTCGCTGCGCAGCCTGATAGAGAGCTCGCGATGAGGAGCTCGCTGTGGTGGGAGCCAAGAAAGCAGTGAGCTCCGCAGCAGCGAGTGTAGATGCAGCGGCAGCGCAGCAGACGTGAGCTGCTGCGGCCCGTCGTCAGCTCGGACGTCCGAATTTGAGCTCTGCTGCGTCTGGACCTGGCCGCTGCTTCCCTGCGCTGCTGCTGATGCTGCATCTGCGCCTGCACGGCGCACGCTCTTTAGCGCCATCGCCTAGCGCGGCCTCCTCCCTGCTGCTGATGCTTCGCTGCCCCTTGGCCGGTATGCCTGCGCGCTGAGTGAAGCTGCAGCGCGCAGCTGATGGTGCAGCTGATGGCGCGTGCTGCACGAGTGCAGCCATCGTGCAGACGCCGCAGCATCGAGATGAGGGACGATGCGGCAGCGCAGGCGTGACTGTCGCCGCTCGGCCACACGACTGCTAGCCTGAGATGGAGGCCTCGGCGACACTGCTGCGAGATGAGCCTCGGACGCGCGCGAGCACCGCATCGCATCTGCAGCTGCCGCAGAGGGGCCGCGCCGCAGTTCGAGAGCTCGTCGGCTGCGGCCCCCTGCGATGGCGTGCAGGCGGGCGCACGGCGTGCAGATGCCGCCGCCGCTGCGAAGCAAGCCTGCCGCAGCAGCATCAGGTGCAGCAAGCAGCCGCTGTCCCTGCAGCGCAAGCACAGCGTGAAGGGCTCGACGTGCGGCGGCGGCGTCGGACGTCGGGGTGCGGCGTTGCTGCGGCTGCGGCGGTGGGAAAGGAAGAACGTCGGAGCTGGCTGATGAGATGCGCACGCGCACGCGCACACGCGCACGCGCGCGCTGCCCTTCCATCTCATCTCGCGCAGCACCAGCATCCATCACCCGGATGAGCGGATGGGCTGCCGCTGTTGCTGCTTATAGCCTGTCACCTGCTCCTGTGCCCCTCGGCGGCCCGGAGCGCCGGGACGAGAGGCGGCGAGAGGGGCTCGGCAGCAGGCAGGAGGTGCGCTCGTGGTACGCGCAGGACGACGCGTCGGACGAGCAGGCGCGGCGCAGGCACCACGGCAGCGGCTGCACGCCTGCAGCGGCAAGCGCGGCGGGCGCGCCGCCAGCGCTGGTGCTGGCGCTGCGCCTGCCCCTCTCCGCCGCCGCCGCTGTGGCGCCTGTGCGTGGTGGCCGTGAGTGGCCCCTGCTTGCGCTCTCCTTCTTCCGCTGCTTCTCCCGCGCCTGCTGCTCCAGTGCCTGCCTGAAATACCCTCGCGGCTCGCCTGCCTGCGCGTCTCTCCTAGGCGCGACAAGGCACACGGACAGCACTCGCGCCGCGCCCTGCCGCCCGCCGGCCTTCCCCTCGCGCCGCGCCGTGGCCGCCTCCCTCTCGGGCGTGGATCTCACCGCTCGCTCTCACTCCATCCTCACTCTCTGCTCGCTCTCGCCCCCTCACGCTGCCGTCTGCTGACCCGGTCTCTGTCTCGCCCTCACTTGCGTCTCGGCTTCCCTCGTTCCGGCCCAGCTGCGCGCGTCTCGTCTCTTCTGCCGTCACCTTCGTTTCGTTGCCTCGCCGAGTGCCCTCCTTCCACACGCGTGAGCATCTGCTTGCTGCCAGCGCCGGCCGCGTGTCTGACCGCTCTGCGCAGGCATCAGCGCCCACAGCATGCTCACCTCGTGCCACGCCTGAACGATCACGCGCACCATGCCCTCGGCGACGCACCGCGCGTCGCCGCAGCACTCGCCCGCCCACTCGCCGCTGCTCGCCTTCCGCCCGCTCGCCGCAAAGGCTGCGTCGCCGCCGACCGTGCCGCTGGCGCTCGATGCCCTCACCTCGGCGTTTGGCTTTCCCGAGCCGCCGGCACGCCCGTCGCGCCTGAGCGGCGCCGAGGAGCGCCGCAGCTCGCCGCCGCCGCGCCGCCGCCGGCTGCCGCGCCATGCCGCCCAGGCGCCGGCAGCACCGCGCACACGGCGCAAGGAGGAGTGGGCCAGTGGGCTGCCCAGCGAGGCGCATCCACACGAGGCGGGCACGCGGGACCTGGAGGAAGACGAGGACGAGTACGAGCAGCAGACGCCCGCCGGCTCGCACTCGCGTCTGCCGTCTGGCGCAGACGAGCGGGCGCCCAGGCGCGACAGCGCCGGCTCCTTTGGCGAGGCCGGCGACAGCTCCTTCACCCGTCGGCCCTCTAGGGCATCACAGAGCGAAGACGCGCTCGGGCTCGACGTGAGCCAGGAGAGTGGCATGGTGCGCTCTGCCTCTGCCTTCTCGACGGGCTTCGTCTCCTCGCCGGGCTCCTCCATCGGCGAGCCCGAGGAGATGGTCGAGGAAGACTTCACCGATGGCAGTGCCGGCGGCATGAGCTTCTCCAGCGACGGCGAGTACCATCTGCCGACGACGCCGGCGTCGGCGCACGGCAATGCGTCAGGCTTTCCCGGCACGCTGCCACAATGGCGCCCGCGCGAGCTGCAGCTCGTGCGCAGCGGCTCGGAGGAGGCAGCGCGCGTGCCCGCGGCACACCGCTTCCCGCTGAGCATCTCGCCGTCTCCAAGCTACTCGGCCAGCGCACCGCAGCACGCCGCGCGGCGCTCGCCTGCCAAACGTCCGCCGCACATGCGCGCCACGAGCACGACAAGCAGCGGCAGCGGCAGCAGCTCTGCCGCAGCCGCAAGCAGCGCCACGGGCCCGCGCGACCTGCTGCTGGCGTCCGCTGCCGTGCCCGCCGGAGCCATTCGCAGCCTCACATCGCCGTCGTTGAGCGTGACTGTGCCGCTGAAGAGCGCCACGCGCTCCGTGTCGCCCGTCAGCGGCGGCTCTGCGTCTTCTGTGCCGCGCAGCCCGCTGCCTGTGCTGTCGACCGGCCCTGCCTTCCCGCCAGGCCCGGATGCCACGCTCGAGAGCATGGCCGCCGAACGGCTGCCAAACGAGTCGCTCGCGACGCCCGCGCGCCGCGCGGGCGGCAGCGGACGCATCTCGCCCATGCTCACGCCTGGCAGCGCGTCGGGCGCGAGCCTCAGCGTCAGTCCCGTCGTCTCGGCGCCTTCGTGGGAGATGCCGACGCGCGCGTATTCGCCCCTGGGCACGGCCTCTGCGAACTCCTCGCCATTGCGTCCGCTCGTGCCTCTTCCGAGCAGTTCGAGCGCCGCAACTTCGCCGTCTAGCTCGCCGCAGGACGAGCGCGTGCCTCTCCCGCCGACGCGCGCGCGTGCACATTCCTTCGTGCGCTCCTCTGCATCCACGTCGCGTAGGAAGCCGCCGGCGCCGCTCGATCTGGCGGGCCTCAGCGCGAACCCCGGCGCTGAGCCTCGCAGCGGCGTCGTGATCAACGAGCCGACGCCTGATGCATACGCGCCCGGCGCGTCGCCTTCTTTCGACGATGCTGCGTTCCACGCGCTGGAGGGCGAGAAGCTGCTGCTGGATCCCCAGACTGCGGTGTGGCCCGCTGGCGCCTCGACTCCACAAGCACAGGCCTCGCCGCGCATGCCGGGCAACCTGTCCGTGCCCGAGCCCGAGGCCGAGATGCCCATGACGGCCGCCACAGCTTTCTTCGACTTCGACAGCGCTGACACGTACGTGGCCGACATGTCCGTCGACGAGGGCACGCGCAGCAGTCGCAGTGCCGATGCAGACGAGCCAGCCCCGCACAGCGCCGGCTCTGTGCGCCTGGACCTGCCGCGCCTATCGCTGGCCTCGTCACATGCTTCGTCGGGCGGCCGCACTGTAGAGGCACCCTTCGAGTTCGACTACACGTCCGAGGCGGCCGCCGGCGCTGAGGCAAGCTCGCGCAGTGGGTCGCGCAGCGGCTCGCACACGTCCGACGTGCTTGCTCCGATGCCCGCATCGCCACGCGCCCAGCCGGTCGCCAGCGCATTTGAGTCGCCCGAGTCGAGCTACTCCACGGACTCGCCGCGGCAGTCGCAAGTGACGCCCAGCAGCTCGCGGATCTCATTCCGCACGTCGATGTTCCAGGTCTCGGTCGACTCGCCGCGGGGCGAGTCATTTGGGCCGCGAGGCACGCCCGATCTCGGTGCGGCTCCGTTCCCAGACGAAGGCGTGCAGTCCGGCGACCGTCCCAGCACTGCCTCGTCGGCCTCACCGCGTCAGAGCATCGAGCCCGTCGGCCTGCAGCCAGCGCATGCTCTCCGACCTGGGTCACTCGGCCAGCACGCGCGCCGCCCTCAGGCAATGCACGAGGAGCAGACTCCTGGCAGCAGCTCTTCCTCTCCAGCCAGGAGCGTGGTGGCGCCGCCGCCACGGCCGACTGGGCATGCATCGCAGTCTGAGCCGCTGCCGACCGGCGAGTGGCGACCCACGCCGCTCAGCGTGCCGACGCGGGCGTCCATTTCATCGGGCAACACGTCGCCCGTCGGCGGCGTATCGGCTGCACCGGCCGCAGGGCCCCCGTCCTCGCGCCCGAACCTCTCCATCCGCACGATGGACACACAGAACCGTCCGCTGCCGCCGCTTCCGCGATCGAAGCCGTCGATTGTGCCCGATACGCCGTCCTTTGGCTTCATGCCCTTCTCTCCAGCGCCACCCACCGCCGACGCTGCATACATGTCGCCTCCGGCTGTCGGCAGCTCGCACACGCCACAGAGTGGCACGTTCAGCGTTGACTCGGCCTACTCGGACCAGTACGCGCCCTTTGAGCAGGTCATGTCGAGCCGCTGGAGCTCGGGCTCCGAGTCGGACGACGAGCCGAGCGGCGGCAAGAGCAGCCGCAAGAACTCCAAGGCCAAGAAGACGGCCTCGGCCAACAGCAGCAAGCGTCCGTCTGCGAGCGGCAGCATGGGCCCGCCCGCCGCGCCGCTGCGCAAGGGCTCAGCCTTCTTGCAGGGCCTGGGCCTGCGCAAGAAGAGCTTCTCCAACGCTGCCGCGCCCTCGCCGTCGCAGCGCTCGGCCTCGCCGCACACGCCCGGCATCGCCTCGCCTGCCATGCTCGACACTGCCGCCGAGTTCCCGTTCCCTCCGGCTAGCCAGTTCACGCCCGGCTCGCCATCGGTCGCGACGCGCCTGAGCCGCTCACCTCATGTCACAGACAGCGCGCCACGCAGTCGTGCCGGCTCCGTCGCGTCTCGCTACTCGCAGAGTACCGGCAACAGCGGGCCGTCGATGAGTCATCGCCCTTCGCTGGCCAGTCTGCGCATGTCGAGCATGGACCAGAGCCGCCGGCCGTCGCTCACCGGCGATGGCGCGGAGAGCGTGCCGGCCTCGCCCAGTCTGCCGAGTGGCTTCGCGTTCCCCACTCGCAGTCGCAATGTCTCCGCCGCGGGCAGTCTCGACGCAGAGCTGGCAGGCCTGGGCATCGCGCTGCCGGCCGGAGCGCCCTACGCCGATCGCAATCGTCCGACGCACGCCAGCCGTCTGTCCAACAGCCTGCGCTCCGCACGAGCGTCGCTGAACAACCTGCGCGCGTCCAAGGACCTCGCGGCCGTCGAGGCCTCGGCCAATGCTCTCGCCGCTGCGCTGGCGAAGCGCAACAGCCAGGGCGGGCGGCAACGCTCAGCCACGATCAGCGCTGCGGATCTCGCACAGAGCCGCGCCTCCATCGCGGCTGCGACGCAAGGCGTGCTGCTGCCCGACGTCACGACTTCGCCGCCGCGCGGCGAGGCCCGACGCCGCAGCAAGAGCCAGTTCGACGAGTTCGACACGACGCCGCGCGTGGCGTACGCCTCGCTGCCCGGCTCGGGCCGCAGCAGCATTGCCAGTCCCACGCAGGCACGTTCGAATCTTTCGCGCTACGTGCACGACGATGAGGCACTCACGCGCCTTGGCTCGCATCTCGTGAGCACGGCGTCATGGGCCGACTTCTCGCCCGAGTCGGTGCCCAGCACGCCGCCCGTGCCCGCGCGCGGATCTTCCACTCGCGCGTTCAGCGGTCGCCGCTCCGACGCGGGTCTGGAGCGCCAGCCGTCGCCGCTCGTGGAGAGCGTCTCGGCAACTGCGGAGAAGCAGCCAGCACCGCGGAGGCGCCGCATTATCTACTGCGAGGGCGCGCAGATTCGTCCGCACTACCCGTCGCTCAGCGACTTCGGTCGTGCGTGGTGCCAGGAGCACCCTGGATCCGCGCTCGAGGCGGCGCGAGGACCGGCGCTCATGGCTGCTGCCCTCGCGGCGCGCGGCTACGCAGGCGCCGGGGAGGGAGGCAATTCCGGCGCCAGCACACCCTCGGACGCGTCGACTGACTACTACGGGTCAAGCGACGGCGGCGGTGGCGCTGATGGCGATGCCTCTGACCCCGGCGAGCCGTCGGGCTCCGGCGGGGCAGGCGACGAGGATGATCCGGAGGACCGCAAGGGCAACGGCGCCTGGCCGAGCCGAGCCGCACGCGACGCGCTGCTGGCATCTGACGAGGAAGAAATATCTTCAGATGACGACGAGGACATCTATGGCGTTGACCGTGCCAAGGGCAGCTCGTCGGCCCTCTATGCGACGGCCAACGCCAGCTCGATGCCGCCGACCAGCGATGCCATCGATCCCTCTGGCTCGTCCAGCCGTAGCGCCGAGTCGGATGACGTGCCGCTGGGCGAGCGCGTGCAAAATGCCGAGGCCCTGCAGTCTCGTCTGCGCGCGGCTGAGCGTCGGGAGCAGATCGCTTCTACTGCCCGTGCGCTCGAGCGCGGTGGCCGACATTCCAAGAGCGACCGCCTGCGGAAGCCTCGCGGCTTTGCGCCGGAGAAGGCACCCGACTCGTCGCCGCTCGACATCAATGATCTCATGGGCCGTCTGCAGAAGGTGCAAGTCCAGCAAGCTGCTGGCCTGCCGACGCGCGGACCGCAGCAAGTTGCGCCGAGTGGCGGCGATGTGCTCTCGTCTGCGAACCCGGCCCGCGTGCCACAGGGGCGAGCGCGCTCGAACACGACGACGGGGCGCGACCAACGTCTCGCCTCGGCGCCGGTGCCGACAGCGCCTGTGCTCCCGGCGGCAGTGCAGCAGCAGCAGATCCTGCTCCACCAGCAGCAGCAGATTGCGCAGCAGCAGGCGCAGATTGCGCAGCAGGCACAGCTTCTGCAGTCGATGAAGCAGCAGACGTCCGAGTCGGCGCCCAACTCGCGCACCGTCAGCCGGCAGCACACGCTTGCTGCGGCCTCGCGCGCGGCAGCTGGTGTGCGCCCTCGGCCTTCGTTCAACGAGCAGGTCCCTCAGCGTCTGCCTCCAAACGCGATCCCGGCCGATGCTCGCAGTGCGGCGGCCCACAAGGCGCCCACGGCTGCGCTCATGTTCCCGTCGTCGAGCTCTTCGGGCGCGTCCAGCCCTGCGATGGCCGGCACGCCGCAGCTTGGCATCTCCAGCACCATGGCCGGAGTGGTCAGCCAGGCGCAGATGACGCACCGCGCCGCCGAGCATCTGCGTGGCGGCGGTAGCCACTCGGCCTCGCCGGCACTGGGCACTGTCCCTCTGCGCATGTTCTCTGGCTCTGCGGAGCCGTCCGCGGACGGACACGCGGCGCCCGAGGAGCAGCCGCAGGTGCGCCTGCGCTCCCGCAGCATTTCGAGAGCTCGACCCAATGTCGTTGTCGATGCGCGCGTGGCGCCGCCGCTGCCGGTGCCTGTGCCGCGCCAGCAGCCAAACTCCGGCACCTCGTCGGCGTCGCACTTCTCGCCCGCCTCGGGCGGTGCGCCGGGCACGCAGACGCTCGCTGCTGCGACAGGCGAGGCCTCTCCGCGCTCGCCACTGGCGGGCCTGCCGGTCGTCGCAGCGCCGACCGGACCGCCGATCCAGCTCATGCAGCACCGCGTGTACATTGCCACGAAGCAGCGCTACGGCACGGCGCAGGTGCCGCTCGACGCGCGGGCGCGCGACCTCGTGATGGACATCACCGAGAAGGAGTACGTGCCCGTCGACGTGTCGCAGGGCGGCGGCGGCGGCTGGGTCATCTTCGACTGCTGTCCGCAGTGGGGCATCGGTGAGTGTCACGTGTGTGTGTGCCGAAGGTGCGATGCTCATCCTAGCGGACCTTCAGAGCGCCCGCTGCGCGAGTACGAGATGATCACGGACGTCATCGACGCGCGCCCGACGCCCGACGACTACTTCCTGCTGAAGCGCACCGAGCTCGCGCCGTACCTGAGCTTCCGCGCGATCCCGACGAGCTCGCCGCTGCTGGCCGGCTACGTATACGTGCAGGACCACAAGCGCAAGTGGAGCAAGCGCTGGCTCGAGCTGCGCGACCACTCGCTGTACCATGCCAAGTCGGACAAGGTGAGCCGCAGCAATGCGAACGTGCCAGGCGTAGCTGACGCTTTGCGCAGGGCAAGGACGAGGTCTTCGTGTGCAACCTGTCGGCCTTCGACATCTACCTCGTCGACACGGCCAAGATCCGCACGCCCAAGCCGCACGCCTTTGCCGTGCGCAGCCAGGACAAGATCACGCAGTTCGAGAAGCCCGAGAACGACTACGTGCACTACTTCTGCCTCGGCGACCCGGCGGCGCACCGCGACTGGGTGCGCGCCATCATGAATGCGTGAGTGGCCGGCCCTCCTAGGCGCCCGCTGCCGGCTGCAGCGCTGACCGCTTCCGCTCGCAGGCACACCTATGTGCTCAAGCAGGAACGAGCCGCGCTTTTCGTCCCGCCCGTGCGGCCCATGGTGCCTCCGCCTGTGCCCGCCGAGCCAGAGGCCGGCACCAACGGCGCCTCTATTGCCACAGCCGGAGGCCTGTCACGGCGAGGCACACAACGCCGGCCGGGCCGCGCGCCCGACGCCAGCAGCAGCAGCGACATGAGTGCTGCCGTCGCCGCCGCCGCCACGCCCTCTGCGCCCGGCGGCGGCCTCATCGGACGCGACGCCTTTGCCGGGCCGTTTGAGAAGGGCAGCCTGCTCGCCAACGCCGCGCTCAACGCGGCGCCCGAGGGCCTCGACCTGAGCCTGCACGAGCGCACCCGCTCGCGCCAGGCCGAGGCCGCCCGGCGCGCCGAGCTGGCGGAGCGCATGCGCCGAGCGCGCGCCGCCGGGCAGCCGCTCGTCGATGTGGCGGCGCGGCCGTTCTGAGGGGTGCAGACCCTCGTCCATGTCATGCTGTGCTATGCGCTCTCGGCCTCTCTCTGTCTCTCCTCTGTATTGCTAGCCACCCATGCCCGACATGACCCGCGCGCCGGCGCTCCTGCCGCAGCCGCGCCTGGAAATGCGATGCGCCGTATGCATCGCAAAGCCGCCGACTCGCCGACACGTGGGGTGCGTGCACAGCCCCATGAGATGCGCGCTGGTTGTGCGCGCCGCAGCTGCCTGCCTGCACACTCGCTGCACGCCGCAGCGATCTCGCACGTCGTGAATGAAGGATCTGGGCCGCATCTGATGCGCCGCTGCTGCGCAGAGGGGCCGGAGCCGAGGGCAGCAGCGCACGCGGCGAAATCGCCGGCGGGCGTGCCGTCGGCGTGTCCCGCTCGCGTGGGCGGGTGGCGAATTTAGCGCGACGCGAGCCCGTCTGCGTCGGCCATCTCTCGATGTGCGAGCGCAGCAGCAGCGCTCAGCATGCTCCTCGCTCCTGACTCGCCGCTCCACGTTGCTAGCCGTGCATCTAGGAACGCCCGGCTCCACGCTGACAACCTTTCTCGGATGAACGTGCGTCGTGGCCCACTCGAAATAGGCAGCAGGCAGAGCTGCGCTGCGAGATACTCCGGCGCCGCGACTTCCTCGACGCTGCCGTACGGAAGGCAACCGCTCCACCTCGATCTCCTCTCGATCTCGCCAGTCTCGAGGCGTTGTGAGATGGTCCAGCCGCGGCTGGACATGACACGAAGGTGAGGCAGCATGCTGCGCTGCCCGCGGCTACGCCGGCTATCATCTGGCAATTTGAAATGGATGGCAGCGGCCGCAGCTTGCGCTTCGACACCTGCACGCCGCGCCCACACGATCGAGCTCAGCTCCGGGCGCGCAGCAGCCTCCAGCTCCGAGCGGCCGCAGCCTGCCCATCGGTATGTGGGGCCTGAAACAAGCCTCGACGGCGCTTCGTCATGGCCTGCACATGCAAGAGTGGGGTGAGAGCGAGCGTGCGGCGGGCATTTGCGACGACGCCGTGCCGCAAAAATCGAAACGAGGGCGCTGCGAGGGACGGCCGTGCTCCTCGGACTCCACGGAGGGCGCAGCGCGGCACGCCCGAGACGAACGCCCGCCGTGACGGTGCCCGATGGCCGCTGAGGCTGTGCAGCCCTCTAGCCGTTCCTGGGGCAGATTGCGCCCCGCGGCGTGGGCCCCGAGGAGCGGCGGCGCGTCGGTCGAGGGAGGCCATCTCCGCGGAGCACGGCGCCTGCTCGGCGTCCTTGCTCGCCGCACGGGTCCACGCAGCACGACACCGACGGCGACGCATCTCTCTGCCATCGTCCGAGGCGCTGCGCTGCGACAAAAATCGGTTTGCCTCGCCTCGTGCGACACTCCGGCTCGCTGCGACGTAAATCTGCGGGCGTGCTGATGCTGCAGCAGCTGCAGCGGAAGCTTCCGCCGTGCAGCGTGCTAACGCATGCTAACGCAGCGCCGCGATGGCACCATCTGTGTGTGCTGCGTCTCAGCCTGCAGGCTGCGCTCTGCACCTCGGGCATGCTCGATGCCTCGGGCACCGCAGCGTCGAATGAGCGGCGTATTCGTCCATCACCGTCCGTCGTCGCGGCGCAGCGTGAGCTCTCGACGAAGCCGAAGCGCCAGCAGCAGGCCATCCCTTGCGGAGCGGTCTCCTTCGCAAGACAGGGGCCAGCAGCGCCTTGCTCTCTCTCTGCTCGCAACGGCTCTCGACAAGACGCCGGCTGCATCTGCATCTCAGCGCCTGCCGCCTTTCATGCCGTTGCGCTTGCTGCTTCCACGGGCGGAAGGGGATGGACGAGCGTTGCCTTGTTGCGGCTCCGGCTCGCCATCTCGCTTTCGGGCTCGCACTAGCGTCGCACGCCCACGCGGCCGGCGGACGTCGAGAGGTGCGACGCTGCACATCCGCTGCGAGGCGTCAGCAGCAAGACCACGAGCTCGCTCGTCGTCGCCGTGCGCCTCTGCCGTCTGCACGCTGCTCCGCATCCGTGACCCCCCTCGTCCGTCCCGATCGCTCGCCCAAGCCGTAGCGTGGGTCGCGGCCACGCTAAACGTCAGCGCACGGCGCAAGCGTCTCGCAACGGTGCCCGCCGCGGCCCGACTTGTCCTCGCCTCGAGATGACCACGGCGCCGGCGTGTCACGAAGCTCACCCCAGCCTCTGCTGGCTGCGCCACGCGGCGTGCCCAGCCGCGCCCAGCGAGTCTGGCCCCTGCGTGTTGCAGCGCGGCGGGAATGTGGCGCACGGCCAGCGGCGCAGGCGTGCGTGCGACGGCGGACCCGGCAGAACTGGCTCGTGCTGGGGTGCCTCGGCGGGAGATGAAATTGAATTTGAGCGAGGGTCCTGCTCTGCGTGCTGCGGATGCGCTGCTGCGGCGAGGGTGCGGCCGGCGGGTGCGAGGAGGTTGGTAGCCGCGGCGCTGCACTGCCCAGCGAGGGCGCTGATCGTGTGCCTGCAGCTCGGGCGCACGCCTGCAGCTCGGGTGAGCGCCTGCGTCTGCGCCTGCAAGGACGCGCAGTGGCGTGGTGCCCGGCCGCTCGTTGCGCAGGGCAGCTGCATGCGATGCTAGGACGCCGAGGGGGCGCAGCGCCTGCGAGCGCAGGCTATTTCGGGCAGCCGCGGCAGCGCTCAGGCGAGACCGCGCTCCGTCCTCTTGCCGCCGCCGCCGCCGTACCGAGAGCACCCGCACCCGCACCGAGGCCGGCGGAAGTGCCGCACCAAATCAGCGTCCTCGGCGCAGTCGACAGACCGCAGCGAACTGCCGCAGTCGTGCTCAGCGCTCAGCCGCGAAACAGCGGCCAGCGTGGCGAAGCAAGGCGCGGTCGCTGCACCCTTGCGCGCGCCGGAGTAAGTCTGCCGGCCAGCGAGCAGGCGGCGTTCTTGCGCGTGCCAGTGCCACCGCCGCCGCTGCGGGCGCCGCCAGGCACGGGCGCAGCGCCAGCCCGTGCCGTAGCCGGGCGGGCAAAGCAAGCTGCGGCCGCCGCACCCGCGTCCGTGCAGCAACCCTGCGGCCGGCGCCGGAGCCGCCGCCGCACGGCCAGGCGGCAGGCGTCGTCGAGATCGAGAGGCGAGCAGCGAGGGCAAACCGGCGGCCCAGCGAAGAGGCCGAGCAGCCGGCGCGCCGCCCGCGCCCACGCCAGCAGCACCAGCAGCAGCAGCACCAGACAGCCCGCCCGACGGCGCGTTCCTGGATCCAGCGCAGGTTTGCGCGAGCCGGGGCAGCGCAGCGCAGGAGGCGGGCGAGCGCAGGCGCCGTCGATCAAGAGCGAAGGGGCGCAGAGAAGGAGCAGCAGCAGAGGCAGCCGCTCAGCCTGCAGCGAACCCTCGAGGCGCCCTCGCCCGCCGACCCCGCGCCGAGCAGCTGGCGTCGCCCTCGTCCTGCCGCCTGCTCGTCCGTCGGGTCTCACCACCAGCACCGCCTCCTGTCGCATTCATCCGGACGCGCCGCGGCGCCCCCTCATAAGCGCTGTGCGCCGCCGTGTCCACCTCCCGCTCCGCTCTCGCCCCCGCTGCTCTGTCCCGTCCCGCTTGCCCGTCCATCCGTCTGCCCGTCACTGCCTCTGCCTCTTCTTCGCCTACTCTCTCTCTGCATCCATCCTCTCATCCTCTCCGGACCCATCGCACATCACACTCTGCGCCACGACGCACAAGGTGGCCCGCGCACACGCCGCACTCTGCCACCGCCTCGTGTGCCCGCTCGATCGAGCTGCGCCTCGGGCCGGCCAGCCTCCTCGTCGCGCCCGCCTCTTCCGCCTCTGCAGGCAGCCGACAGTGAGTGCAGTGCCCACTCGGATCCGCCGTTGCCGCTGCCGCTGCCGAACTGCCCGAGCTCGATCCGACCGACTGTGCACGAAACGCCAGGAGAAGGGCCGTAGCGCCGCACTGCCGCACGTGGATGTCAGACCCGCACGGATGTCGAGAGGGCAGCACGCATCCACGATGGCGTGTCGCCGCCGCCCGACGTCCCTTGGAAGCTGGCTCGGCCGTGCCCTCGCGAACGCGTCGGGTGACGCGGCCTGCTCGCGTGCTCTCTGCAGAAGCGGGCCGTGTTCCTGATGGAAGGCTCGTGTTCGCTGCGGAGGCTCTTCAGCGGGCGCGCGAGATGTTGCGTGAGCCCGATTGGGGGCAGAGTGCAGCCTAATCGCAGGCGCCCGCACGCTCGGATGTGCGGAGCCGAGCATAGTGGTTCGCACGCGCGAGATCCGCGGCGCCAGCGTCTAGGGGCTTGCCTCGCGCAGCCACACGAACACTTCCGCACGACGCAGCGATGCCACGACGCTCGCGGCGCGCCGCAGAGCTCGGGCAGGCTGGCCAATCAGTCGCGGAAGGCCGAGCTGCTTTGTGCCTCGATCTGGCCAGGCACATTCTTATTTGTCGGAAGCCCTCTCGTGAGGCGAAGAGAAGCGTTCTTGGCTGCCGAGCAGCCGGCCGCGTGACGCCCGCTCAAGCATGGCCTCGTCATCTCGCCTCTCGGTGTCTCTCAAAAGCTCACACTTCCTATGCCCCTCGCAGCATGGCTTCTGCGCTTCCACCACCTGCGCCGTCGCTGCCTAGCCATCTCGACATGTCGCCGCCGCCTGTTCCGTCCTCCGAGCGGCCCACGCTGCCGTCGATCGTGACGCAGAGCCGCCTCTCTGGCACTGCCGGCGCGCCCTCCGAGCCGCCGAGCAGCGGGCCGTCGACGGTGTCGCGCTCGTCGGCCGTGGCGAGCGTGAGCTACATGCCGCGTCCGCGCTCGAGCTCGGACGTGCGCCTGCCGCCCATCGCATCTTTCCTGGCCGGCAGCCTGGGCCAGCAGGCTGGCCCCTCGTCGCTGCAACAAGGTCCGCCGCGCCCATCTGGCCTCTCAATGCTCGTCGGTGCGGATGCTGGCGCTCGCGGCCGCCTCAGCGGACCCGACTCGCACCCTCCGCCGGTACGCCGCACAGCACCGCGTCGGCCGCGCAGCAGCGAGGAGGCCGGCGCTGCGCGGTCTTCCTGGGCCAGTGCTCCCTCTGCCTGGCCTGGCGGCATCTCGGCGGCGCCCTCATCGTCGTCGAGCTACACTGGCCGATCTCCCGATCTGCGCGGCTCTGTGTCTGGCCGCGCGAGCCCGAGCTCGGCGGGCACGTCGCCTCGAGGACCATGGACCAGCGACAGTGCGTCGCCACTTCCGCGTTTGAGCGCCTCCGGCGCGGCAAGCGGTCCGTCTGCCTATCAGACGCTGCGCACCCTGTCTCCGCCGACTTCCTATCCTTCGCTGCCTGCCGGCTCGCTGTCTCCAAGCGAAGCAGGTCCGACGCGGCGCCGCTGGTCAGGCTCCACGCCACTGCACTCCTCGCCGTACCCGCGGCTCTCGCCCAACACGGCAACGCGCGAGGTGCGCCAGCGCCGCAACACGGATAGCAGCTACGGGCAGGAGCGGGAAGAGGCCCAGCTGGTGCACATGCTGCATCAGGTGCGCAGCGCCAATGCCCAGTGCGGCCTCGTGCTGCCTGGCTCGCCGGCGCTCTCCGACGACGAGCACTCGCTCGTGTCGGCGCTGCGCGGCGAGCTTCTGCGTCTGCGCATCTATGATGCGCCGGGCGCAGCACGCCTGGCAGCCGACGCCGGCCTCACGCTCGACGACGCTCTGGCGCCGTACGACAGCTCGAGCCACGCCGGCAGCTCGCGAGCCTCGCCGCCGAGCCCCATGAGCCCAGACATGTCCGCGCCGGCCGGCATGGTCGGCATCGCGGACGTCGACATGGCCGACGGTCCGCTCTCGCGCAAGGTGAAGCCGAAGCATGCGCCGCGCCGCGTGCGCAAGCGCGAGAACGAGCACCACCAGGCATGTCTCGGCTGCGACGCTGCCGAGACGCCAGAGTGGCGCAAGGGCCCGATGGGCAACCGCACGCTGTGCAACGCCTGCGGCCTGCTGTACGCCAAGCAGATCCGGCGCAAGGCCAAGGAGGCCACTGCTGCTGGCGCGCAGGCGCGGTCCGCTGCGGCCGAGACGGACGAGGACAAGCACGCCAGTCTCGAAGAGCTGCGCGCCGCCGTGCGTGCACGCTCATCCTCGTCGGCGTCGACGACGACTGCGCCGCCGCCGCCGCCGCCGTCTGCTTTTCTGCAGCGCATGGGCCCTGGCCCTCGCATGCGCGACGAGACCATCGACAACAGCCCGGTGCATGCACGCACGCTGTTCGCCGACGACCCGGCCGGCCGCGCGGAGCCTCCGCGCGGAGGGCACCCGTATGCGGACATGCCGTACGCACGCGCCGGCCTGCCGCCGCTGTCGAGCTTCTTCTCGGACCCGAAAGGCGCTGCTGGCGAGCGCCCTCTGCCGCCGCTGCCACACGAGCACCCTGCTCAGCGCCTGCCGCCCCTCGCTGCCGGACAGCGGGCCACCTGGACGATGGCGCGGCCGCCGCACGACAGATCCCCGTCCCCTTCCCGATAGCGGCAAGTCTGACGCACTCTTATACACCACGCTCCTGCTCTGCCGGACCCTCGCATCTTCTCCACCTCTGCATCCAGCCTCGACAGCACGCGCAGCGCGCCACACACACACCACGTTCCTTCTCCTGCCGCACCGGTGACCCACTCAATAAACGCCAGTGGACGCCGCCTTTGCTCTGCGTGATGGATCGATATCTGATTGACTGAGGCCAGGGGCTGATGCTGCCGTCCGTGAGGAGCCGCCGTCTTAGACGGTAATTTGCGTGGCGTCGAGGTTGAGAGCGTGGAGCTGCGCCGCGGCGTTCAGTCAGGTGGGCTTGCAGCCTGCGCACGTCTCGGCTCACCAGCAGGTTCACGTTGCGGATGCGCAAGTCGCCCTCGCCGGCACTGCCTGTCCGCTCGGCCCACTCCTTGGCGGCAAAGACGTTCTCGAGAATCTTGTCCTTGAGCTCCTGCACGAGGATCTGCTGCTGCGCCATCGTCGAGCTGACGGCCAGCGCGGCCATCAGGTTCCACACCGGCTCGTCTTCGGCGTCGACGTTCTTCTCGGCCGCGGCGCCGCCGGCGTAGTACGACGTGCCGAACGGCAGCGCGGCGCGCACACGCGTCGATGGGAAGAGCGACGGCAGGACGCCAACGGTCGTGAGGCGCGAGAAAAGCAGCCCGAAGATCTCGGACCACTGCGTCGCCTCGTCGGCCGTCGGCGCGTCGACGCCCGAGGCCGCAGCGCCGCCCTGGCGCAGCGTCTCGGCGCGCGAGAGGAAGATCGTGAGGAACGCAATGCCCGGCTGAGGGAGGGCAAGAGTGTCAGCGCCGTACAGGCATGCCACCTCACGTAAGACGTACCTTGGTCTGCGCCACACGGATCAGGTCATTGCGCTCGACGAACAGCGCCAGCATGCCCGACACGATGCGCATCGGCGCGGTGGCCATCAGGCCAAGCATCGCCGGCACAACGGCCGTGCCGAAAGCGTCTGTTTGCCGCACGACCTCCTTGCGCAGCTCGCGGATCTGGTCGTTCTGGCCCTCGACAGGCAGGTCAAGCACCGCCGCCTGCCGCACGACGTCGAGCGTGTCGAACGACGCGACGACGAGCGTGAGCGCCGTGAGGATCTGCTCCTGGCTCAGATGCCGCAGCGCGCGCGGCAGGATGCGCTTGCCCTTGACGCTCGAGAGCAGGCTGATGAACGGGTGCGGGTCGCTGACCTCAAGCGGCTCGAGCACGCGCAGCTCCGACCAGAGCGTCGCCACGAGCTCCGTCTGCTGGGCAGTCCACGCTGCCATTGCCTCCGCCTCGGGCTCGTTGCTGCCAGGTGCGGGCCCAGGCACGCTCCGCCGCAGCTGCTCCAGCGCGAGCAGCGTGTCGTAGAGCTTCTCGAGGATGCGCAGCACGACGTGACGGCCGAGCGGCGGGCGCTTGCCGTCGGGCAGGATCGCCTCGTGTGCCAGACTGGCGCCTTGCAGCGCCGCACGAACGGCATCCTGTGCGCTGCCGGCGCCCTCCTCGACACCGTCAGCCGCAGCCTTCTTGGCGCCCGGCGTCGGCGTGCCGGAGCGCGCATCGACCTGCAGCATCTGGCGCGGCGCCTTTGCGCTCGACGTGCCCACGCGGCCAAGCGCGCCCTCGAGCGCCGCACCCGCTGCGGCCTTCTCGCTGCGCTCCTTGCGGTTCTGCACAATGCGCTCGACCTGCGCCTGCATGCGCGCCATGGCCTGGTCGCGCCCGCTGCGGCCCTTGCGGCCCTTGGCCGGACCGCGCGGCGGCGCCTTGTCGCCGCTGGCGGCAGCCGCACCCATCAGGCCCGGGTTGCCCGCCGCGCCGGCGCCGGGCCCGCGCAGCTGGAAGTAGATGTGCGCGTAGAAGTCGTCGGCGTACGGGTCCTGCGTGACGAGGCCGGAAACCTGGATGCGCGTGATGAAGTCCTTGTCGGAGAGCGTCATCAGGTTGTTGTAGTTGGACTGCGGCGGGTCAGCGGGGGCGGCACCAGCGGGCAGCAGCGTGACTCACCATCGCCTGAATCTTCATGGCGCGGCGCGCCAGGCGCATCTCGGCGCGCTCGATCTCCTCGAGCACGCCCATGGCCGGGCGCGACGCGGCCTCCTGCTCGTCGGGGCGCAGCAGGCCGGGGAACTGCGCGACGACGCCCTCGAGCGACGCAAACTGCGCGTGCGGCGGCAGACGCAGGATGATGTCGCGCACGGGCGCGGGCAGCGCATCGAGCATGGCACGCAGCTGCGCCATGTGCTGGGCGCGCGCGGCGGCGTTGCGCTCGGCGGCGGCATGCATCGCAGCAGCGGCCGGCGGCATGCCGCGCGGCAGACCAGACGGCGCACCGTTGCGGAAGTCCGGCCCATCGAGCGGCGCGCCCAGCGGCGGGAAATGGCCCGGTCCGGTGGGCATGGGCGGTTGGGCGCCGAGCGGCGGGAAGCCAGGCAGCTGCGGCGGACCCTGCTGCATCTGCGGCGGCGCCTGTGACGCAGGCATCTGCTGCGGAGGCTGTTGCTGCTGCTGCTGCTGCTGCTGCTGCTGCATGGGCTGCGGCGGCGGCTGCGACTGCGGAGGCGCCGCAGCGGCACTCGCGCGCTGTGCGTTGGCACGCATCTCAGCCTCGACCTCCTCCAGCGTCAGCGGCGCGCCGGGCTGGCGCGGCGTGGGCGTGGCCGGTCCCTGAGGCCTGTGCTGCTGCTGCTGCGGCTGCGACTGCGGCTGCTGCTGCTGCTGCTGCTGGAAGGCAGCGTCAGGGCGCGGCTGCGCCTGTCTGCGCAGCTCGGCCTCGACCTCCTCAAGCGTTCGAGCCTGGCCGAAGGGCGCGGACTGCGGTACAGCCGGCGGCTTGGGAGCCGAGGGCGGCGGTGCTACACGCACAATGTCAGCGCCGGTGCTGCGTGGCCCCTGCTCGGCACACTCACCGCCCCAGACCTCCTGCCGCGGCGGCAGCGACGGCGGCAGGCCCCAGAAGTCGTCGAGCGTCGAGGCAAAAGCGGCATCGTTGGCCTTGCGCGGCGCCGCCGCGGGCAGGCCGAGGTGCGCCTGGGCGTTGGCGTTGGTCTGGCCGGCAAAGTCAAAGTCGCGGCCTGCCGTCACCTAGAGTCAGCTCCACTGGGCAGGCGGGGAGCACGCCGCGCCACGCACCGACGTCGGCGACGCCAAACGTGTCGTCGTTGAGCTCGTCGCCGCCCTCGTCGAGCAGGTCGCCGAGGCCGTCGTAGCCGTCGCCGCCCCACGTGTAGATCTCGACGTCCTCGCGCGCGCCGAGGGCGAGGCCGCGGATCTTGGCGTCGAGGGCGTCGTCGGGCTCGTCGTCGAGCTGCGGCGGCGACGCGGCGCGGTCGCGCGGCAGGGCCGTGTCGAAGCCGAAGAAGGACATGGCGGCGGCGGTGCGCAGTGGGTGCACTGGGCTGCTCGTCGTCGCGGGCGGTGGTCGGGAGGGGCGCACCGCCGGCTGCAGCGGGATGGCGGCGTCAGAGCAGCGGCCGTGCGCTGTGACGCGCGGCTGAGAGAGACTGCCTCGGCGGCGCGATGGCGGGCCTTGGCCGTCGTGGCCAGGTGGAGCACAGCGTCACGTGCGGCGGATTTTTGGAAGCCTGCGCCCCCTAGGCCGCCCTTCCTTCCAACGCCGCTCCGCTCTCTCCACCACACCGCGCCATGCCGCCCAAACGCCCCGCACCCACGCCCGAGCGCCCCAGCGCCACCGTCTTCCGCCAGTCGGCTGCCAAGCGGGCGCGTGGCGGCAGCAGCAGCGCCGCCGCCGCCGCCGCCGCCGCCAGCAGCAGTGCCGCGCCGGCAGCCAAGGCGTCGCCTGCACGAGCACGTCCGGCCGCACCCACCGTCGCTGCCGGCAAGGCCAAGGCCAGCAACGGCCGCGCAGAGGCCAAGCCGAAGCCGCAGGGCAAGCCGCAGGGCAAGCCGCAGCACGCCCAGCGTGCCGCCGCAGCACCGGCGGCAAAGGCGCCCGCCCCGAGCAAGGCGGCCGCGCCGCGGCCTGCTGCGCCGCCCAAGCCGGCGCCCGCTGCGACCCCGCTGCCGCCTCGCCGCCCGGCCGCCGCCTTCCGCATCCTCGCCGGCTCGTACGAGCGGCATCTCTACGGCCTCGCCGTGACGGCAGCACCGGGCGCGACGGCAGGGCAGCTCTCGCTCGTCCTCACGCCACAATTCGCGTTCCCCGCCCACCCGAGCGCCATCACGGCCGTCGCCGCCGCCGAGGACGCAAAGTGGGGCGCGAGCGGCGCGTCGGAGGACGTGGTCAAGGTGTGGGACCTGCGCAAGCGCAAGGAGGTCGGCGTGCTGCAGGGCCACACGGGTGCGTGTCGTGGCTTGGGCGCCGCTGGCTATCGCTGACCTTCGCTCTCAGGCACCATCACGGCGCTCGTCTTCCCGCTGCGCACCTATCTGCTCTCGGCGTCGTCGTCGGGCGAGCTGAACCTCTACCGCACGCGCGACTGGTCGCTGCTGCGCACGCTGCGCGGCCACACGGGGCCCATCCGCGCCATTGCGCCGCACCCGGGCGCGCGCCTGGCGCTGACGCTCGGCACGGATGCGCACCTGCGCGCCTGGGACCTGATGCGTGCCCGCGCCGCCGGCTCGACGCGCCTGCCGCTGAGCCGCACGGAGATGCCCGAAGATGTGCGCTGGGCGCACGACGGCCGCTCCTTCGTCGTGCTGGCACGCGGCGCCGTGCTGCTCTACGACGCCGCCATGCAGCTCAAGGCCGAGCTGCGCACGCCGCGCGAGCGGCCGAGGGAGCGCGCGACGTGCGTGTGCTTTGCGCGCGGCCGCAGCGACGCCGAGCCGGCGCTGCTGCTCGCCGGCACCGAGGACGGCGTGGTGCGCGTGTATGCGCTGCCGGAGGGCGAGGGCGAGCTGCGCGAGGTGGGCAAGTGTGTGGGGCACGCCAACCGGTGAGTGGCAGGCGATGCGCAAGACGCCCAAACGGGAGCTGACAGGCTTGTGCTACAGGGTAAAGGCGATCACGACGCAGTCCTTCTCCCTGCCGCAAGGTGGCTCGACGGAGCTGTGCATCAGCATCAGCACCGATGGCAAAATCCGCGTCTTCGACCTGGCCACGTTCCTCGGCGCGACGGGCGATGTCGCAGAGGTCTCTGCGTGCGCGTCCCACGACACACGCGGTGCCCGTCTCATGTGCCTGGCAGCCGTCTCGGGCGACGCGTCAGGGCAGAGCGCCGAGCAGGGCGCCGACGAGGAGGTGCTGGCGAGCTCAGACGGCGAGGAGAGCGTCGGCGGCGACGAGAGCGACGTGCAGAGCGACGACGACGACGAGCTGGACCTCGACGTCACACTCGATCCGGCCGAGGAGGCGGAGCTGCGCGAGCTCATCGAGCAGGTGCGCGCGGCGCGGCGCAAGGGCGTGCGCGTCGAGGGCATGAGCGATGAAGAGGAGGACAGCGACGAGGACGGCAGCGAGCTGGAGGAGGAGGACGAGGAGGAGTCCGAGGGCGAGGCGGAGTAATGACAAGCCTGTCACACAGACATCGCTGAGACGGATCACATTGAGGCGAGGTGCGACATGGCGGGAATATGCAGAGCAGGACGATGCCTGTTGCGGGAATGAGTGCGATGCGGTGCTCAGAGCTTCGAGCTCGACGGGCCATACGCGTACGGGCCGCCCCTGGTGCGGTCAGCAAGAGCTGCGGGCACGGCTGCCGCCACGGCGACTCACTTCTCGAGCGCACGCTGGTACGCCGGGCGCTCCTGGCAGCGCTTGACGTACTCGACGAGCGCCGGCGGCGTCACGGGCGAGCGGCCGCCCATGACGCCCGTCTCGAGCGGGAAGAGCATCTGGTAGTCGGCGGCCGTCTGAGGCGTGGGATGAGCAAGGGCACGGACGGCAGCAGTGCGCAGCGCCGGGCTGTGGAGCACTGCCAGCTCACCGGGTTGCCGTCCTTGTCGCCGCCGGCGAACCACGCGGCGCCGCCGCCCTTCTTGTCGAGCTCGGCACCGGCGAAGCTGATCTTGCTCTTGAGGTCGGGGTCGATGAAGCCGCCGATGACGCTGCCGCAGATCATCTTGACGAGCGGGCGCACGAAAAACGGCGACTGCGTCGGGAGGAGCGTGCCGAAGAGGAGCTTGAGCACGAGCGTGGGCATGAGCGAGCCTGCAGGGAGTGTCAGGGCAGCGCGCATTTCGGGCACGCTGCAGCGACGCACCCTCGGCAAAGTGCGACCAGAACGAGTCGTCGAGGCGCGCATCGGGCGACGTGGGCACGCCGCGGCCATCGCCGTACGTGGCGATGAGGTACTCTGCGAAGTGCAGTTGGCGTCAGCAGCTGCACGACCGCCGAGCAGAGTAGCAGTTGCACGGCCACTGCGCAGCACCAGGCAGCATCTCGCCGCGCTGATCCGGCTAGGCCGCTGCACCCCGCCACGCACCGACGATGGCGCCGCTCTCGGCGACGGTGCGTGCGCCGTCGGTGATGACGGGCGCCTTGCCGAGCGGGTGCACGTCGCGCAGGCTCTGCGGCGCGCGGCGGTCGGCGCCGCGCTTGTGGTGCTGGATGGTGTACTGCGGCGAGGATGAGCGTGGGGTGCAGCGCTCACAGCGGCCCACACACCTCGACGCCGAGCTCCTCGAGCAGCCAGAGGATGCGCTGCGAGCGCGAGTCGTCGAGGTGGTGCACGACGATGGGCATGGCGGGCGAGGGCGGGGCAGAGGGTGTGGCTGTTGCTCGGCAAGGCGCGCGCACCGCTCGGCACGCACCGAAAGCGCGCGCCGCACCGGCATGCTCTGCCGAGACCAACACCTTCGCACAGAACCGACAGTGCCGCTCTGACGCAGCCACATGGCACTCGGCAGTCTGGCGCTGATTCCTCAGGCATGCCGGACGGTGTCGCAGCCTTGCGGCATGCTGCAAGAGTCCGCTTGTCCGTCACTCTGCGAGAAGATGGCACCGGCACCGGCTGTGCGACTGCCGTGCTGCCGGAGCGCTGTCCGTGCGCGCCCAGGTGGAGCTGTGAGCTTGATGAGATCCTAGGAGGCCGTCCGCACAAGCGTGCCTGCAGCGATCGCTGCCGGGATCAGCGACCAGAGGCTGATACTGAGCGATGCTGTGCGAAATCTGGTCCTCGTCTCATCCTCATGTGCGGCAGCAAGCAGGGCAGGCGCCGAGCCGAGCCAGGCCAGCGGCGCGTGCAGCCCGGGCGCCGCAGGTCCGCTGGCGCCGATGCGGGCTGCGAGAAGCTGCCGTCTGTCGATGTCGTTCCGGCGACGGCCGAGTATCTGGATCATCTCGCTGTGTCGAGAGCAGCAGACTGCGAGCTGCGATGCAGAAGCAGCAGCAGCAGTACAGGGCCGCTGCGGCGGCTGGCGGGCGCGGGCTGCGAAGGTGATATCGCCGATGCCGCCGCCACGCCGCGCGGCGGCGCGGATGGTGTGGCCCGACGCCGCTGCACGCGCGCGCCGCCGCACTGCGCCTCGCATTCCCACCTCCACCACCGCTGCCCGTCGCCGCACTCTGCCCGCTGCATCGCACACCCCTCGCCGCCGACCGCGATGAGCAGCAGCAGCAGCTCGGCTCCGCCGTCGGGCGCCGCACGCGCCGCGCCCGGCGAGACGCTGCCCGCGTCGTCGCGCCTCATCGTCGTGTCGAACCGCCTGCCCGTCACCATCAAGGCCGACGCCAGCCAGCCGGGCGGCTACTCCTTCACGCTGTCCAGCGGCGGCCTCGTCTCGGCGCTCTCCGGCTGCAAGAAGCGCATGGACTTCACCTGGATCGGCTGGCCGGGCATCAGCGTGCCGCCCGCCGACGCCGCCTTCATCGAGCAGCGCCTGCGCGACGAGTACAGCTGCCTGCCCGTCTGGCTCGACCCCGACGTCGCCGACCGCCACTACAACGGCTTCAGCAACTCGATTCTCTGGCCGCTCTTCCACTACCACCCCGGAGAGATGAACTTCGACGAGGCCAACTGGCTGGCGTACCGCGAGGCGAATCTCATGTTCGCCGAGAAGGTGCGCGAGGAGGTGCGCCGCGGCGACATGGTCTGGGTGCAGGTGCGTGGTGCTGGGCGACATGCGACGGCTTGCGGCTCACATCTACACTACAGGACTACCATCTCATGCTGCTGCCGCTCATGCTGCGCACGCTCATCGAGGGCTCCGGCGCACAGGGCCACGCCTCGCAGCGCGAGCTCGAGCACGTGCGCCACGGCGTCGACGGCTCGTCGCACCTGCTGCACTCGGGCGCCCTCGCCGCGCCGCCGGGCTCCGAGGCGGCCGAGGGCGCCGCCGCCGCGGCGCGCAACGTCAGCGGGCAGAGCGGCGCCGCATACAGCAAGATGCAGGAGGAAGACGAGGAGATGGGCGGGCCGGGGCGGGGCACGAGCGACGGCGAGACGTCGCGCGGCGCCATCAAGATTGGCTTCTTCCTGCACACGCCATTTCCCAGCAGCGAGATCTACCGGTGAGTCAGGCCAGACCGCTGTGCGCTGCGGCGGCGCTGATGCGCGTGCAGCATCCTGCCGGTGCGGCGAGAGATCCTGCTGGGCATCCTGCACTGCGATCTCATCGGCTTCCACACGTACGACTACGCGCGGCACTTTCTCTCGTCGTGCACGCGCATTCTCGGCCTGCCGACGATGCCAAACGGCGCCGAGTTCGAGGGCCGCTACGTGCACGTCGGCACGTACCCGATCGGCATCGAGCCGAACCAGTTCCGCGACGGCCTCGAGCGCGAGAGTGTGCAGGCGCGCATCAAGACGCTCGAGCGGCGCTTCGAGGGCGTCAAGGTCGTCGTCGGCGTCGACCGGCTAGACTACATCAAGGGCATCCCGCAGAAGCTGCACGCGCTCGAGACGTTTCTGCAGGAGCACCCAGAGTGGATCGGCAAGGTGAGGAGGGTTGACGGCGCTCTTCGGCGGCAGCGCTGATGCGGCGCACCGCAGGTCGTGCTCGTGCAGGTCGCCGTGCCGTCACGGCAGGACGTGGAGGAGTACCAGAACCTGCGCGCCATCATCAACGAGGCCGTCGGGCGCATCAACGGCCGCTTCGGCACCGTCGAGAGCATGCCGATCCACTTCTTGCATCGCTCGGTCAGCTTCGAGGAGCTGTGCGCGCTGTATGCGGTCAGCGATGCGTGCCTTGTGACGAGCACGCGCGACGGCATGAACTTGGTGAGCTGCAGAGACATGACGCGATGCACAGCGACGCTGACTTTGTCTGCAGGTGTCCTACGAGTACATTGCGTGCCAGGGCGAGCGCAACGGCGTCATGATCCTGTCCGAGTTTGCTGGCGCTGCCCAGTGAGTCACGCAAAGTGTCGGTGCTTGTGCCGTAGCTGACGCCGCCGGGCAGGTCGCTCAACGGCTCGCTCATCGTGAACCCGTGGGACAAGTTCGCCGTCGCCGATGCGATTCACGAGGCGCTCACGATGGACCCCGAGACGCGCAAGGGCAACTTCAACAAGCTCAGCCGCTACGTGAACAAGCACACGGCGAGCTGGTGGGGCATGTCGTGCGTAGCGTTGCGGAGCGATAGGATATGCGCTGTGCTGACATAGGTCTCTTGTGCCCCTGTTGCAGCTTCGTCTCGGAGTGAGTCGAGCGCAGCAGCCCCGCAAACGTATCGCTGACTCTTCTCCGCGCAGTCTCAACCGCATCGAGATCGGCAAGGTCGGCACCAGCCAGCCATAGAGGGAGCGGCCGCCGCGCGAGTCACCAATACACACATAGATGCCACACGTCGCGTCGGTTGTGCTGCGGCGAGCCAGCGCCGACGTCTATAGATTACGCACGGCAGCTACTCGATGCGGCCCTTGGCATCGGGCCCCGTGTCTTTCCGGCGATGCAGCGGCAGCACGTCGGCCGCGGCGTCCTCTGGCGGCAGGCCGGACTCGTTGGCGGCCGCGGCGAGGCGGCCGGCCTCTGCCTGCCGGTTCTTGCCGTATGCGTAGACAAGGCTGGGCGGGGGTCAGACAAGGCTCCGAGGCCTCCTGCTGCGGCACTCACCCGGCGATGAAGCCGACGCCGATGGCGCTCGTGCTGCCCAGCGTCGCCGGGTCGTGGAAGAAGACCATGCCGCTGAGCGCCAGCGGCAGCTTGTTGAGCGCGCCGACCATCGAGTATGTCGTCGACGACGTGGCGCGGATGCACCACGCCGTCGTGTACGAGATGAAGACGGCACACGCGCCCGAGAAGATGATGGCTGCGAAGAGCGAATGCCGTGTCTCCGGCGGGCTGCGAGGGTGTGAGCTGAACGGCAGAATGGATAGCGCTGGTGCGCTCACAAGTTGCGCGAAAAGTTCTCGGAGCTCCAGTCCTCGACGAGCTGCTGCGTGTGAGCATGCGGCGGCAGCGCGGCGGCGGCGTGCTGCTCACCAGACTCATGAGGATCAGCACCGGCACGGAGAGCAGGTTGTTGTAGAACATCGTGTCCCAGTCCTTGAAGCCGGTGACCTTGATGCGCTTGCGCATGATCAGGACCTGAGAAGAGTCAGCATGCAATTGGCGTGCAAGGATCTGCAGCCAGACAGGACTCACGTATGCCGCGCTGAAGGCGCAGTTCAGCGCCATCCACACGTAGCCGCTGTTCAGCACGCCCCAGCCGCCCAGCCCGTCGAGCACGGCCTGCGCGTTGCCCTGCCCAGCGAGCTCGGCGATGCGCGCCTTCTCCGCCGCCAGCGGGTCGGCGACGCCGACGTCGATGCCCGAGATTGGGTCCTGCGTGATGGCGTTGAGAGAGTCGGGCGCGTGCGGCATGCGCAGGTTGGCGATCTCGAGCACGTGCGAGATGTCCGACGACGCCGCGATGAGCGACGACACGACCATGAGCACAAAGGAGAGCATGATGATGCGTGTGAGGCGCGCCTGGAAGAGGAACACCTCGCCGTAGGCCTGGACCCCATCACCCGACGTCAGCTGGTGCAGTAAGAGCACGACCCGCGGCACGCACGATGAGAATGATGGTGAGGTTCTTGAAGATGGTGTAGACGGGAATGCTCAGGAATTGCTGCGCTGTGTCAGCGACAGGCATGCGCTGCAGGACCGCACCACGCACCAGCGCCTTGCTGCCCGTCCAGATGACGAAGACGAGCAGCGTCGAGATGGGCAGCCAGGCCCGCGCGTCCTGCCAGCTAAAGTCGCGGATCTGGATCGCGCCCGACGAGCGTGCGGCGCGCACGAGGAGCACGCCGACGAGCGACTGCACGAGCAGCACGAGCATGTTGAGCGAGAAGTGTGCCGAGAGCACGTACTGCGGGCGCATGAGCGGCGGGCACGACAGGACAGGTGCGGCGCACTGCGGCGCACCTTGTTCACCACCGTCATGAGGATGCTGGCCGAGCAGTAGCTGAGGATCGGCGGCAGCGCGCTTGCGCGGGCCAGCGCGGCACTTGATGCGGCTGCCGGTGTGCCCCGCGGCGCAGGCTCGCCGTCGCCCGGCGGCAGGAACGGCTCGCGGTCGGCGGGCGCAGCGGCCGGCGGCGCGAAGAAGCTGCGCGAGCTCGACATGGCGCAGGCCGGGGCCAGAGCGGGCCAAGGCGACGTGTGTGTGCGGTAGCTGGTAATGCAGAAGCTGAGTGGCGCGGTGGCCGACGGATGAAGTGGACCGGTGGATGGAGCAGGCCGGAGGCGGAGCAGGCCGGCGTCGGGATGGCGGAGCAGCGCCAAGGGGAGCCCGAGCTTCGCAGCGAGGACGAGGCGAGAGCCGTGCGCGCGGGCTGCGTGGGAACGCGCGACTCCTGCGCAGGCTGCTTGTCCTCGCCGCCGCCAGAGCCTGATCGCACAGCCTGCGTGATGGGTCAGCACGGCGTGAGCTGCCTCGTGGGTGCAGTGCACGCGGCGGTGCAGAGCGGGGGAATGTGTGTGCGGCGTGCGGGGCAGGAGTGGGAAAGGGGCTGGGCTGCTCGGCGGCGCACGGGGCGCACGGCAGGCCGCCAGCGTGGCGCATGCTCGGTGCTCGGCGCGCCTCCCGCGGCACGCGGCGCGGCGGCAAAACGCCGCCGCGAAGGGAGCAACACCTGCGACCGCCTCGGCGCCAGCACCCATGCCTCTCACCCTCACACCCGCACCCGCCGCCGCCATGACGTCCGAGTTCGACGCCAACCGCGCGCAGAACCTGCCCGAGATCGAGAAGCAGATGGCCGTCAAGTGCGTCGAGCATGCACAGACCTACTGGAACCTCCTCGAGAAGCTCGACGCGCGCAGCCTGCGCCTCACCAAGCTCGACGACGACATCTACGCGCACATGCTCGACGCCTTTCCCGAGCTCGCCGAGGGCGCCGCCGGCGACGCCGCCGTGGGCAAGATCGACGAGGAGGAGATGAAGAGCGAGAGCGGCAAGACGCGCTGGCGCGAGTTCATTGCGCGCTACGAGGGCAAGGGTGAGCAGCGCAGCGAGAGACGTCCACGCAGCGAGCGAAGCGAGCGAAGGGGGCGGAGAGTGGTGAACGTGGCGCTGCGGTGCAAATTCCACGCATGCGCCCACTGGGAGCTGCGGTCGATGAAGGGGCTGGCTGGGCCGGAGACCACCGGCGCGGCGAGAGCTGTGGCGAAGCCTATCGGGCTGGGCTGCAGTGTCGCTCTGCGGGCTGTGGAGGCCGTGAGCGTGTCTGTCTGTCCTCTTCGAGCTGCCGCGACGTTCCAGGCTGCCGCGTCACAGACTACTGACACCAGGCGCCGCGCAGTGACCGACTACAACTTCGGCACGCTCATCCGCACCGACGCCAGCGAGGAGTACACGCAGTTCAACACCACCTTTGGTGAGTCGAGATGGAGGTAGCGAGGTGCTGCGCGGGCGGACTAGTCGGTGTGAGGGCGGCGACGTCACAGGGATGAAGGGCTCGAGGCGTTGTTGACGCCAGGGACTGCGATGCTGCGAGGACGCAGGGCTCGTGACACGAGAGCTAGCCGATGCCGAGCTCTTCGTCGGCAGCATCAAGCGTCTGGAGCGTCTCTCCATGACGCTCGGTGTGGCCTGTCTCGGCGCCGCCCGTCTCGGCGCCGCTCAGAGCACAGAGGAATGCCTGCGGGGGCCCAGCGTACGGAAGAGCAGCTGTATAGCCAATCCGAATTGGCACGGCCGTGAAGCGCATCAGAAGCTAGCATCCTCGCCGCGTCGAGCAAGGGCGCTTGCCGCTCTGTGAGGCCTCGCTGGCGGTACGCGGCGCACTCTCGAACACACGAGCGGACTGGCACTGCGGGCCACGATCGCGCGTCCAGCGCGTCCCGGACCGCGCCTGCAGCACTCCTCGAATAGCCTCTTCGTGCCGTAACTGACACCTGCTCTTCAGTCACGCGGATGCAGTTCTACGTGTACGAGATTGCACGCAACCGGCGGGGGCTGAATGACTGGGTGCGCACCAAGGCGCAGAAGGAGGCCGAGGAGGAGAAGGCAAAGGTGAGTCTTCCGGCGTGCGGAGCGAGGCTGCAGCTGACGCGGTGACGCTCGCAGAAGAAGGGCAAGAAGTGAGCATAGAGTTGCTGCGACACGGGCTGTGCTCTGGGCGGGTGCGGCGCACTGGCTTGCGCTCTCTGTCCGACTGCAGGCTCTTAATCTAATGCGTGCTCAGCTGGAGCGGCGAGGTTGCCGACGGCGAAGCGGTGCGCGTCTGGCGAAGCGATGTGACATTGGCAAGGGCATCTATGTGGCGGTCAAGGGTGGTGACGAAGGTATGTGAATGAAGGGAGGAGATATGCGTCTATGGATGGCGGTGCTTGATGGCTGCGATGTTGACAGCGAGGCGGCACGACGGCCGACGATGGGCGACGACGGCGGTGCGAGGACTTGATGGCGACAACAGCGGCTGCTCGACGGCGACTGCAAGCGTGTGGCCTGCGTGCGTCGGGCTGCAGAAGGGCAACGGGTCAGCACGAGTTATGCGATGTGATGTGCTCGAGCGGAAGCCGCTGCTCGACCGCACCCGCTTGACGCCTCGTACGCCCGCCCCACTACATGCCTCGTCGAGCCACTCACCCTAGGCGCCCATGCGGGCGACACGCGTCTGGCAGCCGGCCTTGACGGCTGCGCCCGTCTGCAGCAGCAGCTCGGCCTCGTCGGCGGCGGCGCGGGCCGTGGGGCTGGCGGGCTGCGGCGCGGCGCTGGGCGACGGCACCATGCCCACGCGGCGCGGCGAGTTGCTCAGCACGGCGGCCGGCGCGGCGGGGGCGCTGAGCGGCGGCGCACGCAGCGCGGCGCGGGTGGTGAAAGTGCGGATGTGCGCGAGCATGGTGGGTGGCGTGTGCGCTGGTGCGAAGCGGTGTGAGGTGACGGTGTGAGGTGCGACGGTGGGCAGTGCAGAGCGTTGCGGCAGAGGTGGTGGGCGGGAGCAGGGCAGGAGTGCCAGTACTGCGCCTTATGTACCCTGCGGCCACCGCTCCGTGCGCTCTTCCAGCAGATCTGCGAGGCGGCCCGCCTGAGTGCTCATTCGACGCTGATATGGCGTCGGCCGGCGGCATTGCCCCAGCGCACACGCTCAGGGGGGCGGCGCCGCGGTGCCTCGGCGGAACTCTCGTCGGCGCGCGGGCTACCCCAGAACGCATGCACGCCGGCACGTTGCGTGGAGGTCTTGCGGGGGTCCTGCCCGATGAGGCCTGTGCGCAGCGGCCGGCGCATGAACTGATAGCCCAGCGCTCGTGGCGCGACGGCGGCAGCATGACTCGCTCTCGCGGCCGGCAATCTCGCTGGGGCAGCGAGCGGAATCTTTGGGACGCGCCGGCGCACAGACCACGCGCGACGCGAGCGGCGCTCAGGGGAAGCCCTAGAACATTTGGCAAAGCTGACTATCCAGCAGCACCAGTCACTCTTGTTGGCAAGTCATGCCTGATACTGCATGCCTGCTGCTGCAGCCACGCACCCAATGGATGAAGGAAGAGCAGGACTGGTCAGACAGCAGCCTTGGCATAGCCCCTGCCACCCACTGGCTGCAAAGTCACAGGCCCAGGCCTCTGCCAGGGACAATGGCAATCAACTGTTGTGCCACTAGAATAAGACTGCACACAGCACCACACATTGCTCAGGCTCCTTGTGCGCCATGCAGGGCTACAGTGTCAGTATTGAGGTCTTAGAGGGCAGGCATGCTCTATCAATAAGCTGGCCAGCAATGTTGAGGAGCAGGCCAGCAAGAGCAAGAGTTATGACAGCACCAGTGCGCAGATTATTGCCCCTTGCTGCAGTTCTGGGTGTTTGGAGGAGGAAGGAGCAACAAGCTGTTTGGCAGCAACTGGGGCAGAATTTTGTCCTCTGTTTACAACCCTTGCTGCCCTCCACCAAATGATGATTGCACACTTCCTTGGCCCCTGCATGCCCTCAGGGTTAGGGTTAGGGTTAGGGTTAGGGTTAGGGTTAGGGTTAGGGTTAGGGTTAGGGTTAGGGTTAGGGTTAGGGTTAGGGTTAGGGTTAGGGT